TCTCTGTTATTATTATATTGTATCCTAGAGAACACACGCGTATATATTCTAGGATGTAAAGTAAATTACTTCCTTTTCCTTATTAATGAGATTCTAATTATTATTTGATTATGCAGTACGCGTAATAATTATTTTTTTCTTGCAGGAGTATCACACTGAGAAAAATCGTTTGATTGTACCAACAAAACGTATCTGATAGAAGGCATTTTGGTTAAACCAAGCAGAATTTCTAGTTATCATAATAAGACATCGATTTTTTATAATTTAATAGAATTTTACTACAAGGATTTGATTAGTATTTTCTACTTAGACCTATAAAATTATATATCTATAAAATTATCTATAAAATTATATAAAACTTATATAAAATATATAAAAATATATATAAAACTTCTTGTTATATTAACCAAACAAAGTAATGCCATTTTTTTGTAAATTTAGTATTATTATCCAAAAAATTTGGTAAATTTAATAAGAAGAAATTAATCATATTCATCTAGTAATTCTTAAAAGAATTCTGATTCGTCCATTTTCCAACAGACATACTGATCGAATCCACCAGATTTCTAATTAATGCAACCAGACAGATTTTTTTCTCAGTGCATTGTCCGCGTATTCTGCACACAAATTAAAGATGTTGAACGGACGAAATTATTTGCGTTAAAACGAAATATTTATTCGAGATTAACGTTGCATTTAAGAGCGTTATCGGAGTTGAAGTGTTAAATACGTATACGGCGGCTGTCAAATTTTCGTCGAATCCAATAAGTGATATTGTAATAATAAAAATAAAAATCGTTAACATAAGATCAATCAATCAAAACTATCGCTCCGCGTCGTCCATAAATTTAATTTAAGAATTATATTTTATCGTTGAAGAGTATTAAAGCATACAAATGAAGAGAACGTACTTTATTATAATTCTATACTTGCAAAAAAGTTATATTCTTCCATTATTTTTACTATCATGCCTATTAATTACATCTACACGTAACGAACTTGTAATTGGATCGCCAACGAATTTAATTGGGCATAAAGACTCAATGCCACTGATTAATTTTAAATGACGTATGTTGCTCATTCGAAATTTTCTATGTTTTTCTCGCTTGTTTGCGTATAATTTTTTTATCTTTTTAGGATATTTTTACGTCTTTTTATATGTGGGAGATTAGAATTTAAGAAAATCGATAAAAAAAATAGTTTTCTCGATGGACATAAGATAATTAGCAATTTTCACAAGAAAATTTGCCTTATATTTTTCTACAGACACTTTTGAATAAGATTTAACATAGGCACAAGAGTCTATCTCAGGCTTATTCGTGACAATTGCTAATATTTCTGACCAATCCTATTATCCTATTATCCTACTATTGTTGTTCCTATTATCCTGTTATCCTACTATTGTTGTTGTATACGTGACTCAAGAATTTTATGACTTAAAATTTTTATGATTTAAAACGTTATGACTTAAAATTTTCTGGCAAATATATTCAACTATGTATAATCTATGTATAAATAAAATAATTATTAATTGCCATTACATATTCCAAATTCGAAGTAACTCTTCATGGAATCATGGAATCGAAAATGATTGAAAAGTATCACATGATTGAAAAAATAATGACTGAAAGATTTAAGAAAAATCGCTTTTCACAGAATAATCCTGATTATTATATTATTTATATATTTAACTGAAAGATTAAAAAACAGCTTTTTTCAGCAAGATTGTCAAAATAGAACATATGTATATGTAAAATTAATCCGACGAGAATTAATCTGAGAAGTTATATATTACAGATTGACTTGCAATTGAAAATTATTATAAAAAAAATTGAAGACCGATTTATATCTCGTATTGTTCATTAATAAATTGCCATTTTCGCACTTTTAATCCGTCGTCAATCTTATCGCATGCGCACGAGCGTCCAAAAATACATTCAAAAGTTCGCGAGAAAGAATGAAAAGAAAAAAAAGAGGGCAACCTCTCCTCTCCGGTTTCATACGCGGCCTTCCGATGGTCGGTACCGAAATTTGTCGCGGCGGTTCACGGTTATCCTTCTACCCCGCAGCTGTTTAACCAGCTGTAACATATCACACCTTCTCCCTCGATGGCGGCCTTCCTGGGCGCGGGTGGGGCACCCGATGGGTCGGAATTTTTTCACAAAAGGCACGTGTGCATCGATAATCTACTGTGCGTGACCGCCGTTTCCGTTCGATCGAATTTCCACTTGTATACGTTCACTTCAGCAATGTATTTTTGGGTGGATTTGGAGTCGTCTTTTTGCAACATCTTTTTATCTATCTTTTTTAAACTTCCTTTAATCGACAATAATACGGTAATTTTGTTGTTTTTCACGGGACATTTTTTTCAACTGAAAAATATGTCTCATCATTAGATCCAATGGACTTCCTTCCGTTCTTCCCGCTGTGACAAGACTAGATGCGACCTTCGAAATTCAAATCAGAAGGAATCATTCTATAGACACTCTTGAACAGCCGGTTCGAAAAAATGCGAAGTCTTGTGAACATCAATAACAGTGTATTATTTCGTATGACGTGTACAACGATAATGTTATTTCAGTCTAGACAAGAGTCTAGACTTAGTTATTGTGAGAGAGAAATGCCATTGTGAAAAGTGAAATATCGAAGGATGTGCTTGTGGTTGTCACACTTTTTGAAAGTTTAGGGCCACTGGGTCTCTGGGTTAGTGTATTAGCGGGTGGGCTGTATAATATCAGAAGGGCACGTGCCTACTCGATGTTAAATCTTCAGAGAAAGCCTTTCTGAATCAGAGGGATCGCAAAAGTTAATGCTAGTAAAGAAAAAGAAAAACACAAAAGGAAAGAGTATGAGAAGACATGGGATCGCGATACAATCGGACAAAGATTTACGTTTCTCCGATGTAGTAGCGATACAAAACATAACGGGAAAGAGATTAGACGCTACTCTGTGATTGCATTCATCTTTTGTCTTCATGATTTACGAGATTACGAGATTCAGTCATTCGAATAATAACGATCAAGAAAAAATTAGGCAAGGTCCTGCCACGCGACATCGAGAGCAAGAAAGAACAGATGACAAATTTTTCGAGACGTCCCACGAAGAAACCCACTTATGAACCATTTGCGAGATGAAATTAAAATGTTTTCAAAATGTGTGGAAATATTCTAACAGAAATCTCATATAATATTCCGATATCCATATTTCTCTGGGAAATAATGTTCTATTTCTAGAAATTTATCGATACTCTTGTACAAAATATGATTCGAAAAAAAAGAAAAGTAAAAAAAGGATAGAAAAAATAGAGAGAAGAATAAAAACAAAAAAAAATGAAGATAAAAAGAAATGAAAAGATTATTTAAATTAAAATTGCTTAGAAAGATCTATGAATTGCTTAGGAATACTATGAGGATGATATATGTATAAATATCAAAATTATAAAATAATTAAAATAAGATTCTTCTTCACATTTAAAAAGAAACAAAAAAATTTTGTGCAAGGTACATTAGGAAAAATATAATATAATATATAGCATAATTATAATGAAATTAATAAACATTAATAAGACACAAGTAGCGTAAAATAAATTACTCGATTATAAGTTTCTAAGATAACAAATTATCGTTATATTGTAAAGATTTTATGTTGTCATGTTACAGAGTCTATCATCTGCAACATACGAGCTCAATGGCATAAATCTTGCGAGAGACGCGTCGGCGTCGACCGTAAATTAGAAAGCTATTAACGCCTAATATTGCGTCCCAATTAATTCGCCCTTGTAACTAATGCTAACATCCCATACGACGGAGAACCGTGGAATCCGTTTATGGGAACGCATATACTAGGTGTCAGTTGCTCCGTGAAATCCTCCATCAATCTACGAAATTATCCGCCATATGGTACGCTGCGAGAAATTTTCCTAATTTTTTTCCCTTACGTGAGACACTTCCGGTTCTCTGCTTAAATACGCGCGTGATCTTTCTTTGTGAGATTCTTGTATATTTAAATATGTCTATAATTTATACAAGAAAAAAATGTATTTCTATAAGTTTGCTATTTAATCTTAATTTCATAAAATTGATATCATTCCATCAATTTTTTAATACCGTCCACATTTTATATATATTATATTACACAAGCACAAATTTAATTACTTGAAAACATTTAGGAAATTTACGTATTGCCGTTAAAAAACACATTTTCCGAAAATAAAAATATTTTTTTTTCTATTACGGTTTATTGAGTCTCGCAGATTAAAATTCCACAAAACGCGACGTTCGTGACTTTCGCCGTTTGATTCAATAAATTTCGTTTCGTTTTATTGCGATAATTAAAACCGGGGCGTTCCACAACAAACGACTGACGTGTGCGGTAAGAGTTTAAATGAAAGAGGCGGTCGCTGAAAAACGGTCAAATACAATTACGTGCATGGAGGATGTGCCCGGTGAGGCCGGTTCAAAGTTCAGTAGCATACGTATGAATTATGCATTCGGTGCAGTCGAGATAATCACTAGGTGCATCATTATCTCGAGGGGTTCTCTCCTGTTACCATTTTCCAACTGGCACGAAATCTCGCGCTTCTCTCCTCGCTACGAGGAACACCATCGAAGGAAAAACGACGAATCGAAGGAAAAACGACGAATCGATACATCGTTCCAGCTGATCCATAATGGAATTGTTGGATCTTTAAATTAGCGTAAAGAGCAATCCTTGGCCTCATCACGGACAGGTTACTATTATCGCGATCCATCTAGATTTTACATCAAAACGATTCTCACCAACGACGACCGATAATTAATTTATAGTAAAATTTTATATTGATATAATTTCATAAATATATTTTGATTTTGTTTATAATTCAACATGTAATTAAATTCTCTTCTATTAAATTTTATATTAAGAAACCAGAAATTTTATATATATTTTATATATAAATATTTCATATATATTAAAAAATTTTCGATAATATATGTTTTGTATTATTATGTCTGCAATATTTATTAAAAATCGCTATACAACGGCGGAATAAAAGCGCCGATCGTTCTAGGCACTTTGCTTTTAAAAACGCATGTCCATCCATATCCTTTTATATGATAATCTTGTTGAATCTTATATCTCCCTGGTCCAGGACGAATATCACTTGGCGGAAGAGGTCGTACATATTCTATGTTGCTATCGAAAGGATATCTTTTGAGTGTACTCGGTTTTCGCGGCGTTCGAGGATCGTAATGACCAGGTCCTGGTTCATTGGGATCCTTGTAACACATGTTGATGTCTTGTAATATTATCCTTGCAACCGGTTTTTTTGTGAATCTTTAAGAGAATATTTTTTATTTGAGATTTAGATTTTTCTCCTATTAAATATTGTATATGTAAGTTGTAATTAGAATACATTTTTATCCATATCTTAATCTTTTTCATTTTTATGGCTTATTCTAATACCTAGGATTCATAGACCATTTTCCTTTAAAATAATTGCATTTGTTCGAAAGTTTTTCCATTTCATCTGGCAATTTCCGTGGCCAATCCCCATAATCCTCTGATTTCGGATACGTCCAATATCCTTTGATAGTAGTCTCATCTCTCGGTCCTCAAATAATTTAAAGTTTATTTTATATTTGATATAATTAAATTTTTCCAGTTGCTTTTATATTTTATAATTTTATAATTTTAATAATTTTTAAATATATAAATATATTTTTTAAGAAAAGATATAAATATAAAATAACATATATATCGATAATATGATTTTTCAAATTACATCTATGCTATTTGTAAAGCAAAGGAAATCATAAAAAAATTAATTCATACACTATATTTATTAATTTATAAACTTTAGAAAAGTATTATCGAATACCTGTAAAGAGATCGTAAGGACCTCTTTTGCTCGTGACTTTTTCGAGAAAAGTTTGTAGTGAATCCGGATGTTTTACACTATACCTGTTATACGAAAATAGATTCTTTTGCAATCTTAAAAATCTTAGAGAAATACGGGAGAAACATAGTTTAAAAGAATGCTATTACATTTAACGATTCTCTTCTTTTTACCTATTACAAGGTAGAGACCAACTTCTTTTAGTTTCTCGGAATCTAGACATCAGACCATCAAATTCAAAAGAAGGTATACAAGAATAACCTTTCAGTCTCTTCTGGTCCAAATAATAATAAGGATTGTGCGTTCGAAGTATGTATCCTTCAAGGGAATCGAAAAAATGAACAAAAATTACAAAAAAAAAACGCTATCACTTGAAAAAAGAAACTGACAATCATATTAACATGAGATGATTGCTAATCAAAATTCAAATAATTTTATTTTAATATATCATTTTATAATTATATATATAATTTTATTTTAATATATCATTTTATCTCTTATATAAAGATAGAAACATATCTTAAAGGAAATTTATTTTTTAATCCTGCGATAATTCGATTTCTAAAAGAATACTTTTATTGACCTGGACCAGGTGTTGTAGATTTATAACTCGGTTCAAATTGCGGAACGGTACCAAAAGCGACATCCCTTTGCAAACTCTTACAAGGTGCTTCCAAAATATTTTCTGGCCAACGAATTATCTCATGACTTCCAGGTCCACGACTGGTCCTAATCAATTTCTTTTCGGTCGCGATTTTTTTCGTCAATCTGCCACCCATCGTGGCAGAGAACTCTTTCGTTTCTTGTTGTCTTTTCCAACTGCAATATTTCTCTTCTTTTTTTTGATTTTCAAAAGAATAATTTTGTCTAGTGTATCTCGTAAAATAAATTAAATTCTACCTTTACCTAATAGCTCCGGATTTGCGATCAATTGGCCGAGGATTATAAGAACCCACAGCTGGCGACGTTGTTGCAAATGATGTTAATTTGGGATGCAAACCCAGATTGTCGTTCAACTTCGATCCACTGTTAAAAGGCGGATGTGGTTTCTTTCTTCGTGGTATCAAACATTGACAACGCCATTTATAGCAACACCGACACAATCGGAAGCTTTTAGTTTCGTATTTTTGTGGCATTTTTATATTTAAATATTGGAAATGATTGAAAATATCTGTTAAAAGTTTAAGAAAGTAGATTGTGAATATAATAACTGTGAGAAATATTATATTATATTATATTATATATATATATATATATATATATATATATATATAAAATCATTTTTATTTATACATTCTTCAATAAATCATTATATTTTCACATCCTTACAAGAAATCTTTTATGAAATTCAGGTACAAAGGTGGACGTTTCAGGTTAAGCAAAAGTCTAAACTGTGTAACCAATTGTAACAACATTCACATGACATCGATAATTTTTAATAAATAATGTTTAATAATTTTCAAATAATTAGTTAGCATTAAAAATAATGATGGAAAATCAAAACAAGAAATAATAAAGAAATCATACAAAATTCACTAATTACATAAGAATGCTGAGTTAACAATTGTCGATATTTTAGGAATTCAGAATGAATGAAATTTTGTCTTTAATTCATAATTTTTATCTTTAATTCAATCCCCAAAGAAATTTCTTATAAACATGTTAATATATACTTTTCGAAAATTTTGAAATTTAATGTGATATTCACGTAATAAAAATATAGCACTAAACATGAATCTGCAGTCGGACTTTATCAATTACTTCTTGCCATTCACAACAAAGCTTCTGACAGCAACTTAACGTACGCAGATGGCGCTGGTATAAGAGACAGCTGTTTATGAGTACGAGATCGTCCATTCTTGGTTAAAGAGTCCGCTCGTAAAGTTGTAGATCGACTTCATTGACATGTAAAGTTGAAAGTGTTCCCACCGAGACGACGGTTGCTCGTGCAGCTAGTTACCGCCTAAATAAACACGAGTAATCGCGATGACGTAACAGCCAAAGAATCCAAAATTCACATCAGTTTGCGCGAATAATAATGCGCGCATTGTGTGTGAAATAAATACGTGTTGTTAAAATAAATATGTGTTAACTGTTTCGTTTATTTGTTATTTGGTGTTCGATACTTAAAGACTTGGTTAATCTGAAGAATTTAAAATATAATTAGAAACAATATAATTTATAACAGATATCATATTTATATAAAGTAAAAATAATGATAAGGTTTTTCAAGTGAGAGTTATATGTAGTTATTTATAGAGAATTATTTATACAGAATACAGAATTGTATATTTTCTTAGTTATTGTTAAAGTACTCTTGTGTTATATCTTTGAATATTCAAGAGTTAATCCACAACGTAACATAACACCATTACCTACTACAAAGCAGCAATATACTTGATAAGGGAGATAATTTTAATTCATGAAATAACTTTTTTTAAGCATCTATCTTCTACTCATTCTCTATACCTCTCAATCAAGAAAAATGGCTATATTAAAAATGTTAAAACGTGTCATGTGCAAAAACATTGCAACATGTGGCTCAAGATTTGTGGGCATTATGGGGCCTCTAACAATCCCACCATTGCAGATCGCAACCCTATATTATTTCTGGCAAGATTATTCAAGAGTTGTAGATAAGCGATATTGCTCTTGTTCATGCTGGGATACTGTATTTAAAGGTACAAAGTTTTGTAATTATTCTATGAATATTTTTTGAATATTTTATAGAAATCACAAATTATACATATAACTTTATTGTTGCAGGCTCATATGAATCTGGTATCGCTCCTTACAAGCATATGTACTTCAATGCCACCTCAAATATGCTGAAAATATGGATGCTTGTAGTCATCGGAGTGATTGCTTTTTACGAAACAATGAAACACTTGGCAAGATTAGCCATTAAACAGAGACTCAGACAGTCCATGATGCTTCTCTTTTCGACCGCTCTATTCTCCAATTATTATTCATGGTGGGTTTACATTAATTACTGGAATGATGATTTCTACTCCCAGTGGTACCATCAATTGTTCTTTTCCGTCACCGAGTTGATATCCACTGCCTGGGTCGTTCATTTGGCGGATAAAAAAAATGCTATAACTCACAGAAAAGCATTCGGTATAGCCGCAATAGCTCTTTTGCATATTATGGCCGGTGGATGGGATCAGTTCTTCGTGAATGTCGTCAGAGGAGAGGGCCACGCACACCAGGTAAAAATCCACAAATAATTATGAAATATGAGAGAAACGTCTCATATAACAAGCGTCTTATATAAAGGTCATACGCGATCTGGGGTTCATGATTCCGGATATTCTCCACGTCGCCGTTCCATTGTGGATGATTAAATGGGAGAGCGTCTATAATATTCATCTTCCCAATTCTTTAGCATACATGTCAAGTATCGTTGTAATCGGATTATGCATTTGGTCATTTTTATTATAATCCGGTGATAATTGAGAAGAGCGTAGGTGTCACGCGATGTGACAATTTTTACTTAATCCATTATTTCTGGATATAAGAATGGCTTTATTAATTTACTATGTTCTTCCTGAAAGTGGAATTCCGTGAAACGTCTGACTCGGTCTAATATAAACACCAAATCTTTTCGTCCTTTGCGATAAGATTGTTATCACAGATTGCAACACGATACCTTTTATTAATATTACGAACTTCCCGTGATAGTATTATTGTTAATGTGTTCTGAGAACGATTTGACTGAGCTTGAGTTACGTGCCTTTTTTTTTAAGTTATCATGCTCTGTCATTGTTCTATTGTGTACCTTACTGTTGTATTTATACAACTCTTTATACAACTCGATTTTTTATTTATGAAATATTTATATGTATTTATGATAAATTAATTACTTAAGTTTCTAGCAAGTCTTTATACGAGATTTGCGAGCGAAAGAAACCATACTAAATGTAGCTGAAAACTTTGTTGATATTGGAATCATCAAAATTTAGGATACGTTATAGACTGCAAACGATAACGTCTAAAGTTATTCTAGATTTAAGTATTGTATATTGCGGACATATCACGTAGATAATTTATATAAACAAGACGTTATATATGCATATATATATCTTGACAGACAAGATTTGTACAAGCAATGCTAACCAAAATTAGTGTCCTAATTCTCATAGAAATTACAATGCTTATAAAGTGCCTACACATAATATATTATTTATATGATTATTGTTAACTATGGCGATAAATAATTGCGAGCAGAAGCAGTTTGTGCGTATTTTAACGGCAAATACTCAGAAAGAAAGAGAAAAATACGGTATGCTTTAAAAATATGGATTTAGAAAAAAGAAATTATAGATCATAATTTAATTTGCGAATGTTGATTTTCTAACGTAATTCAGAACATGTTAATTTTTTAATCTGATAATTAGAAATACATTTTCTTCGATTTCTATAGTGAAATCTTTGATGCAATCGTACGTGCAATGCTATTTATGCAGCAGATATATATGTCCTGATGGGTAATGTAACCGATTAACGAGCGCAGCTTACATCAACCAAAGCATCAAAACTAATTTTATTATTGTAGCGTATTTATCGTAAGATATTAGGATAATTTTTATCGTAGGATATATTTCGACAAAGTAATTCCCGAAAAATATCTGAGTAGATATGTTTGAGTAGATACGTTTTGACAGTTTATCTACTTCTAGAAAGACGTATAATTGTAGCGTACATAAAATTAATATAAATCTCGTCTTGTTAAAAAAAAAAGACAAAATAGTATTACGACGTATAGAGTAAACAATTGTGTTAAGTGGTCTAACAATTGTTAATTTAAGAATTTGATTCTGATAGTATTTTGTTATCGAATATGAAAAAAAAAACCGAGAGAGAAATGAAAGTGGCGCAAAAATACTCGACGAATTCAGCAAAAATATGGTGATCTGATTAATAATAATGAAAATACAATAAAGCGGCCTAATTTCCAAATTGCCTAATTATTTCTGACACCCTCGCAATTACATGTTTACAAATTCACGGAGCCTTGAATCCTGACTCTTTTCCATCGAATTCCGCGAGGATTTATTATGCATGAGAAAGACTCGGACGAGATATTCGAAAGAAACGCCAAAAAAAAAAATAGGAAAGAAAGTCTCTTCGCCTTCTCTACATGTTGCACGTATATGGCTTTAGGTGCATATTGCTTCCAATAGTCCTCGTCGTTTCTCGACTTTATGTTCACGCGCTGTGTATACAGGGTGTTTCTAAACCTATGTTAGAGATTTTAGGGCGTATTCTAGGAGTCAAAATAAGAAAAAAAACATGGGTCCAAAAATGCTTTCCTTCCGAATTATAGTCCCCTAAAGTTAATGGAAAAAATTGCAAAATGTATTGAAAAAATGAAAGTCACTATTAATTATTACGCTGTGCAAAATTTCAACGTTCTGTGAAAAAGTCTCCGAGAGCTACAATATATTTAACGATTTTTTCCAACTTTAGGGCGCTATAACTCGGAGGGAAAGCATTTTTGGACTCATGTTTATAAGAACTTTTTTTCTTATTTTGACCCCTAGAATACGTCCTTAAAATCTATGACATAGGTTTAGAAACACCCTGTATACATACATAAAAACGGACACATCTATATATCGATATATACACGCGTAACTTTTATACATCTGTATACATACATCCTGTGCTTGCGCGTTCGATGCATTTGCGGGTGTGTGACCTTCTTAAAGTCGCGCATGAGCTACGAAAAGTTACACGATGTGAGAGCACCTTTAACACCCGCTGCGAGGGGACTAAAGCGCAGGCCTCGAATCGATCCTCCATCCCCCTCGGGAGCAGCGCGTCCGCCAAGAGCAACCCCCGGCCGACGACTCTGTTGTCGACCCAACAACAGTTCAAAACCACCCGAGACCACCGCGGCAAACATGGCGTTGGATTTTGCAGCCACGTACAAGGTCCTAGTGTTGGGCGACTCGAATGTCGGCAAGACATGCATCGTGCATCGTTATTGCGACGAACGGTACTACGACACTTACATCTCGACGATAGGTGAGATATCATTCGCAAGTAATCTGGTAATAAATCACTTACCTGGCTACTGACCATCTTCAAGTTGCGCGGGTCGTGACTCAGGTCGTTTCGGCTGGCTCATTGTTAGATGATCGCCGTGACACGTTTAGAATCAAGTCTTTAACTGCCTTTTCCTGGAACAAATAAGTCACCCGGTTTAATTTCATTTCGAGTACGATGAGCGAGTATAAGCATTCTGTATATCGTTGACACAGGTAGTCGTTAATTAACTGTCAGCTATTACGGTGAGGTCACATATATACTCGACACATCTTACACATTATCAGGAAAAATATACAAGTGCAAGAGAGAAAGTCCCTCAATTTATTTCTTAAATATAATTGTCTTAATTTGCATAGCTGCATTTTTATAATAATGTAATGATAGATTAGATATCTTCAATATGTAAATTAATATCGTTTTCGTTTCTAGAAGACACTATTTTCATCGCGATATAATAGTATTGTTTAAATTTAAATCTATTTGTTAATTGATATGGTATATTTATTTCGCAAAAAAAAAGAAAAAAAAATATATATATATATTAAATCAACATCAATCAGCTGATTATTCGCCCCGATCTTATGATGCATCTTTCTAATTTTAAATTTCGATTGTATATCTGCGCGATACACATGCACAATCTTCACGATATAGATTATCATAATCATAGCACTGCGAAGATTTATTTTTATTTGTTAAAAAATATTTATTTACTAAAGTTCAGTTCTTGGAGTTGATTATCCATTAAAAGCAATAAAGTTTTAATTATACTACTTGCACGCAAAGAACATGTGAAATTCTTGCGTGTAAATTGCCATGATAGCCGTCTAATTAGCGATAACATCTCTAGTTTTATGCTGCAAACATAATTGAGGTGATATTGCAATACCTCGTTTTATTTAAACATTAGAATTTGCTCAATTTCTAAACGCTTTGAAAGTATTATATTATACGAATAATATATAAAAAAAGTATTATATTATAACAATAGATGTAAATGATAAATGTGTCTGCAGGTATCGATTTCAAACAAAAAATCATTAACCTAGACGGAACGCCAATTAAATTACAAATTTGGTGAGTATCTAATCGATACCCTTCGCGAGTACTCGATAAATAATTAATCACAACTGGCACTAATACATGTTTAGAAATCAATAAAGAAACAAATCTTGATTAGACAATTCTATTTTGTTCTTCGAGCTTCATAAATCATAATCTGCATGTAAAACGAAATATTATATAGAGACGAAGATGTAAAGTATAATAGCAGATAATACATATGGCTGTGAATGTATCTTTTTTTTGAAGGGATACCGCCGGCCAAGAAAGATTTCGAACTTTAACAACGGCATATTATCGTGGCGCTATGGGTATTCTTTTGATGTACGATGTCACTAGTTTGGAGAGTTTCAACCATCTGTCTTATTGGCTGCGAAATATTCAAGAAGTAAGAAATCGAAATCAAATCTAAAAATAGAATATTACGCGACCAAGAATAAATGCGCGTTGTATTAATTCTTAAATAATCTTCAAAAAATTTAAGAAGAGAATTGAATCATTCAGAAAAGAAATAAAAATACTAAAATATTACTTAAATAAACTGCAAAAATATATTTAAAATGGAGAAATCAAAATCTCGTGGTTGATAAATTAAGCTGCAAATACATGCAATATTACAGAGAGTTAGTTGATTTCTAATAAAAATATCTGAAGTTTGTAAAGTCTACAAAGAGACCGCTGTAGATTTCACGGAAAGAATGTTTCTTTAATCGATGATTCAAAGTTATTTGTATGCAACAGAATTATCATACATATGGAAGCGTGAATCATAAGCAATTCCATTTTGTTTATCTCGATAGAATGCGTCACCAGACGTAGTAAAAGTTTTGGCAGCGAATAAGTGCGATGCGACCGCGCATCGCGCTGTGGATGCTGAGAGAGGCCAGAAGATCGCTGAAAATTTCGATATGCCTTTCTTCGAGGTATCGTGTAAAGAGAATATCAATATCGAGGAAGCTTTTCTCACTCTAGCCAGAAGAATACGGGAGCAACGGGGCCGCCGAGTAAGATTTGTCGACGACTTTATTTGTTATTCTAATTAAAGAATCTTCTCTACTACCGCTGTTATGATATCAAAATATTTTTAAAGAAACTAATTTTTAGTATTAATTAAATTATGATTATATTATCATCACATATATATTAATAGTACTTATTTTATTTTTAAATATAAGAGATTTAAATATAAAAATAGTTTTTGAGATATACATATATACAAAGTGTTTTTTAATAAATGCAACAAATTTTAGGAAATGATCCTTTGTCAAAAATTAAGGGGGGTTTTTCATATAAATATTTAAAAAATTTTAATAAAAAATTGAATAGAGGTTGCTAGTCATCCCTTTATAACAATATGGAAAGCTGAAAAAAATATTAATAAATATCCCTTTAATAAATATCTCCTTTTTACTAGGAGAAAGTATCCATTTAATTCCATTTCTTTAACTTGTTCGAAATTTGCGAAAAAAATAAAAACCTAATTTTTACTCCCATTTTTGGAAGAGTATAACTTCACAGGAAGGAATGTAGAAATATATCTTTATATGAAAAACTCCCCATAATTTTCGACAAAGAATCATCGCCTAAAATTTTTCGCACTTATTAAGAAACATCCTGCATATATACAATAGAGAAAATTCCAACGGCACAAGATTATTTAACGAGGCTGAACTTTTCTTTCTAAGTAGGATGAACAATTGCCATTGTTGCAGGCCAGTCTGTTCGAAGCTTCTGAGAGAGAAGGCGCAGACAGTATTATAAAGGCGCAGTCACCGTCTCAGCAGGGTGACGCCTGGAGATGCACCTGTTAGTTCGGATAATCATCGAAAGTCTATTCGATTGGAGACTTCGACGGCAACCAGGTATTAAACCCGGATGCGTAGCGTTAGGTTTCGTTCGTATTGTGTACGAAAAGGGACGTTGCTTTCTACCTGTACACACGCAACGCGACCAACGATCAGTCGTCGAAAGGAGCTCGACCTGGACGCGAGATTGGTGTCTGTATACCTTGCGTAGGCAAACTGCTCGGGTAAATTGTTCACGATACTATCACACCATCTTGCAATAATCGCAACGGATATTATAGATATTATCTCGTAAACTCTGCACCTTCTATTACACGCCGAGAGCCGAATAATGACGTTAATGCAACGCGATGACAGAACGAAACGGATGATCCACTGCGATCGTGGATCAATCGCAGATCATCGTCACAATCCGCACGAGACATCACGAGACGTCATTCGCTCTCAGTCGCTCTAAATCATTCGGACACGTACACACATACATATACATTACAGTTAAGTTCGAGCCACATTTCCGAAGTTGCTGCAAAGTTTATCTATGATATGCGATTATACGTCGTAGATGTTTACTTATAGAGATATGAGTCACGCTCGCGCGAATATAAAGACTCGGCAAAACTCGCTAAATCGGAATGCTTGAACGCATCGTCGAGGAATGCGAGGACGAACGATCTGATTGATAATCGGATTTCATCGGTTAATCTATAAACAAATCAATGTGATCTTTGGCGTAAATTCGAAAGTGACATGTCGCGAGAAAAATCAGCTGGAAGGGAAAAGATTAGCTTCTAGAGCATTATGAAGAAAATCTAAGAGAATTAAGAGATTCGAAGATTTCGTTGACGAACATAATTTCGATGTTAAATTTTTGTAGATCAAACGCGAAGAGTCGAATATCAGGCAATTTAAAAATGTTCGATTAGATTTACTTGACGTATCGATAAGGCCTAATTAAAAAAGAACTTCCTCTCGATGCTACTAAGGCGATGTTACACATTTTTGCAGTAATCAACGTATCATTAGCATGTCTACGTGAAAAAGACATCATCAAGCGTATTGTGATTACTGTCTGAAAACGACTACTATTATATGAGACTTGCGATTACCACTGTTGTCTCTTGACGAGGACCAGGACTCTTTCTTTACGGAAGGACTTGCGCGATTATGTCGGGATCATTTGATGCACAGATGCCAAAATTCGCAAAGTAGGTGCTTCTTTGTACGTCATATATATATATAGCAAATATTGACAAGCAAATTAGAAGAAGAATAGCATGCATTTTAATATATATATATATCACTTTCTCTCTCAAGCATGTAAATATAACTTCTTTGAATAATATATACTTCAAAAAGATTTTAAGAAGAATTAAACTTAAATAATAAAAATCTAAATTTTGACCTAATCTCAAAATTATAAAGATATTTCACGTTGGCAATAATAAACTTGAAAGTAAAAACACGAATCTTGGAGGAAAGAAGTATATTCTGATATATTTTACTTTAATATTATGTTTAATCACACAAAAGTATTCCAGAGAATTTATTGCATTATTGAACTTTTTTTAAGAAAAAATAAAATTAATTATTTTTATGTTTATAAAGAAAAATTGTTCTCTCTCTATCTCTCTCTTTCTGCCTTAATTAAAAATAATATAGCGTAAGAGTGTGCTATTTATATTTGAAAAATCGCCGTGTTATTTCTATTCGTGTGTTCATTAACGATATTTTTAGATAATGAAATAAAATCTCGAAACGAGGTCAAATCGATATCGACAAGAGCACTTGACATCTGTATATCAAACCCCTTTCATATCGATATACACGTACATGATAAACCACGCTTAATCGATCCGTTTTGATAATGGAGCACATTTTTTCGGCGAATATATCTTATGTTCGATGAATGGCATTTTTTCAGCAATGCAATAATATTCTGCTACAGAGAATGTCGGAGCACCAATCCTGTTTGAGTATGAAAAAATAAAGGAGGAGCACTTAATAGCATTTTTCATAGGCCATATGTGCAGCCAGACGCGAAGATTAAGGCCGCGAAAGATTAGATTAGCTGCCATATAACACACTGTTACAATACGTATATGGAGCGTAAATTATATTCGCGCACGATTAAATTGACAGAATCTTATAATTTCAAAGAGATCGAGAGAGAGAGCTGTTTTATATAAATACATACAAGCAATCGATTATCAAATTTCTCGATTTTAGATTTACCCGTTTTTCGTGACTTTCTTATACTTGTAAGATACATTTATTGAACTTGCGTTATAGTCAAATTGAAGGATTAATCGGATAAAAATTTGCCGAAATATAGTATATAATTAAGAATATATATTAGATATATATATAATGACATATATAATTGTTTTAACGGGAGACGGAAAACTTAATTATTAGAATTTTTTTATTTAAAATCCGGCTTAACTTTTTTAATTTTATTTTTATATTGTTTATAAAGTTATCAGTGTTTATTATGATACAGAGAAGCGCACAATCTTTTTTAACAAACGTAGAAATTGTTCTTGATCTTTTGATGATTGATCACTTTTATTATTCTACTATTTCTCGTTTACACTGACAGAAAGACAAAAGCCTTTATTGTGCCTATCAATGATTAAGAAGAAGGATAAAGAACGCGAGGAAAGAAAATGAAGATATATTATACGAGATGTTGTACGCGAAATCGCTTTACGATCGGTCGGAAATTATGAGTTGGTAATTATAAGACGATATTGGTGCTCCTCGACCGAAGTTCCAATTAAGTCTCACTTCAGTAATATCTCTGAGGAGTTTGCACTCTTGGGATCACACGAGAATCGATGGATACTTTTTTGCAATGTTCTTTTTTTCATTTTTTTTTGTATAGTCTCAAAAATCAAGTCTCTCGTCTCTTATAGCGAACCGCGAACCGCGATTTTCATCACTGTGATCTTTTTATTCATGTACACAACAATCATTACACATCACCGCCAATTTCATAGCAGCACTCACACGTTCGTTGCAATTCGAAATTGCATTGCGAGTGGCAATCCCGTACTATATATTACTAACGATATACCGTTTTGGCGATGCAGTATTAAAGAACGCCAGCTGAAACTTTGCGAAAACCCAGATTTTCGCGCTTTTCGCACGCTTGCTGGCACGTTTGCGAATTGCATCACAATAGTTGATCGAGTCTAAAGAGCGCATGCACTCGACGAGAAGTGCATTGTGTCTGTCGCGATCGATCGACATCGCAGTGATGATGCTGACGAAAAGATGAGATTACTTCGCGAATTAACGCTCGTTAGCGAATTAGTGATCGACACAACACGATTTGTTTTTTTTTTTTCAGTCGTATCGTAAACGTAATAGTTATGGCATAGGCTTTGTACTATTTGCAAGACGATATATACTAAAAATATATATATATTATATTATATATATATACACGATAGTATATATATTTGTTGCTTTTATATATTTATAAATCGCGGCATATTTGTATAAAAAACACTACGGAATTCAATTATCTTGCCTGCTAAGCAGCATGCGCGCCTTTTAATTAGCGCACGGTTTCCCAAACTAAATATCGATGAGAATTGAATTTTTTAATGTTTATTTTCTACAACTTTTGTAATTGCATTAAAAAATGATAAAATTAAAATATTTTTGCCATTTTTCACAAAAAAAAACTATTACAACTTCAAATTTCTTTCAAATAACTGAGAATGTAGCTATCGAACAATTGACAAAAGTTTAAATATATTAACTCAATCGCGTGAAAGTTTGAAATAAATAATATATTTGAGATAAATATATTTTAAATAAATAAATATCTATATTTTTGTTGCCTAATGGACCAATATATAATTTTTTTAAGTTTGGGAAACCTTGAATTAGCCAAAATTAGATACGATTAGAGAAAAATCAGGATGTTGAATGAGCTCTAATTCTGGTCAACTCACCTTTTTTAGATGCGCGCGTGATTTGTCAGGATTGTCGTTAATTTTTGTTCGCCGTCTGTGGCGAGGAGAAAGTTCCCGTACATTTCTCTCGACATTATTCTCGATCCATCTGAAAGAAAATGTATTTCTTTAGTCGAAAGCGATGCAAAAAAGAAAAAGAAAGACAAATAAATTTTTAACATAAATAATAGATTGCTGTAAAATCAACTGCGTAAAATCGCATTCGGTTATTGGGTTTCGATTAATATGCAAATGTATGGGTATTTTTTTCTCGCGAGAAATATGGGAAGGAAATAATAGTAAAAAAAAGGAAGTCAATTTGCAAAACACAGTGTCGCCCACGTGGACGGCAGGGTCGCTTGTATGAATTTTTTTAAGGGACGCTGGTTCGTTTGCCTTTATCGAAGCGCTTGATTTCTCAACCGAAGCTGGTCTTTGGCTGAAAGTCTCTCGGAAGAGAATTTTTTATACAACTTAGTTGATGCCTGCCACGTATGTGCCCACGCATGCAGCGCTGTAACTAGTGTTTTATTTTACATCGCAAATGTAATTATATTTTATTATTTATTCCCTCGTTTTTCAGATTCGGAATCCTTTCCTAGTATTCGCGCAGATTTTTGTTTTGTTTAGATTTATAATTTCTCAATGTCTGTACGAATTTCGAAAGAATTGAGTTTTACAAATTTTTAGATTATACAATTATATAATTATACATCTTGAATTTTTTATTTTATATTCTAGTTACGGCTCTGCAAATATTCGTAGCTCTCGATTTTCAACGATTTTGCGATTTTCAACGATACGATGAAAGTTTCTCGATAGGAATCAGCTATGTTTTTGTTACAAACTCTGTTAGATATGTAGAGATAGAGATATAGGATTGATCGGGCAAATAGTTCTGGTTGCCAAATTTTTCAATATGTTTTACAACATAAGACGCTCTTTACCATAAAACGTCTTGGAACTTGCTATATCATGCTTGAATTTAATTAAATTAGAAGCCTAATTTCTTTATTTTATACAATACATAATTTGTTTACATAAGATGATGAAAGATTTTCAAGCACGAAGAAACGCTTTGCCCGATCAGGGAGGAAATAATGGCGAAGATGTTAAACGTATGACATAACGATACAGCTTTTACAACACTTTATTTGTCAAAAATACAAAGCAATAAAGGCAAAGAGCTCTAGACACAGGTGGAAGTGTGAAAAAATTGTTAATCAAATTATAAATTGTATCAAAAATATACAGTTATATACACACAACTCTTTGCACATTACAAATTTCCAATACAAAAATATTGTGACAAACGTTTCGACCTCATCCAAATCCTTTTCAATGTCGACAAGTTCAATTGAAAAATTTTTAAAATAAGAGGAATTTATATCAAAAAAAATGAAAAGCAGTATAAAGTACATTTTGAAAAGAATGGTCCAGATCGCAACACAAATAATGTTCAGAGTGATACAAAGGTGTATGAGATCGAAACGTTTGTCACAATAATATTTTGTATTGGAAATTTGTAATATGTGAAGAGTTGTGTATATTTTTAATACTTGTACATTGTTAATACAATTTATAATTTGATAAAAAATTCTTTCACATACTTCTATCTGTGTCTAGGGTTCTTTGCCTTTATTGCCTTGTGTTTTTTTATTTATATCATATGAGCCTCTCATTGCACTCTCTTATTAATTTGATTTGTCATTACGTCACTTCACCCTCAATAACAAGCATCATGTTACGTAATTTAATTCCACCTTCGCGATCGATTATCTAAATGTGTAAGTGTATAAGTTTTTAAGTTTGTAGAGACAACTTGTTCAACTCGATGTCTGAATCAATAATATAAATAAAAATACACACTTTTTACCTACGATATGTGCGTTTTCTCTTTATAACAACGGAAAAATAATCAGTGAGACGCGGCATTAAAAAAACAGAAATATTAAAATTTAATCCTCTTGTTTATCAATATCTATCATTAAAGTAGAATAAGTAATTAAAGATACAAACGAGGATTAATGAAATTTCAGAAAAATAAGGAAGAAAATTAAGTTTTTATATTCTTTCCAAGTGTGTTATACGAATCCATAACTGTATACATTGCGATCTATCGAAATACTTCGTATTCATCGTGCGTTGCCAATACATGATAATCTTTGGCGATAAGACATGAGCAATTACCGCGATGAATCAGCGATTCGAAAAGATAGAGAAGACACCATTTTCCAGCTGAGTGCTCACGTTGAATCGCACACCGATACGCATCAGAAAGTTGGAACGTTTCTGTCCTCGTTGACAGGTACGTGTACGCATTGTGTCACCGGTGGTTTCTTTCTCCGAATGTAGATCAAGTTTGATTGTGCGTGCATTGTCACGTTGACAAGTTGAAGTTAGCGGATCATCACGTTCACAAATTACGTCTGTAAATATACGTGTGAAAATAGTCACGCGAAATTGTCGAAATTGTTATGTATTAATAAGGAGAAATTAAATGAGACGCCATAATAATCGATAACAAGAGACAGAATCGAAAAATTTAAAAACGAGCGTGCACTTTATTTGCGAGAGAAAAGATCATTTCTTCTCTTCGAACATCTTTTAAACTACCAATCAGACATTACGCAAGGTTATTCCAAACATGTTTGCAATATGATGGTAATATGCATACGATACTTACGCATCCTTGAACCGATGAAGCTTGAAGCACGTGCGTGTTTTACGTCGTGACACGCATTACGATTACGCATCCATTCAAACGGGAATGCGTTTTGCGTCTCCCAGATGAGCGAGAGGCGCGTCTCGCGCAAGCGCTTGAAGACGTTTAAATAATCTGGTTGTTCAAACACCGGGAATTTAGTTACGTACGATTGAAAGTGGAAATTCCTCCGGAATCAAATTCTCCCTTTAAATTTCGAACGAGCTTTACACCAACGAATCTCGAGTCACAAAGAACACTATTTCACTGCAAAAATTAAGCCACGAATTCTTCTCGAATTTGCAAAAATCGCGCACCGTGTTTCGCGACACGCAATCTACGCAATACTTCCATCCAATATGGCGGCCTAATCCTTAGTTTACGGTTTCCACGACAGGTGGCGCGCGTGCGCTTCCCGCAGAGCGCCCCCCCGCTCGAGCCCAAGATGGCCGCCGAGGTGACAGATACGAGGAGCTGTCAGCCGTATTCGGGATCCGCCTAAGTTCCAAGATCCACGCGGCCGAACCGCGCGTTCGCATCGCGTTGCGTTGCGTTGCATTACGATGCGTGCGCGTACGCGAAATCCTGGATTCGGATCTGTCAGCATAGAAACTCATCGACGATACGACGTGAACGCACATTGCGTCGTAACTCGTACGTAGATACATAGGCATGTACGTGTGTTAGGTTCCCTCGCGTGCGACCTGCTTTTTTCACGCGAACTCTCGTACACAGTTCCTCGACTCGACTTTCGCCGAGAATCGTTTCTCTTCTCGCGTCGGTCGACCGTGCCGCGACATCGGCAACGAATCCGATCAAACTCGTCGTATGGTGAGGCAAGGGTGCTCTGTTTGTCCATAGATATAATTCGTGCCGTTTTCGAGCATGGAGGCGATAGTGGAATATAATTATGTCGCTCAAGAGGACGATGAGTTGACGTTGAAGAAGGGTGACATCATCACCGGGATTAAGGTGATGCTCGGCGGATGGTGGGAGGGTACCCTGAGGGACAAGCGCGGCATGTTTCCTGATAATTTTGTTAAGGTATTACACGTTGAATCGCGTGCTTATCATTTCTATTGTATGTTATCTTGATGGAAAATATCCAACGTATATAGGTACTGGCCTCTTCCACAACTGGTAATGAAACTAGCGGCAGCAGCAGCGAGACTGTAAATAATATAAAGTCTGAGGAAGTTACATTGAGAAACGGATCTGGTAGACGTTTCTGTAAGGTTCTCTTTAGTTATGAACCTTGTAACGAGGATGAGCTAACTTTAGTGCCGCAAGACTCGATAGAATTCTTAGGAGAGGTGGAAGAAGGATGGTGGAGAGGTCGTCTCAAAGGCAGAATTGGTGTATTTCCTTCAAACTTTGTCTCTCCACCTGCTCCTGAAGAACAAGAGAGGCACAAAGAGCGAGACAAGAAAGAAATGTGTAGAGTACTCTTCCCTTATGAGGCTGCTAATGAAGACGAACTTACCCTGGTTGAGGGAGATATAATTACACTTTTATCCAAGGACGCACCAGACAAGGTTTGAGATTAGTCTGATCAATATTAATGAATTAATGGATACAATAAGATGTGGATAAAAATTGCTAAAAATCTAATATTCAATATAAATAATGATTTATAGGGTTGGTGGAAAGGAGAATTAAGAGGACAAGTGGGTTTATTCCCTGATAATTTTGTCGACATCATTGGCATGAAGAATGAATCCCAGGAACAAGAATCCCAATGGCATGAAATAACATCACTTAATACAAAATCAAGTGCTAGACATTCGCACCAATTAAAGAAAATTGAGAAAGCACACGTTAGAAAAAGTCTGGACAGCAGGAATGTACATTCGAGTAATATATCAGGTAAGATAACATAATATACATACTAATGTCTTTGTGACATCAGAGTGACATTTCTATTTCATATAATGTATATAATGTATATAATAATATAATTTCATGTTCTGTTAGATCATTTCCCCGCCATAGATACCACCACTAAAAAGAGCCTATCGACATCGTCGTCCACCTCCGTACCAACGTCATCGTTGACAGCTACCGGAAGTGGAGGTGGTGATAAGAAAGCGGCCGGCAGCCATTCGATTATATCAAGCCTGAAGCGTTTCGTGAGCGATGTGGGGAATAATAACGGTATTGGCAACACAAGTGCCACTTCTGAATGTCGTGAGGAATTGGACGGCGTAGAACGAGGAGAGGGTGCACCGCTTTCGCATTTGACAGCTTCTCGTGCTAAAGCACCTCGGCGACGTCCGCCTTCGTCGCAACGTCTGCGCCATCATGCGGCTGAATCCACCAGCGTAAGCGCATCCTCGACGCCTCCAGCACTCCCTTCTGTTCCCAGCACTATTTTGGTATTAAAATAATATTAATTTTATTTATTAACTTGTAGAAAAATATCAATTTTTTAATTATATTTTTATAATTTGTAGGAAGATAACTTGTCTAATGGACGCACTGAAACAATGCTGGAACAAATACCGGATGAGGAAACGGACGGACTTGCTATAAAAGCCAGGAGAAAAGCACCATGGGTAATATATCATATTTAATATAAAATAACAAAAAGCTACAAGAGATCACTGTTTTATTATTATTAACATTATATATTTATTTGAAGGTCGAGGAATTAAAAATGAACCAGATGGAAAGGAGGAAAACCGCCGCTGATCGAGTCGATAAGACGGAAGTCAAAAAGGAACGAAATTTCTCACGGTATATATCAATTTTTTAACAAAATCTTTCATTTATTCCACGAATATGCAAATGTATACATGACAAGTATCGTTTCATTGTTTGATAGATTAATGACGCAAGGAAATGCGGATTCCGTTAACAAACCGGATATCGATAATGATGATAACAAACAGAAAGATAAAAGTCCTAGAACTGATACAAGCCCGCACGCTGACCATAGTCCTGGTGCATCATCCGGACAACCGGCCTACGTCCCATATGCTCTCTACAGCAAGCTTTTGGAAAGGGTAAATATTAAGATAATTCATAGACTATTAAATTCATAGACTATTTTCATGTCAGTATATTGCATGCACGCGAGAACACGCGATATTAATTTAAATTGCTTCAACAAGGTCGCCGCGTTAGAAGAGAAACAAGCAGTATTGCAGGTGACGGTAGGGCAGCTCTCCGAACAGCTCGTACTTCTCACAAACGCGTCGATTAACAGCAAAGTATAAGAGGCGAAAGAAAAGAAAATCGATAATATATTTATCTGCCTATATTATCACTGTGTTGTTTTCTCATTATACATTAATGAGAAGGAGACTAATACTGCTATACTAGCGTAACATTTATTGCTCTATTACTGTTGTTACATATATATTTATTAATTTGGTAGCATACGTTTATTGTTTGCTCCGTTGATGCAGTATTCATGAGGGCCGGTTGAAAAAAACGCACGCAACATTCCACGTGACATTCGCTTGCAAAAGTATTTTTCTTTAACCTGGTTTTCGGTAATAGATCTCATTGTAACTGCCGGAGTTTCTCACTATCTTAATAATCGTAGCTATTTTAATGCCTACAAAATATTCGAAAACCTCCATATAACAGCTATTTTCCTTGTAAATTCGCAACACATATCATCTACTTCAAATCTGCAAAATGTATATTTGCACATATTTTAGATTTTTATGAACCTTTTCCATATTATCAGTAGCATGAAAAAATGCTTGCGACATAAAGTCTCTAAAAAAAGAAAAAAAAAAGCGCAAGTGTCCTTCCAAGTGCCCGTGTTTTTCTGCCAATTTGCATTTTAATCATTGTTTTACGTTACTTATATTTTTTACGCATTTATTTTTTATAGAATTTACAAAAAGATTGCTACGTATTTTAATTTTACTATCAAATAGTAAAAATTATATAAAAAAGATATAAAAGTACTTAAAGCTTAATAGGGCGTAAGAATATATGTGATTCTTTTTTATCCAACGAACACAGCTGCCTCGCGATAATTGTGTGATGATTTGTGTAATAAGTCTCTTCAGTAATCTGAGTGCCAATGTAAAACATTTTATTCACTGCATTTCCGGGATGCCTACATTAAGAATAAGTGGTTCTCGTTGATTTTTCACGAGTAACATCACCAAATTACGGACATGCACGGATCCATACGTGCCGTATAAGCCTAATTCGACGTGTTTGTCGAGCCATTTGTTTCTACCCGCTTATCGAAGTATATTCCGTTCTAAGAGAGATGGAATATATCTTTGAAACGGTGCTGATAATGCGATATGATACATGCATAGCATAATTATACTGTACATGGGAATGAGGCAGCGAGAAATTTATAAAAGACTTTTGTTCTATTCTTAATATGAAAGTATCATAGAGAAGGACTAAAGAAAATTAAGTATGTATTAAAGTCCATTTTAAAGACAACTGAGCAGCTTAGCAGCTTTATTCGATATAATCACAAATCATGTTAAATATGAAAAAAAATCGTTTTTATTTTTTGATATAAAAACGGAATTTTAAGTAAATACTGGATAAAACTAACGAAATGATTATAGATATATGAGAGGAAATACGAGACATTTAATTTTTTATATCAATATTTTTTCTATAGAATATATTTGATACTTTAACAATAGAACGGACTAAAAGGTTTCCTCTAATCTCTCAGATTGACTTTATTTTTATGTGCAGATATGCATACGTTAAATAATATACATATGTATATTTTATTCTCTCTTTCCTTTTTTTATTAATTTTTAGCAACCGATAGTTCCATATTGTGCGAAATTTATAGCAGGAAAGTTTAGAGCAGTATATTTATCATACTTACTTGATCAATGTATATGTTTATTGTATTACTATTTATGAATATACTATGCAGCATTTATGCTTTTGCATAAAATGAAATATATTGGGGAACGAACCGGTGATATAATGCTCGCAAATATATATATATTTTAATTGCATATGTGTTTGTAATCGTAATAAATCTCACAGAGAAAAACATTTATTAGATAAAATATACAAATTAATTTTATTGATTAATTTTATTTGAGCACTGTACAGTAAAAATGTATGTTACTATTAGACTGAATCTATGATAAATGTAGTAAGTCTTAAGCCATAAGATATTAATTAGAGTTGAATGTAAGAAGAATAATTGAATTGAATGAAAAATAATTAATTAATTTCTTATGACTTAAAGCTTACTACATATTATCTATTGTAGATTCGGCCTTGTCAATTTCTTTGCTTAAAAAAATAGTATGGTAAAGATTTCAAATACTTTTATTTCGCGTGTAATCCGTCCCCGAACATCAAAAGAATATCATTTAATCAATAAATTGTCTCGATTAAGGCAATAATATTCGGATGATACTTTTTTGTAATTAAATTTGTACATTGAATATTTTATTTATTATATTCTTTTATTTATACACTTTTGTGCTTCTTATTTTTCTGTTTTAGAAAAGTACTATATTAATCTAACATCACTCTATATATGATCTATCGGCATTTATTATTTATAGCATCTACATTTATCGATAAGTGTATATTATATTTGAGAAACTTTTATATATCGCAAAGAGAGAGAAAGGAGAGAGAGAGAAAACGCGTCGCAAGAATAACTTCACAGTTAACCAATTGTAATTAACGAAATGCAGTGGCATCTTCGAATGGTTTAGGTATCTCTTTGTAAGATAGATTATTGTCTGGATTTGTAACATGTAAATTTATTTCGTTTTAATATGAACTCAAGGGCAAGTCTCTTAATCGGCATCTAACACTGACCATATTTACGGCAAAAAAAGTTCAAGGTAAACGAGACCACACAAGATAAAATGTTCAGACTCCATAACGGTATCGCATCTTTTATACTTTTATATTTCGCATACACATATACACACAGATCAGATCGTTTAAACGCAATATTTCTTATATAAATATATGTTCACTTAGGCACTATGTAGAACTTCAGTTTGCAAACGCGACATCATCATGCACATTCTTGCAGATATAACGCGTGACAATAATAGTTATTAAGCGAGTTGAACGAATCTGTGCTACTTTTTTTGTAATTACATCTTGAATATAAATTTATTAGTAACTAAGAGATCCATACCGTAGATGCCTCGATTAAAATATTTGGTTGCATTTTATGCCTTTGAGGGATATTTTTTTAACTTAAAACAAACAATTGTTTGTTAAATATTAATTAATTGTCATTTCGCCACTCTTAGAAACATCGTCTTCCTCCATAATATAATAAACTCTTGCGATTCAATCATTGCAAATACGATCGTGCAAGCACTTATAACTTTAATGCGATTATCTGAAAATAATTATATAAATATAAGTTAGGCTTGTACTTATCTGTGAATTTTATTTATGACACATTTCTTCATTTGCCATCGAATCTTATTTCAGAATTGACTTGAAATGAATGTTTCGAGAGAGGATCATTAAATGTGAATGTTAATCTGTAAATACAATAATGTTGAGTATTAATTATGCGTGTTGAGTGAGAATATGCGATTCTAATGAAATCTTTATTCTAAAGATATCGCGTTCCGAGTATTATCCTAACAAGGTGGATTAAGTTGTGCAATCGAGACGGTGTATTAAATTGCGATAAAATTATATTTGTACGCTTTTGATTACTATTGGCGAAAAAGCATGCATCACGAAGACTAATATAGTAACGGCAGACTTATATTTTCCATTATTGTTGCGCGACATCGAATCTTATCGAGGAGACGAGACATTTTTATATATCACGCTGCAGTGGGCTCTCCTTGATAAGTGTCCTATTGAAAAGCGTCGAGCGAATTATGTATGTTGTGGCACAGCAACAGCTGTTAGCTACGTAGTCGTTAAGCGATAAGCATCACTGTAGAAAGCATAATCTAGAATGTAAGGGAATTGGAGTTAACGACTCGAGAGCTACGAATCGCATACGATTTTTAATGTTACATTAACGTTTAGGCCTACACTCTATGTACATATACGTGTATAAGCAACGACCGAGTGAGAGTTATATATATATATATATATATATTTTCCCCTTCTTTATCAAGTGTCAACCAATGCAGCGCATATGTCGGATTAACAATCGTACCTGTAAATAAAGCCATCGGAGTAAATCTTTCTCTACAAATGCTGGAGTCCTGTAATCTTACATTAAATCTCTGTACATATTTAACATCTACCTTCATTTCAATCACCGCTGCAGGATCAAATTAATTTAAGTAGTATTATAATAGGGTATTTATTCCTTGAAAAAATATAGGAAATGTGCAATTAATAGAGATTTCTGTGCAATTAATAGATTTAAAAAATCAAGAAATTATTATGAAATTTTATTGGAATTCAGGAAATTTATTACAAAATCTTTTCTCTTTGATTTTATTCTTTTATTATAAATAATTCGCCAATAAGCCAATTATGTGTGTGTTTAAAATATATTATAAATATATATTTATCTCTGTTTATATATTAAATGTCTTAACAAAATATTGAATATGCAATAAATTTTTTTTATAATTTTTAAGGGTAAAATGAAAATATTATGCAAATGGAAAATGTTTATCTTACGAAAGCTATTCAATTTTTTGTCGATACATTTGTAAATCTCTAACATTTGAAATTTAAGATTCTGTATTTTTCCTTCGTATAAATGAAAAATATTAGAAAACTCATGTAATAAAAAAATTTTAAAAGCATGTTTTTATTTGGGATTTTGAATAAAAATATCCGGAAAAAAACGACTTTTTTGTCCAGGAAAATTAAAATTAAATATCTATTTTCCATCTCCATTGCTTCATAAAATCTAATAAAAAATATGATCTTGTGCACTCGTAAATTTATATAATTTTTTTATTATATGCAATTTTTCATCACATTTTTACGTGTAATTGATTAATAATATCTTATTGTGACATTCGAGTTATGTGCGATGACGACTTTTATTATGTTTTTGCGACGATCGTTGAGACGATGGTGATATTTCGCAAATAAACGGCAACGATACGTAACAGGGCACCACTTTCCAGAAGGGGGGTGAACTTTCGGCAGGTGGATTCACGAGAGTAACACAACCCCTGTGCGATGGTTGCCCCTCGCCCCAGGCTCGATAATCGAAGCAAGACAGGGATTCGCCTTGAATTTTACGATATATTTTCTATGAGAAAAAAATGAAATTTCGAATATTCAGCAAACTTGTCAGAATCATTCTTTCTTTCCACGAGTATCTGTCTGGCTATAAAAAAAATTGCCAATTACCAAAATCGTTTTTCCAGATTCCTTCCTTGTTACTGAGACCCACGAAGCTGGGACGATTTTGCGACACGAATTTGACCAAGCCTTCCGTGCGTTCCTCGCTAATCACGTGCGCGAGAGATGAGTTTCGTTTACGGCAGAAACTTTGTGCTTGCGTGTAATTCAAGCTCTCGGATGAGAATATGAACATTCCCGCTTTAGGGATGCATTCTATCGTAGTGTTCTCTGAAAGTGATTCTCGTTTTAGGATGTATAACGTTACATTTGCGCTTCCGAATTAATTCGCGATAAAATATATTTATTTTTATACATAAATATACGTATATATTTATTTATTCATTTATGTACAAAAATAAATATATATATATTTATTTATTTTTGCATGTATAAGTTTCGATCATTTTAATTGCAATATTACCAGGCAAAGAAGAAACCGAGTACATGCTGTAATATTTATAATTTGCTGCGGGCACAAGAGTAGTCATATTGCGATCTTCGGGACATTGAAGAGCCTGGCACATATTTTCTCTCTTTCCTACATGTTAATGGACAAATAAATAAATAAATAGATGATAAAGAGAAATGCTCTGTATAGAAGAATGCATCAGAGAAATTAGAAAAACATTGTGCATTGAATCAATCACGCTAATTGAATAGTTAATTACGCTACACTTTACACAACGCTGTTACACTGTAGATATCTCATAATTATATGAGCGGGGCTTTATCATAAAATTATCATAATTAAATTTGTAGCAATTGTACTTGTTATTCGCCTACCGGCACGATTCCTCGTCGAAACAAGATTGAAGGCGAGAGCCCTCTTCGACGCTGCGAATTCCTCGCACTTTTCTACATTAAAAACCACTTTCCGCGATATAATCGGTTGATTCGAGCGCCAGTTGGTCTTTATTAGATTGTATCGCGGCAACTCGTGATAATTGATTACGCAGCAGTGATCACAGATAGCTAAATATGCCGCACACGTAATTAAGAGAAACAATAGTACGCTAACGCGTGGCATTATGCAAATTAACGAGTTTAAATTATAGTTTTTTCGAAGCACTGATTTGTAATGCGCGTTCTGCGTTTTTCCTCACGATGGATATTATCTACTTCCGACTTCGGAAATGTACATCACTCGGACAAGGTAATTATGCAATTGCGGAATTCGCGATCTCTCGATAGAAGATACACATATATATGTATATAAATCGAAGACCATGATTAATATATCTCCCTGCTTTCTATTTTTTAATAATCTTTCCAATTTATTTTTATGTAAATGTATATTTACTTTTTTTTTTATCATAATTTGATATTGTGTTATTAATGATTTTCTCAAGAAAGATATAAAAATGGAGTTATTCTTGCTTTATGTTAAATGCCTATAATGTTTTATTAAATTTAATCTATGACGATAGCCCATTATAATCTAATAATCAATATAGATATATGTATACTATTTACATTTTCTTGTGCACTGTATCTGATCTGTGAAAGGTATAGTAATTGTATATGCAATTGTATATAAAATTCTGTTTGACAATACTCTCACACTGACGATGCAATTTTTCACACTTTCTATCGTTTTAGCTCTTGTATATCTGGCCTCTTATGTGTGCCATCGCAGAAGGGTCTATTTGACGTTTGCTTGCAGTTGCAGAGCCAGTATTCCTTGGTCTCCGCAACGCTGAAACGTATGGGTCTAAGCGTGATTTTGAGAAAAATGTTTTTATGCGTGCCATCACATATCGGTTGACTTTTGCTTTGACCACAGAGACACCACGAGTAAGTTTTGCCAGCCTCGAGGCGCATCCTGAACGGTTTCTTATCGTATATCACTCCGTTCTTTTTCTGATGATGAGCGCCGTACGTATCTTTGAGCAGATTCACGGGTATCTGCGGCTCGTCGGTCTTTGTGGAGAAGCGCAAAACCTGGAAGTAGTGAAAACGATAAATTTATATTCTACTTTTCCGCTATCAAGAAAGTTTCGTGATTAATTGATCAAGCCTTTCTACAATAAAGTCACGTTTTAATTTCATTTACAGGAGAAATTCAGATTAGGTTAGATATAGAACCGTTGACTCAGGTTAGATTTAGAATCTTACACAATTCAGAGAAGCTTCTTTCATCGATCATGACTTACATTCTCGCGATGGAGGATGCTCGAGAAGCGAGCGAGATTAGGCAGTCGATTAAGTATGTTCATTCTGTTAAATTGTCGATCTCACAACCGAGCGACAATGAATCGTGACAATAAATCGTGAATGAAAGCAACGCTCAATGAGCAGTCACGAGTCATGAGTCACGTGGTCGGAACACGAAGAGTACAATCAGCTGATCTCGCGTGAATGAACTACGAAGCCAATATCTACGAATTTTTTCAGTGGGTAACACACAATTTCAGGTTGTGTTCCATGCTACGTGCATGAAGTGTCGATAACACAAGTGTTCTAACGCAAAACATTTGTATATATTAAATAAATTTGGTGTAGTCTCTCCCTCTCTATTTATTAAATATAATTAGTTATTAATATATAAAATATATTATCTGATATTATTATATATTAATTATCCATTATCCATCATCACCATCACCATTATATAGAGTTTAAAAATATTTCGTCCGACACTTTGTAATTATTTGATCTAAATATAATTCGATTGAGAATGCGCAATAAAATCGATCGAATGACAAAATCGAATAATTAATATAACGGAAAGTCTTGTGAGGTATATTAATCGTTTAATAAATAATTAATCTGTGTATAGTAGTATGATGACTTTAAAAATATACTTATATATAAATTAAATTCTCGTGTATGTATGTCATAGTACGCGTAAAATATTTCGGCAACGAGTCAGTCATAATACAACGTTTGGCCTTGATAATTGTATGCGCGCTATTGTTTATATAGGCGATAACCTTGTATCATTCGCACGGCAACATTTCAGCGGTAAAGTAATGATACGGAACGCTTCGTATTATTGAATTGAATTCTTTTCCTAAACGCGATCGCGATTATAATCGAAATATAATTCGCTACGATTATTACAATTAACAATTAATTAACATTTAATAAATAATGTAACTATATGAAACTATATAGCAATGATAAATCCATCGAAACGCGATCCTTCATTATTGTAAATAAAAATTGAAGAGAAAAGGACAAAAATTACAAATTTTGTTATAATATTCTCTGGTTATCGAACTTTACGGATAATAATTATTTCTCTAACATTGCATGGAATCAAATTCGATTTTGCTCAATGTTTTAAACTTTCATAAAATGCAAGCATATATATTATATTAATTAAACGATTTCTGTATCATCACTTTACATTACTTTAATGTTTCAATCTTATGATTCGCGTTATTGTGCATATATTATACATCAACAAATAAAAATAATTAATTAATGTAAGAATCGAGTGATGCATGATTTTGGCTTCGTTTAAATATCGAGCGAATTGTAATATTTTTCTTTTCTTATATAATATAATAAAATACGTATCTCTCTAAGATTATTTTGCGATCGGAAGTACCGTGCAAAGTGTCTCGCAATCGTTTCTATATATGACTGAAATAAATAAAAAGCAGTGACAGCTAAAACTTTTTGCAAATTAATCAGAGACATGTCCTTGGTAACATATGTTAAGATCATCGAAATTGGTGAGATCATCGATAACACGCAGACTTACCATAATTTTATAGCTATAATATTATATAAAATTAATTACATAGTAAAATTAATTACATAGTAATTTTATAATATCAAAAGGAAATTTAGCTTATAAATTTTCTGTATGTCAAAATGGTCGAAACACAGTACAAGTACAGTTATCACAGTACAAACGTAAATATCTTCATTTCTATTAACTGTAATGTATGCGAAAAATAACAATAATATTTACAGTAAAAGAAGTTAGTCTTTTTGAAAATTAAAGAAAATGTCTTTTATAAAATAAAAGCATTACTTGTTACTTCACATAATTTTGTATGCACATTTAAGGAAAGAAGGATAAATATTTTATTATATATTTATTTAATGCATTACTCTTTTTATTAGTTGAATCAGATTTAATACCAGATTTAACACCAAAAGCATTCTGCAGCATAAATTGATGGTTCTGTCGGCGTATACGACAGTGTATATACGGTTACATAGAGTACGTAGTGTTATATAAATATCATTTTGATTATACGTAGCATAGGATATACTTAATTATTTAGTACTTAAGTATATACTATATAATAATTAAGTATATTTATAAATATTATCACAATCATTTATGCTGTATTTTTAATTACTAAACAGTTAGTATCGTAGAAATATAGTTATTCAATTGTTGAACAAAACCTGAAAATATTTTATCTGTTTTTCGATCTCCGACCGACGTGTTTCAATCTTGTATTCAACATTGGAAATGATTGAATTTTTCAGCTCCCTTTTTACGAATTCCTTGATCTAAAATGGATTATTTTAATAATTATTATCAATAAATGATTTCGTATTTAATAATTGTATTGTCACACATCAGAGTATGAACAGAAATATAGAAAAATATTATATAAAATATACAACAATTATAATGAAAAGTAAATTTTAAAATAAAAATTGAAAAAATATAGAAATATAGAATTTAATTTATTTAAAATTTACCTCGTCCAATTGTTTCTTAGAATACGCATTGTTAATTATAACAGTTAATGTCACAATATCATTAACTTGCCTGTAAAGAATAAACCAATACATTTATAATTCATTCAATATATCTTCATGTCTATGTGTGGTATATCTTTATTAAATAATATTGTTACCCGTGTTTTATTAATTTGTAATTATATAATAACTTTGTAAGCATATATTTAGTATGCCTCTCAATGACAGAAAGAAAAATATTAGCAGTAAAAGCATAATATTGCTCCATTAGTCCGCGATGCTGATGAAATAGATTCATTTCGAATAAAATTTGTGATAATTTTATTTCTAAATAATAGATTATAATTTCAGAATTTTTACTATAAGCCAGACATTCTAAAATTGTATCATTTCCTTTTATGTAATTATTTAAAACTTCATTCCATGTATCATTATCTGCCGTTTTCAAACCATTACAATATGTCCACCTCTTCCATCTAGGCAAAAGTCTACAGAAGACAGTTCAGAAAAAAAATAAATAGCTTCTAACAAAATTGTGGTAATAATTTCTTTAATATCTTATAAATAATTATTGACGTAAGTGATAACTAATTTCTCAAACATATGCAAAATATGAAAAATATTCCTGTAAAAAGAATCAAATATTATAAAAAGAATTACTTGTTTTCCTTAGGATTTTCTAGATGCCATTTCAAATAACGCGTAGATTCTTTTTCACAAGAATAATCACTTATAATACATTTCCACTTTGCGAGTTCTTGCATTAAACATTTAGTATGATCGTTAATGTTATATTCGTCATACAGATTCACGTTACTAAATTCAAAATTCTGCATAAAATCAAACTTTAGCACGTCCTAAAAGTTAATAAGTATCATTATATTTAATTTATTCATTATTTACAAGGACAAATAAAATATACGCGCTAATAAACATTTTTACTAAATAATTTTCTTTATATTTCTTTAATATTTATGTTCGTAGCATCAATAGCATAATAATCAGATTTTCAAATTTCTTATTTGTATGTGAATAATTGTGCATGTATTTTATCATTTAACTAGTAAATAAATTTTATATCATCTAATAAATTCTTAACATATATATCAATACACAAAGTGTTTCATAAGATTATGTTGATACTCGTGAATGGATAGAACGCAATAAACTGAATAGAAGAGTCCTTTATCATTCTGCAATTTTCGCAATAATTATTGAAATATTAATTAAAAATATGAAAAAGCGCACGTTTCGCGAGTCTAGATCGTAGGATATGCTCGGTACGGTCAACAGCGAATGTCGCATAGTAATGAAAAAGCAAAAGTCGAGTCGCGATTAAGCTTTACGAGACACTTTGTATATATACTGTATATATATATATATTTTTTTTTTTAATCGATGCATATTAATATATCGATGATTTTGATGTATGATCAATTATTTTTTTGGTAATTATGCATAAAAGGGACCCTCCGATTTGGTTTATTTTTAAATATGTTGTAGGGCAAATCTTCGCGAGTAATTTCATATATATATAAGAGTCGGACTCAAATACTTTCCGAGATATAAGCTGAAATAAATCAATTAATCAAATTAATTAATTTTTTTTATAAAACAAACATTTACTAATGAATTATTATGTAATATAAATATTATATTAAATTATTACGTGTCATATAATGTAACAAAATTATTTTTCAATTATAAGTCAATTTCTCTGCAAAATATTTGTATACTTTTAACACAGTAAACATTCTAATACTACGGAAAAAATTAATGTAAAAAGGATAATTGTTATACTGTGTTCTATAAGTTCCTAAAACACTCATTATTAATTACATAATTGATCATCAATTAGCACATAAATTCTAAAATATTATAGAAAAACAACTTTATGAAATATTCAAAATTTTAAATGTAATTATATTAAATTTAAAGAAAAAAAACATATGTAAGGGTCTTTTGAATTAAAATTTCTGACTTTTGAAACAAAAAGAAATAAATAATAATGTATCATTAATTTTTTTGTTCAGCTTACTACATATATCTATTTTAAAAAATTCATTTTTATTATACGAAATCATTATATTATGTAGAAATAATTGGTGAAATAATGGATGATATTTTATAAAAACACTGTTATTATATCTACATATACCTTAAATTCAGGATAAAAATCCAAGAATGGAAAGATATTTGACAAAAATTCAAAAGCTTTGAACATAGGATACCATGCTATATAATCTTTTTCCTGTGCCAAATAAGAAGCGAGTTCCCAAAATACGGAGAATTCAAGTTTCTTCTCTATTGCAAAATGAAACGCATCATTGATGATTTGTGCCCGATTGAGAACATGTATATTACTATAATTTTCAGAATTTAAGTATTGTGCAATTTTTCGCCAATTCGTAGTATCGTAATTGACACGATAATATCCTGTTATAAAATAAATTACTTTTGTCGATTATTAAATACTTTGAGATGATATATATTAATTAAATATATTTTGAGATGTTAAAGATATTTTTAAAAAATATTATAGTAAATATATTATTATAATTAGAGATATTTGCATCTTCCGTTTATATTATTTAACATAAAGGATGTATCAGCAATTCTACATATTACAGCAAGAAATAAAAGTTTCTAATATATTGATAAAATTTCAATATTCTTGTAATATCTTTTGTTATATCTTATATTATACAGGGTGTTCTGAAAAAGTATGTCAAAAATTTAAGAAAATATTCCTCACACCTGAAGAATGAAAAAATGTTATATGGACATAGGTGCGGAAATGCTTATTTCAAGAGTTATGTTGAAAATACTGTTAGCTATATTACTTACACAAGGAAAAATTTAGGATTATTGTAGACGACAATCATTTAATTATAGGCTTACACATATAGGTAATACAGCTAACAATATTTTCAACATAATTCATGAAATAAGCATTTCCGCACCTATGTCTATATAACATTTTTTCATCCTTCAGATGTGAAGAATATCTCCTTAAATTTTTGACATATCTTTTTAAAACACCCTGTATATATAAGTTTTAATACATTTCATGATTATTTTTAATTAAAACTTATATCATATATGATATCTAGTCTGATATATATATATAATTGGATAATTCTGAGAATTTGGATATGTAAGGAATTTTGTACTAATATAAAGTGTAAATTTAAACTACGAACATGATATATATGTATTGAAATATATATACTTGAAATTATATACAATATAAATAGACAATAAAGATATAAATTTATTATTCAATATTTACCAGCTTGTTGTAAGTTGAGAATAATCCATTCATTTTGCTCAAAAAAAAGTTCGATTTTTGGACGCCATGGTGTTAACCAAAAATTCGTCCAAGTTACGTTAAAATCGAGTTTCGACTCTGTAGTATAAGTAACAGGTATATAATATTGTTTCTGATCTAATTCGTTGTGAAATTCTACCGATACGATTACAACAGAAGAAGAAGAATCATTAGCAGAATAATTTTGTGTCACTTTCAACACAGAAGAATATCTCTGCCTAATCCACGAATCTATCGTGTCTTTTATATTAAAATCATACTTGGGATCTAATTCAATCATCTTAGATCTCAAAGCGTTCCATAAATGATCGGAAGTTGTTGCTTCAGGCTTATTGACTCTATAAGATTTAACATTATGATAATTTTAACATATATTAAAATTAATAAATATTATAAATAATAAAAAAGAAAATCATAATTTACAAAATTTATTATCGTATTTTAATCTATACTGTAACTCTTGCAGAGAAATTTATGAACTTTAATATAATTACATATAGTATATATTATTCTATAACATATATAATTTTTATTTAAAAAAAAAATATATATATATATATATATATATTTTTATATACATTTTATATTATATATTTTATTTTATATATATTTTATATTATATATATATGTTTTTTTTTCATTTTTATAACATAAAAAAATAATAAAAATATATATACATATATGTAATATATATTTTTTAATATATATTTTTAATAAAAATATTTTATTTATATTTTATTTATATATTTTTATTTTATATATATATTAATATGTATTTATTAATAATTATATCAGCATTTGTCGCGACTCAATAAATAATAATTTTAATTTTTATATTACAAAGATTTTAGAGTGTTTATATTCTGTATTTGTAAAACTAGATACTCGAAATTATTCAATTTGAATTTTTTTAGAAAATATCTATTATATGAATATCTATTATATATTTATTGAGAAAAATTTAAATTGAAATTCAATCTCGACAAAAATTCATAAATATAAAATATCAGTATAAATTTGAGGTTTCAAATATCTATGTCTTGTAAATATTACAACTGGAGAAATATATTATTAAATTTATTATATATTTCGATTTTCTTTTCCTCATGATGTATTTTATTACATTACAATACATTATACTTACTGATTGTTCACATATTCGTCCAATCCCTTTACAAATATAGAAGGTGGCAATGCTTCTACTAACATGCGCCATATAATGAATCCTATAATGTTTAAAAGAAAAACAATTTAGTATATTTAAAATGCTTTTACTGCAATGCGCAATAAAGGTATTTGAATCTATCAGTAATTAATAAAACTAAATATATTACACACAACGTTTGTGTAATTAAATCAAAGTAAACAGCTATAAAAGATTGTTAAATACATTTTATCGAAAAAATTTATAATAATAGATAAATAGTGAATGATTAAATATTCGTAAAAATAGGAAATTAGACAATTATAAGAAATCGGATAGTTTTATTATGATCTTTTTTAAAGTCTTAAATAAACATATATATATTTGTAATTTAAAAAAAATTACACATTATAAAATTATACAAAAATTATATAAAAATTAAATTTTAAAGTTAGATATGTTTCTTATTGTTATTGCTAATATTATAATAAAATATATTAAAAATAATAATAATAAAATTAAATTTTATAAATGAAGGGCTTCGTACGATTTTTATGGAAATTAAATGTCGATGAAATTGTTGCTGAAATTTGGAAATAAATAGTTTATGCGATAACAATAAAAGTTAAAAAAGATGTCAAAATGTTAATGCGATATTGATCATTTCATCGCTACAAGTCAAATATCGAAATAAGGCGATTTTTAAATATTATTAAGGAAAAGTAAATAATATGAATGATACACAATTGATCATTTATTAATACATTTTATTTACATGGAAAAATTATATTTGCATGGAGAAAATGTGAGTGTCATCATATCGCCGCCGCTATCGTCATATCATGCTATTTGAAATTAAATATAAATATAATAAAATATAATTAGTTAAAAGTATAGTAATATGGATTTTTCTCTTAAGTCTCCTCATTCGAATGGGGAAAGGGCATAATTTTCCTAATTCCTTTAAAAGATTAGCCTCTCAAAATAATTGAACATCTGTTTCATGGTTTTTCGTAATTTATGAACTGTTTCTGAAATATAGTGATTGAAAACTTTATGGACACCTATATATACATATATGTATATTTTTCCACGTAAATATAATATCTATATATTAATTAAAGTAATCATTTGTTTGTGACTCAATAATATATTACTTATTTTCCCTGAGTACTACTGAAATAACGCCTTATTTCGACATTTGAACGCTTGAAGTAACGAAACGGTTCCATCAAACGATATCACACTTATTGTGATTTTGATTTGCCACATAAACTATTCATTTCCAAAGTTTCTCAAAACTTCACAAATTTCACAAAACTTCAAAATTCAATTTCCATAAGAATCGTACAGGCTCTTTTGTTTAAAAATGAGTTTTCTCATTTTTTTATAAAATTAACATTCAAAAATTTACAATTATTTAATTCTTTATTTATGCAATGTTATACGCACCTTTGATATGAGTAAGAGAAGAATGCAAATAATTTTCATAATAGCTTTTATATACTATAGTAGAATTTATAACAATATAAGTATTTAGATAGAGTAATTCATGTTGAACTTGAACTACAAACAAATCCATCATTCGAGAATTTGGCAGAGCCTAAAATCAATTCGATATAATTATAACTAATCATAAATAATCAAAAAGAAAAAGTTTTCGGTACATATCTAAAGAAGCATTATTATGCACTATTGTTTTTATGTGTGTTTAAGTGTACAAATATATTTTTCTACAATAATTTTAATATATAAATATATATTTAGTTTTTATTAAATTTCATTTATTGGATTTCTAGAAATTTAAATGATTTGGATTTTTATCATTTCTTATAATTAAGAAATAAAACAGAATATTTGCACAAATATTTAACAATTATTTACATTGTTAAACTGTTAATCATTTGACTGCGTATTCAAATAGCGTAATAAAATAACCTTGTCGATGATGTATGCTGGATAATACATATTAAATCCTTCGTTTAACCATGTATGAGACCATAAGTCAGTCGGTTTGAACAAATTTCTGATATATTTTTGTACCATCCCACGTGCAATCAAGCGCGCAATTATCGTTTTGTATGCGACAGAATCTAATTCTACATTATAAATGATATTTGCTTCCCTAAAAATAATTATACATATATGCATGAAAAATTTTGAATATTAATACAATTTCGTATGTAAATAGATTATAACATGATAGGTAATTAAAATAGTTTTTAATATAGCGCGCTATTTTTAATTATATATATTACCGATAAAAAATGAAACCCAAAGTATGTTTGATTTCATCTTGTAAATCCGGGATTACGACATAATCCACTTTGCTCTCAAATGAAACAGAAGTCTGCTCAAGGACTTTCCTCCAAATATTCCATTCACGCATATATACATTAGCGGAAGAAATAACAGTTTCCGCAAATTCTAGATGCGGTTTCAATTCTGGTCTGAACCATATGTCTTGATTAAAAGAACCACGCGAAATCATGATCCGATGAAAACCGCATACCAGAAATGCTACACTATCTATGGAGATTAAAGGAGTCTCGTGAAAATATGTCCACATTGTATTGTACTTGATTTCAATATTTCGTATCGGCATATTTGATGAAGCTTTGTATTTTGGATGATGCAATATGGAAATAACAAAAGTAATTTTTAATTCTGGCTTGTCCCAATATGGAAATATTTGCTGTTTTTTCGTTTGATACTTGTTTCTTTGCTGGATACCTGTTGCGATTAACCACCTACCGTATTTTAATAATATGCTTTAGATAATGATTAATTTTAGATAATTGTAAATGTAGAATGCACAAATGTACAATTTCTTTTTGATATATTTCAATATATTCTTCTACTTACTCTATTTCTTTATCTTCATTTATGTATAGAGTTCCAAAAGACTTTCTTACGATATTAAGTGGGATTTTAAATTCTATATATAAATTGTACATTCCACACAGCAAGACATCACCGAAATCGAGCACGACAATATTGTTTTTATCGGGATTTGTTGGTCTTGTTTCATAAATTATACTGTTTTTTTGAATTAATTTTGATGCTATTATTTCCGTTGAATTCGATACATAAAAACTTATGTATTGATTTGCATAAGAAATATTTAAAGTAATTGTGCATTCGCTGACAAGATAATCATTGAGAAACACTAATTTCATGTTATAATGTATCGGAAATATATAATCTGATATATTGCTTGATTTGTTGTTTAATACATTGCGCATGATTTTTGATTCTTCATCGATTTCTACTCCTTTGATTTTTGATTCTTCATCATCTATAGGACTCGCTATTGCCATTACAGCAAGATATATTATACTAGTACTTAATAATAATCTTAAGAATGTCATGTTGAATTTCACTCGGATATCTATAAGAAACGTTTCTTCATTAAAAACAAAGTGTTTACAAAGAGTATGCAATTTAATTGACTTTTGTGTGAAAAAATGTTCGAGTTTAGTAACGTGGCATAAGAAAATACGATGAATGTAAAGAAAGATTAAAATAATATAGTTTAATAAATAAAGGACTAATTAAAAAAGATAAATATAAAAATTATTGAAACAACATATGAAATATTTTTCTTGGATCTGAATATTAGGGGTCATGAAGGACGTATTTAGATAATTCCAATAGGACAAGCACAATAAACATAACTCTTATTTATCTCAAATTTTGTTATCTTCAAGATTTTTTCTAGTGCAATTATATATTTCAGTATCTTGCATATTGTGACATATGTATATAACAAATTTTGAAAATATTAATCTTATTCTTATATATATATATATATATATATATATATATATATATATATGTTAAATTTAAGCATTAAAATGTATAAAAAATGAAGGAATATTCTCAATAATGAGATTTTATAAGTGATATGAATTGTACGTTTATTAACATGTTATTTTCAAGATCAATCTGTTCCGTAAGTAAAAACTGTATTAAGAACATGTACACAATACACGTATAACGGAAATCAAATATTATCAAATATTTGAATTTTTGATGATGTAGCGAATTGAATCAAACATTCGGACAAAATTCTAAAAAGAACTATCTTAGTATTTTTTATAACACACCTTTTTGAATAAAATGTTAATTTTTCATTGTTTATTGTTCATTCATTCATTATACATTCAAATTAATATATCCTGCTCTGGTCCAAGACATTCATTATAAAAAATATTTTAAAATCAAAACACAGATAATATTATACGTTTTTAAGATAGATAATGTTATAGCTATAGTGTAAAATTAATTACACAGTAATTTTATAATATCAAAAAAAAATTTAGTTTATAAATTTTACATTTTCTATATGTCAAAATAGTCGAAATATGGTATCACAGTACAAACGTAAATGTCTTCATTTCTATTAACTGTAATGTATGCAAAAGATGAAAATAATATTTACAGTAAAAGGAGTTAGTCGATTTGAAAATTAAAAAAAATGTCTTTTATAAAATAAAAGCATTGCCTATTACTTCACATAATTTTGTATGCACATTTAATAGAAAAAAGAAAAATATTTTATTATATGTTTATTTAATGGCTTACCCTTTCTATTAGTTGAATCAGATTTAATACCAGATTTAACACCAAAAGCATTCAATCGCGAACTTATCGCTTCAAAAGACTATCATAAACTGATGGTTCTGTCGGCATATACGACAGTATATAGGAGATTAAGTAGGGTACGTAGAGTTATATAAATATCATTTTGATTATACATAACATAAGATATCTTACATATCAACAGAAGTCAGCAGGTATATACTCTTTTAATTTTTGTATTCCATTTTCGTATATAAAGTTTTATTTAAAAAACTTTTAAAGACAATTTTTCTATAAACTATTCGTGAGAGAAAATTAATTGAAGAATCATGGTTTCTATATATAAGATAAATATATTTTACATTTTATATTATATCTTTATCATAAAGAATTATTTCTTTTCAAGAATTTAATGTATAAAGTAAATAAAGAATAGTTGTTTATATCTTGTTTTATTTATAAGATATTTATTTTTAAGATTATTTATAAGATATTTATTTCCTATTTGTGACATTCTTTCTTATTTGTGACATTATTTTATGGAAGTTAATACATTAATTGCAATCATTTGACAGTTATGGTTGAAGATCCAATCTTCTACGTAGAATTAATTCTAAATTTAAATTAATCTGCCTTAGAGAGATTGGGGATGTCATTATTATAATATACAGTATCTAATCGATTAATTGAATTTAATTTGGCTCTATGATTATATTAAAAATTTCAATTAAATCCAACATACGTCTTGTCACATATATTATTATTTCTGGTTTTAATATTCATTATCTGCTTTTAAATATTTTCCTGAATATTGCTATTGCTGTTTGAGCCAAAATCCATAAACAAACTTCAATTAAATATTACGAAAGTACATATATATATATATGTGTGTGTGTGTGTGTGTGTGTGTGTGTGTGTGTGTGTGTGTATACACACACATATACATAATGCCTCCCAATCTCCGTCAAAAATTTTAATGTATGTTAATGTATTTTAGAGATAAAATAGAATCAAGTATTTAATACGAAAATATTGAAACTACAGTAATTTTTGAGTTGTAATTATATTTAACAAATTAATCGTACGGTTGCATTCGGCCTGCCATTTTACTCGCCGCGTTACAGTGAATATCGCGCGAGACAGGCAAGCAACATGCGCGGCGTCGTGTACGATTTTGACCGTCCGCGCGCAGACGAAAAATGGCAAATTTATATCTGGACTTCCAGACGCGATAGCGATTTCGTTCTTTTTGCATAAAATTTTACACCATTTCGCGGCACTACCGTTTAAATCTCGTCCCGATCGCCCGAGAAGCGGCTGACTTACAGTGAATATCTGAAATCTGCTTCTTGAACTCACACTTAAGTGTAATATTTATATATATCGAATAAAAAAGCAAGTCGGAACGCAATCAATCGAATAGTGAATTAAATATTTATATATACCAAACGAAAAGATGAATCGGAATGCATTCGTTCGATTAATTCCTTAAATATTTATATATATAAATATTTATATACATATTAATATTATATATATAATTATATATATAATTATTATAATATTATACATAATATAATATTATAATATTATATATAATTATATATAATATTATATATATAATTATATATATAAATATTAATATTTATATATATATAAATATTTAATTAATTAATCGAACGATTGCATTCCGATTCATCTTTTCGTTCGGTATATATAAGTATTTAAACAATTAATCGAACGATTACATTCGGCTTGCCATTTTACTCGCCGCGTTACAGTGAATATCATGCGAGAGAGGCAGGCAACATGTGCGGCGTCGTGCACGATTTCGACCGTCCGCATGCAGACGAAAAACGGCCAATTTATATCTCGACTTCCAGACGCGATAGCGATTTCATTCTTTTTGCATAAAATTCTACACCATTTCGCGGCACTACCGTTTAAATCTCGTCCCGATCGCCCGAGGAGTGGCTGACTTACAGTGAATATCCGAAATCTGCTTCTTGGACTCACACTTAAGTGTAATATTTATATATATCGAATAAAAAAGCGAGTTGGAACGCAATCAGTCGAATAGTGAATTAAATATTTATATATACCAAACGAAAAGATGAATTGGAATGCATTCATTCGATTAATATTTATATATATAAATATTTAACGAATTTATATATATAAATATTTAACGAATTAATCGAACGAATGCATTCCGATTCATCTTTTCCTTCCTCTATATATATATATATATATATATATATATATAGAGGAAGTGAGAGAGACCCACAAAATTCATTTATGTTAAAAATTTATTAAGCATCTTGCTATACAGCACTGGTGCTACCGGCATTTCATACACATAGCACCAGAAATTGTGCACATTATATGTTATCCTCTGAGAATATTCGTGGACATTCGTTTCATAGTTCATGTCCACGTTTTTAATGTCTACAGAGGGTGTATCACTTTCAGGGATCACTTAAAAGCAGGCCATGACACCTCGCATTTTTCTCTCTGTTAGCGAGATACAAAGAATGACAATTGTTAATAAATTATCTGTTGAGTAAACAATGGTCAGAGAAAATAATTGACATTATTGATCATCATATTTAAATGAAAGAGTACATACGAATGATTTTTTTACAATTATCAATATTTATGATCTATGTCGCAATGTACTTGTTATTTTTTTCGTCTGATCAGAAACATATCCATTTCAGTTTTCTGTCTTGTTTTATGAAATTTATGAAAAATATTGACTCGAGGTACATAACATGCCAATTACTGGCTCGTAAGAATAGCTTCTAATAATACGAATCGATCGATTGGAAACCTTGTCGCGTCCCATTCACTTTCGCTAATGAAAGCGAGGAGGCAAGTTCGATGTAAGAGGCGACCTGCGTGAAGATACCTTTGAAATCACATTTCAAGGTTTTACTTTCTTAAACTGAGTCAATGAAAATATCACTAAGCAATGACACAAGATTTCACCGAAGATGAGCATTTCACTAATTTTCAGTGAAAATATTCATAATTTACATTTCCGCATTATGACAGTTAAATTTCACTGAAAAATCAGTAATAATATGTTTGCAAGGTGTAACTTTTAAAGCTCTTTCTTTTTTTGGATTGCTATTTTTAATGTAGGAGAGATTCTCATATATTTAAAACGAAACACATACAATTTTGACATTTAAATTTAGAATTATATATATATATATATATATATATATATATATATATAATTATTTGAATTTGAATGTATGTTTAATATGCGTTTCATTTCAAATATATGAAAATTTCTTTCTCCATAAAAAACATATACATATAATTGATTCTTCCAAAAATATTTTACTGATTTGTAGATTTGTAGTTAAAATTTATTGGATTTAAAGTAATGTATTATAACATAAAAAAAACAATGACTGTTAACCTATTTACTATTTTTTATATATAAAATGCACTGATTCCATATAAAAAAGTACATCAATGATTAGATAATGCAAACAAAAGTAATTAATTAATTTGATTAAATGAGATAATCACATTAATAATCAAAATTTTGTATGATCTTCAATAAACAGAATAAACCAATAAGTCAATTCGTGGCATACATAATTTTTTATAAAGAAATACAAGCATAATTAAGAACATTAATGAGCAAAATGTATCACTGATATAATCGTGTGTGAATGCGCAGAGGAACAGCATGCCTTATGCAGTAGAAAAAAAATTGCGAGAAAGAAGCTTGCATTTTGCGAATGCATTCACGAGGGTAATTGACCGTTCACACGTGAAGACGTAAGTGGAGCAAACAGCAGAGGTGGTTCGTTCCTTCAAGATTCGCATGCTTATCAACTAGAAAGCCGATAATGCGTGTAACAAACAGTGCGCATTGAAAATACGCTTTCCGCGTGATTTATTAGTTATTTCATTAAAAATTTTTGACATGACTCTCTTTTCGTCCCACTGTCAATTATTACATCAAATTTTATATTTAAATCCTTAGAATTTTCGTTGGCCCCATTATTTTCATATAAATAATTTTTTATTTATATTAATTATTTATATTTTGTTTATATTAATTATTATAACAAATTTTCAGAATGAACTCGATTGTAAAAAATTATTGTCAATCTTAAAAAAAAGTTTAAAAAAGTTTTAAAAAGTTTATATCTGATAAGAATAAAATAATAAAAGAAATATGATTCTGGCATACAAATTTAAGCAAAGCTAAAGATAAAGAAAGTTTCACAATTTCTATATTTTTATATTCAATGTAATAAAATTCTTTTTTATTTTTTATTAAGAATAATCTTAAAATTCATTTAAAAATATCTTTGTCATAAAGACAATATGAATAACACGTTGCATTTTGTAGTGTTAGTTACATATATATAACAGATTTGAAAACAATATTTCTTATTATCAAGACATCCTCTCTTGATCACCCTCTCGATTGTCTTTACGCGCAACTATTTTTATTAACGCGATTAATAGCTTCGTCGCTTGTAGCAAAACGAGTAACATGAGCAGCGTATCGAGCGTATCGAGGCTCTTCTCAAAGATCGTTTAATCCTATTTGGGACCTACTTTTAAAACGCGCGGGAGAGAAAGTAAGAGGAGTTGCCGATGGAGTGACGGCGGTCGCGTGCTTGAGAAAGTAAAGTCCCTTTCGCGCATAGAGAGATGTACACACTTGCGTGTACTTGTACATACTGATATACGCGTACGTCGTGCATGTTCGCCAGGCCGATCTATATGGGTCGCGAAAGGAAGTTGGTGCGATGATTAGTGATGTTTCAGAGAATCTTTTACGTCTTGAGCACACATTTTCGCGCGTAATTTTACATTTTATAACATGGACAAAAATAAACAAAAATAAAATATAATATTAAGCTTAATTAATAGAAAAATAAATGCATAATGTTATATCTCTTCATACTCTATAAGAACTGTCTTTGTATTAAATTATATGACCATCTTGCGGTATAATATACAAAGAAAGTAAACAAAAGTAAGATAGGAATAAAATATTAAACTTAATCAATCAAGTAAAATTAAAAGTAAATTGATTTATATTATATTAAATTGAAATTTTTTAATCCATTAATAATTGATTCAACATTATAAACGCAGTCACTGAGAGTTATATACATTCATTGCAATGTGTAATATTTTATACAATTCCTAACATATTTGTAATTTTCCAAAACGTACCTTGTAAATTATTGGAGCAAATACGAATAGGAATCTACTTATGATTGCACATTTTCTATTTACAAGAAAGATTACAAACAGTTTTCTGATTTGCACCGCTCTAATTAACGTCACTTATGTATCTCACGTATTCTCGGCTAAATGCTTAAGAATGCTTCATGATTTCTGAAATGAAGAAGATTTTCATTTCATAAACTTGATCCTTTGGAGATATTAAACATACATCTAAAACAAAAATCAAGTATGATAATATTATGAGCTTTTATTTTTTTTATATATTCTTGATGAAATTTATTTTATATTTATCATTTTTATTTGAAAAATGACTCCGATTAAATAATTGTTCGCTTTTTAAATATAATTAAATGTGTTAAAAATCTTTATTAGTCATAATTATTAAAATTATGATGAATATGAATAATAAATTTAAAACATGATAAATCGATATTTCATATGAAACGAGAATCTTTTTTTTTATATCTAAAGTCATAATATTAAGCATCTGATCACTATTAAATTTCACAACATTTAAAAATACTTACAACATAGACCGCGAGTCAAGCATAAGTAATATGTTAGCGAGATAACTTGAAAGCAATAAGAGATCATGTCATATGCCAATTTATCCGAATTATTAAATATATCATTCATCGTTTTGGATAGAAGAAAAAAGGATGTATGATTTTATTATTTAAATTCCTTCCATGAAACCCTTAATAATCCTTTATCGTTTACTACGTCAACGTAATGCACGTGTTGCACGATGTTATTCTTTTGTTCATTGCTCTTTCTGCGACATCGTAATACTCTCTCGATGAATATCACTCTGATATGCATTAGTCATCCGCATTCCACGTTAGTATTTATCTATTCACGTCACAATAGTTGCGCGAACACGTCTCGTATACGCAAAAGACTGTGTAATGCGACCAACTGCCTAATTGCATCCTGGCATCTTGGGCTTCCACGAAGTTACGCAATAACACGCGTCGCATGACCTCATTTCTTTCTTCCTTTTCTTTTTGCGGTTTCGTTAGTATTTCCATATTAATTCATAAATTTGCATGCGTTAAATAGGAAAGAAACGACTTGTTTAGAATTTCTATTGTGAATTGCGCGCGAACGATGCGTCATAACTAATTGCACACACAATCTACACAGTAATACCTGAAACACTTGTAAAGTGAGAGCAGTTTATATTTTAATTGTTTCGAGAGAGGGAGAGAGAGAGTCTAAAAAGGCATAAATAAAAATGTGTGACGATATGTATATTAATGGCAGATTGCTCGCACTACATAAAATATTCTAAACGAGTTTCAACGCGTAGAAATTAATTACTTATCTTAGAGTTTATGAAGGACTTTATAAAGAGAGTGATATTTAAAGAAGAAACTTCTCTCGACTTCCGGCCACGAAGGATTTAATTTCGCGAAGCGAAATGCGGCGATGGATACGCGCGGACTTTCGAAGTTCACGGAGAAAGTTACACCTGGTTGACTCTAGGCGGGGGGAGGAGATACTAGGCGACTCGTCTAGACGAATAAAAGAAACCGATGATCTTGCGATCGCGTTCTTCGATTTCGACCTATTTCTTGCGCGCATTCTTACGCCGCGAGTCGCTCTCTACGAGACGATTTCATCGGTGAATACTTTCGATCTTAATTGAGCATCTATCTTTCTCTCTAATGGATGCAATTGCAATGGTAATTGTTAACAAGCCTCATTAATCGTTACGCACGTCGTGCACGAAAAGTTTCGTATTTTCGATAAGGTTTAATTTAATTAAAAAATTTAATTAGGTCTAATATTATAAAGAAATTGAATGTGATAAGTTTGGAGTAAGATTTCTAATTAAAAGTATAAAAAAAACTCGTCATTTCTGATCGTTGGCAGAAAAATTGGGAGAAATTTTATTTCACAATTTAATAATTCCTGCTGTCATATTTTCCTATTGACGTGGGTGCGTTTTAAATTTATTGTAGGATCATCTACATAAAAAGGTAAGATAAAAGATAGTTAGATAAGATAAAAAGATAGTTTGCGTATTACAGGATGTACTAATCGATAAGTCCGGCTTAGAGGTGTCAAAGAGGAGAAAGGAGTTAAAATTGTGCGTCAAACATGACGCATGTGACGTCGCCTCTACTTTCGTTTTCATCTAGTATATAATCTGCATAAATTTTCGACATGTGCACATAAACATGTAACAGTTCATGCTTATAATTCTTCATCGATATATAATTTTTATTTCATATCGCTCATAATTTGCTTCGATTTTTTTTTCTAGCAGCCTTTCTCATGCAGCCGGATACTACCGCAATTTGTCTCATTAAGATCTGAAATTCCAGAATTATTATTCCCTGTAATTCGATGAATCAAATCGATGAATCATGGTCAAATATCATTTATTTATTTGCCACTCTTTTTTCAAGATTAACTTAAAAATGTTAATTGTCGCGTTTTTATCCCACGTCATTGCAATCGTATTATCAAGACGGATCTTGCAGGATTGCGTGGTATTTTTCGCTTCATCAGCGTAGAAGAATGTTATGATGATCCTCGGAGCTGATCTTGAAGGCGATCAAGACGGCAGATCGTTATCATTGGCCGATCGCAAAATTGACAGGAGCCTGGCATTCGTTCCCCGTATTCGACGCACGAAAGTAGCACATTAGAGCTTTGCGCCGAAAAGTAATCTTATTGTCGATTGTCCCATTGCTCGCCTCACCTCAGCTTGTTACCGACTTTCACCGATGCTTAAATAATAATTCACGGCGCAATGATTTCCTGATACCCGCGGACACGCTCGTAAATTCGCAAAAACGAGAGTGCCCCGGATAAAAAACGGCGCCTTCCTTCCCCAAACGGGCCAAATCGTTTAACGAAATTGTCAATCAATCGATTTTGAGTCTTATCCATTTAAATTCGAAATGTTAGCTCAGAGCTTTATATTGCACAGATACGTATATATTTCGTTAATCTGAATATTTAATTAATGAAAGTGTGCAAATTTGGAAGAAAAAAAGGACCACAAATATAGTTGTTAAAAATATGTGCAGTAAAAATGAGAAATTTTTAATGAAAAGACTATTATTTTTAAACTTCTTTTCGGTGAAACAATGGTTCGTACTCATTTTCAGAACGATCGACTGCTTAATTACTTCAACTTACTTCCTAAATGTTCACAGCAGCTGAGCAAAATGGTGAAACGTGCGAATCTGAAATGCGATCTTTTGAATATTCATTAACGAAAGATTTTTACCTCTTTCTATCTGGGGAATCTCAAGTCATTATTTGATGAATTCTGCAAATTATTGAGATTATGATTTAATCATTAATATTAAAACTTATTTATTTATTTATTTATTTAGCATGATGATGTACGAAGATCTATTACATAAACGAAAGTAGAAACAAAATAAAATTAAATAAGAGCAAAATTACAAAAATTACGAAAATAAAAATAAAAACTAAATACACAAATAAAAATCAATCATATAAATGTACAATAACTCTTGTATCTCATATAAATATAAAAAATTCGGTAAATAATTTGCGGTATATTTTCATTTGCGCTTTTTGGAATACGTACGCGAAATCTCACCTCGATTAATAAAATAGAGAGATGTAAGATGTCGGTAAAACTTTCTAGCGTGTCAACGAAATTGGGTACTTGTATCTCATTCATCCTGTGGAAATCATTAATGAACAAAGGAACAATGCAACGAGAGATTAGGTACAGTAGGCGCCAATAATAAAATAATAATGTCTAAAATAAAATAATGTCTTAACATATGAAATTAGTCACATTTGGGGCTAATAACTAAACGCATCACATCAAGCTATTTATGCATCATGACTGTTAGTTAGAAAAGAAACCGACAATATTTGTTTTGAAATTATGCCTATAATCTTTTATAAATTGCATTTAAAATTGTTAAATAGATGTATGTGGACACAATTCTAAAATAATGTTGTCGATTTCTTTTCGAATTAACAGTCATGATGCATAAATAGCTTGATACGATACATCTAGTTATTATTACTCCTGCATGCGACCAATTTCATATGTTAAAACATTATTGACGCCTACTGTACTTCATCATGAGTTTGGAACACTAGAATGTCGTTCATCTTTCGGAACAAACGCAAATGAGTTTAAAAGGACATTATTTCATTCTAATATCATCCTCTTTTGATCATGTCGTCTATTCATCTCTAACGCTTCAAAGCAATACACGCATACGTAATGCTAATAACATTCTAAATATAACTACCATCGTGAAAAAATTGGAAGATTGTTAATTAATAGAATCTATTATTGAGAAATTAAATGTTGTAAACATCCTTCCTGGAAATTCTCGCTTCCACCAGGAACCGAGTGTTACGGAAGGTCGGTGAAGTCGATGGCGGGTGAAAAGGGGGAAGTAGGGGAAGACGAGATCATCAAGGGGGTAATCGCAGGTTCTCCATGCGATGGATACCGGTTGGCTTTTTCGGACGTCGTGAAGTGGTGGAGGCGCGGACTGTCGCCTCGCACGCAAACCACTGGTGGGGGACAAGGCGAGAGAGTTTTACGTACCGAAATGAAACTACTCGGAGAAAGTGAGAGCAGACGTAGCGGCGCCGGCGAACACCGACGACGGCGCGAGGCAGGCGTTCTTCGGGGCTCCTCGAGAAGAGAGGATAGACATGCGGAGCTTCGTCAGCGTGTGATAGCCGACACGCTTCATCGGGTCGCTCGCGTCCGCGAGAGGGTCGTCCGTCAACCGAATCTGTCTCGGAGGAACTGGAGGAAGTCACGTCGAAACCTCGGGGAGAAATTTAAAAATAGTCCATTAAAAATCAGTGGCAAAGTGAGAAAAAAGGGAGGTGTACTCCCAGGTGTGATACCCTGAAGAGTAGAATTCGCGGATGCCGAAATCGCGACGTTTTCCAATCCAAAGAAAGACGTTCAGAACGACCTCGTTAGTCACTGAAGCGATAGTTAGACACTTTATCGTATCGCGATAACGAAGGTGATTACATGACGTTGTCATGTTTAGTTTTCTTGTCATTCCGGATATGTAAGTCGCGAGTGCTCCGACAATTTTTTCGCGACGCGATCGGGGAGAACGCGATCGATCAATGAAGAACACCTTGCAGTGATACATCTCGGTGAACAATCGTTCCTCGCAACAGTATCCTCGATTGTGTTATGGTGCTGAGGACTACCTTGGTCAGACGAGGCAGACGAAGAGGTCGTAGAAGAGAGGGCGGCGGAAGTAGCTCCATCCTGGCGGATTTTGCTCGAGAAATCGCTCGCATTGGTTCAATCAGCCGAGGAGAAATCCGGGAAGGTCACGTCTCGTGAATCGGTGAGTGCAGTCTCACGCCGATTTAGCTATCGTTCTCTCTTGTAAATCGGCTAACCGGTCCATTTTATTCATCGCGAGTTTTCTATTTTCTAATCTTATAACGCTAGAACAAGAGAATTCGCGAGAAATCTCCGCGAGGAGTTTCTATAAATAAAAGAGACGCAGATAAAAACAGAATTTGATTAGTACATAGTTGCTACATAAATACTATACAAAATGCTTTATAACTACACTAGATATTGTTAATTTAATTCGGAGAAAGCAACTCGTGAGAGAAAAGATTGTTACGCTTCCGTAATGAGATGCAATTTGACTTGTTTGAGGTTCAGAATCAGGCCATTCATTCACGTGTACAGTTCATTATCGCAAAAAGACAAAGTTACAGAATGGTGCTTTCTTCTCGACATAGAGCAACATGTTGGAGGATCTATCTCTCGATCTTGAGAGATTCGTACTTGTTTAACAATGCAAAAGTCGGCGCGCGTGTAAAGGCGATCGGCTCAGCTTCAAAAAAAAAGAAAAACTTTCTCCCATAGTTTCGTGTACTTGATCGTATATAAGTGATAAATCGCGCGCGCGAAGAATTAAAAAACAGCAAGATCGTAAATTTATTCGATTTATTATCGAAATCGACACGATGGATTAAAACGGAACGCTCGGTTTCGTTTCGTTTCGTTAAGCTTAATGTCCGATTAAACGCGACAGTTACATTACAAAAGCAGCAGGGAGAAAGCAAGATCGCCTTCGTGTGGAGCACCTATCTTTTCAAACAGAGGCTATCAGCCGACTCTTATAAAAAGTATGTTAAGCGAGAAACACAAGCCGGTGATTTTGATGCATGGAGACGATCAGTTCGTTCTCAATCTCGATATCAATTTAGTTCGATTCGTCAATTAAGTCTAATAACACGCCCGTTAATGTAATCTGTCGTTTATAGATTCTATCTTATATATGGCAATAGAAGCTTGTGTTCCATAAAAGATGCTCCAGTATCGATCTTAGATAATTCGTAACCATGTATTCGTTAGTTTTAATTAGAACTTCTTCATAATTGACATAATTGACACTAATAATAAATAATCGCGTGACTGTGGAAATCACGGTAGTATGCTGTTTTAAAGAAATTTGATGCAACTATGTATTATACACGAAAGTTTCACATTAAAAACTCCCACTTTATGAAAAATTTACACAGAAATTTATGTCAACGAAATATAATGTACCATGAAAAAATAACGTAAGACGAAAAAAATGTGTTCTTTGAAAATCTCAGATGGAGATGAATTTTTTGACAATTTCGTGGGGGAAAAATCCTTCCGCTAATTCTGGGATAAAAACACATTTTTGCAATTTAAAATATAAATTTTTGCGTTACGCATTAAATAAATTGTCTCGCAATTGGAGCAACAATTTTCTGCATTTTTGCAGGAAAAATTAACTGACATAAATAAGTGATTAGCAAATATCGTGATATCGTATGTATTTTGCAGTTAATCGATCTAACGAAGTGATAGAGACATACTTTATATTTGAACTGTTAATGAAATTTAGGAAGAAAGTCTGCTTATTTATTATATATTATTATCTTATATATTATATATTATTAATCGCATCAAAACTCTTATATTTAAACTCTAATATTTAAACTCTAATTAAAATATTATATTTATCTTATATTTATCAATGCAATGATTAATATTTGACAATATGATCTAAATTTACTAAAAAGTATTATATTAGAATTTGTTACTATAAATTCTACGTGTTACAATATTGTAATAGATACAAAAAATTAGCAATAAAAATTTTGGTTACTGTATCCAAAATTTTATCTATTATTTATCTACTACATCAGTAAAACATTTTTTTAAATGCGTGGCATAGAGCGTCGCTTTCGAGCGAGGAGGAGGGTCTTTTATTTTTAAGTTGCCATCCTCGTAGGCAGTGAAAGTACTTCCGTTCTTTCTCAAAACGAAACGCTCGCGACGGCGCATCGAGGATGCACGCTTCGGTACCGTTGTACACGCGTTGCCCAAACACTCCCCATCGTTTACGTAACGGAACTCGACAGAGAAACGTGGAACTCGTCGCTACATGAGTAGGCTTTTAACTTTTATTTAAGCCGAAGTATAAGTGTTTAAACCGAAGTCATGAACGGTTGTTGAAATCGAATTTTGCAAGAAATAAATCGTTTATCGAAATTGTCACTTTGTTGCGATTCATATCTTTTTCATTCCTGAAAAGCTCGGTGGTCGTTATACATTCATTGTTCCTCATTGCTGCTACATAGTCATCACTTGCGGAAACGGACCAGAAACCAAGCGGTCAGTGAGAAAAGATTCATTACACAATGGAAAGTGTTCGTCACGAAAGATATCGGTGAATTAGACCGCGAAAATACTTACTCCTTTCAAGGCCATAAATAAGATCAGTCGCTGCGACTCACAGTCGAGATTTCTTCGGTGAAGAAACCGGTTTTTTATATTTCGAAAGGAAACGCGTACACGAATGCGTTTTCGAAACGCACGTAAAAAGATGAATTTTAAGTATTTACGTTAGATCTGTCCAAGTTTTTACATGAAAGTTAAAGTTTCCCGAAGTTGTATCTGGTGCAATTACAGGTAGCGAATTTAATGAGGATGAAGATCTCATCTGTTTTATTGGGTAAATATATAAATTTGAATAATCCTGGTAAATTTATATAGCTTATAGCACGCGAAAGAATATATTATATAAAGGAATTATCTAAATAATTGGTCAAATTGGTTGTAATGTTCTGATATATTCTGATAAATGTTATGTAATATTGTAATATTATGTGATGTGTACAATTTGATAACGTATAATAGAGAGGTGTAAATGAGGTGTAATGATAGCGTTGCGATTTATATTTATATTTTATTTTATTTATTTACATTTTACATAAGATTGCTTATGTGACATATACATGATTATGTGACACATAATCAATCTTATGTAAAATGTAAATAAAATTGTATGAAAATCATAATCAAATCATAATAAAATGTAAATAACTAAAATAATATATATATAATATAATAATATATAATATATGGATAATTCTACAACGATATCGATATTATATATATATAATATCGATATCGTTGAAGGATTATCCATATATTATACGGAACATTAGCCGCATCCGGTTAAGTTAAGATACGGTATGTTTAATAATGCGCGGACGATGTAATAGCGCTTCATTTTATTTGACGATGAGGTACACGTATATATTATTTAGGTTTATATTATATAATTCCAAACGCGTGCATGCACAGATATTGTATGATCATCGACATTATCGTCGTGGCTCGGTGATCGAGCTTTTCTTCGTGATGCTTGGCCGGTTTGCCATTGTCATGTTAGCTATTAGGATATTATACACACGATGCATCGAGGGAAAATTGATGCGATTCATTCGTAGCGGAACGAGAGGACGGAATATAATCCTTCGGAAATTTTGGGCGAAAGTAAGTGCTTGTGCCTGGCGCCTGGAGAAAGTGATGGACCGCTTCCCCCCCTCGTTCTTTTAACGTCGATTCACGCGGAATTCGAGATCTCGCCGAGAGCGCGAGAGAGGAGAAAGATATATCCAATCGGGGGATCGATCCATGTGGGTGCTTGCACGTGCGCGAGCTTTCACTGACAGCTGGAAAACGGCGACGTCTCCAGTTGGTCCAAGCGGCCGGTTCTGAATTCAAAACTGTTGTGACTCGAATAATTAAAGATCAGAGAGTGTCACATATCCTTAAGATCAAGAGTGTCACATATCCTTAATTTTCGATTTCAAAACTAGACTATCAACTCGAAAAAGTTGCAGGTAGATTATTAATCTCATATGCACACTATACTGTTTGTGTACATCGCTATACGCGTGATAAACATTAGAGTTTGATCTCACAATTTAATACCCGAATCAAGATACGCTCGACAAAGCCGAAAATTAAAAAAGGAATCATTTCGTTGCCCGGTGGAAATAAAAAAGCTGAACGCGTCGGAAATCGCAATCGAGCGATTATGAAGCAAAAGCGATCGCATTATGAAGCAAAAGCGATCGCATTTATAACAATCAAACACTTTCACGATGAAATTCACCGCTCGTGCAATAATAAATTCGCGTGCATTTGCGACGACGTATTCGCAGGAAGCAAAAGGGATACAGATGGAAGAGGGAGAACCAAAAGCTAGGCAAGAAGGCCCCCGAGAACACGATTCGAGCAGCGATTTGTAACTTCCGCCGGCGAGTGGCACCGCGTGAACGTGAACTTCACACTGTGCACGCAAGAAGTACACTTTCACTTCTGGTGAATCCACGACGGAGAGCCAATGACCTACTAACACATCGAACCGTTCACCAGGCGCCGCCGCGATTGATAGCGGCTCGACAAGGCCGTCCACCGGGGATTATTCAACAAACAATTATATCCTCTTTGTTTTTTCTTTCCTTTTTGACATTTCCACATTTGTCTGGACCGAACGTCAATCAACGTCAATCAGACACACACCTTTTGCATGTATATCGTAAGCGTATAAGCGAGGCTTCTAAAAAAATTTAGCCAACAAAGGATTCACTCGTATCTTTCTTCCTATAATAAAAATTTAGATCTATTTAAATTAATTTCTCATTATTAATTAAATTACAGGCAAAATATAAAAACAAAAGTGCCGATAGATGAGAAATTCTTATTAAAGTTTTGCGGTTGGCGCATCGTTTTCTCTCGCTAATGTTGTCGATAGACAATAATTCTATTCGGCGAAGATGTTGATGGATTTAAGTGCTTATATATAATAGTGAATCTTCTTGAGTATAACTGTCTTGATGTTTGGTTCCGGGTGAACTTCTTTACTTTCACTCGTTACGAAGGATCATGACGCAAACGGGATTTTGTTTTGTCCCGTCGAGAAGAATTCATGGGCCACGAAGAAGTTATTTTCTACTTTGCCTCTAAAGTGACCTTATACAAAGAAATCTTTCTCTAGCCGCTCACGCAAACTTTGAATAGATAATAGAATCTGAATTTAAAGGAAAAATGATGATTGCTCTACAAAACAAGATGCTGACACGGAAATCTCAAGCAATTGAAAAATTTTATAATTTTCAAGAAAATGGTAATTATATGTAAAAGAAATAAATTTGATAATTTCAAGCGAATTTTATTTAAATAGAATTTCACATTTTTTCCCTATCTTTTATCTCTAAAATATATATTTTGCACAATTTATTTTTATATCATTCTCATCGTTTCACGTGCCGCTCACGGATGGTTTGTGCCAAAAGAAAGTTCTTCGAGCCATCGCGAAACCGCTACCGATAATTGTCGATACGAGTAACGTGGCATTCCTCGAGTCAGAATCCTTAACGATTCCATCTGGTTACGAGTTCGAGCTATGCACATTTCCTTTCGCTGAGAATCGGACGCTTTAATAGCGTGCGATCATGATTAACGACTCGTGAAACTCCGACTGCGAGGAGAAAATCGGCCCGAATCGAGAGTATTAACATTATCTAGGATTTTCAAAAGAATATTGTCGTATATAAGATCATTTATATATAAATGCATTTCTGTCCTCTTTATATAAATTAATAAATTATATATATATATATATATATATATATATATATATATATAATTTATTAATTTTATCAATTATATATTGATTTCTTTTTCTTAAATAATGATGTTAACAATTGATTAATGTTATTACATTAATAAATAGAATTAAATAGAATTATAAATCTTAGTTTCATCGACTTAACAAACAAGACTTATTTTTGTCTTGCTCAAAGTATTTATGGAAATCAATTTATTTTCCACCCATGGAATATATTATTAAAATATTATAAGGAGATTGTAAGATTCTTTGTAAATATCTTACGATATAAATATATCTTACTGTAAGTATAAATACATACACAGGATTATTTCGTACAACTGATTTCTAATTTCCTCGCAGTAAAACGATGGGTGTATCGAGGCCGTGTCATTGGCTTCTCGCTGCGGTCGTCCTGAGTCTCTCCTCGAGTTTGATGATGAGCGAGACGCTGCAACTCGCGAACTTGGATTCCTCGGCCATCGGCGTGCTAAGGGACGAGACGAATCGCACCAGGGGGATGGCGGGGGCGATTCGCCGACGAAGATACGTACGATTTCCTACGGGATCCGCTGCTTACCTCGCCGACGTGGGTGATGGTCCACCGTCGCTCGGTAGGCATCTCGGGCCGATCGCGCGTTTCGTTCCCCCCCAGTTGCCCGGTACATGGAGGCAACACAAGTCCCTCTGGAGGAGCCCCGTAATCGCCGATTACAACAGGCCGGTGATGTCCCATCGGACACCGCGATTGATATTCCGCGACAACGACTTCCTGCCACCGATCGGAGGCGGCGGAGCCTCCTTCTTCCAGCAGTCTAATCAGTTGCCGGAATTCGAGGATGATGTCAGAGGTAAGAGCCTCTTCTTTTTCCTCGTTTTAATTGTGGGTTGTGATTATACATGTTCTTTAATCATTCTATCTTATCGCTTGAAATTAAAGAAAGAATAATTTTGTATTTAAATTGACTCATAATTAGATCTTTTTATTATTCTTGTCACGTTGCAACTTTACGAATCTTTGAATTAAAAACTGAAGAGTGTTTTCTTGGTTTTTTTGGCAAATTATAAAATCGTAATATCATAATTTCTCTAATATTTAAACGATCCAGAGCCATCATCAAATACACATTTTTCTGCGGTATTAGAAACTTTGGACTGCACAGTTTAATAGAACGATATAGACCCATATTATTGCTGCTCATTCCTCTTTCAAGTGTCTAATAAGCACTTTTCCCTTTTACTTTCTTCTTTACCTTTGCGCGCTCGCGTAATCTCGACGCTTCTGTAAACCACTTTGTTGTGCAAATAGCGTTTTATCGATGAGGATGTTTAGAAAAGCGTGTAAATGTTAATGACGCGTTATATGATACTTTCGAATCATTTCAATTGCAAACGAATCGACGTACGATCGGGTCAGATAACTCATTAATTATAAGTACTCGTGACATACCTATGTAAATTCCTACGGAACAAACTGTAACAATCAAATTCAATAATCATTTGTCCAAATAAATATAGCAATAGTATTTAAGAAATATTAAATAGTATATAGTTTCTACGAGAATGTTATTAAATAATTCTCATATTAATATTCTTCTTTCGTTCTTTTTTATTCTAGTTTTCAATTAATTAATAATTTAAAAAATAGAAATTATATATTATAACTATTTTTATCAATAAATATTATATTATAATCTCTACCCCTATTTTCTATTAAAAATAGAAATTATTGTTTTATAATTTTTCACCGATATACGCGCTTATACAGTAAATTATTTTTTCTTTTTGATTTGACGATAGGCGTCGTCTTTCCAAAAAAACATCTCGTCTTTATTTCAGATCACCGAAAGCAGACGGCGGATGATTATCCTAGATTGGAAACAGGTACGTGCAATTTAGAATCAGAGCATCAATGACTATCGATCAGCTTTAACAACGTCGCTTTACAGGGAACTTTCAATTTTTTTTTCAAGTTCGCGATCTCTGCTTGATTCTCTTCAATTGCCTCTTGCATATTCATAAAAATCACGCAACTTGTGATGACGCGCGAAACTTATTTCCACTGTAGTCTGCAACTTCCGTCGTGGTCTGAGGCACGGAAATCATTACAACATCTTGTCGCGGATGTTAAATCGACGTTATGCTGGGTTGGTACCGAAGGACCCTTTTACAATTGCCCAAACGCCTTTCTATAGAAAGCCCATTATTGGAAAAGATTTTAGCCAGATCTAAAACAAGATTGATGTGATTGTTTACGATAATCACTTGACTTTATGTGATGACACAGATTATGTATAAATATTATAGATATTAAATCTATTAAAATTATTCACGGAAGATGCAAATATCTTATTAGTACAAAAATATATTTAACTTTGTATTAAATTAATATCACTAATATCTAAAGATAGATTTAATTAGGAATAAATAATATTTAGTTTGAAAATATTTCTACTCGTAAACAATTGTGTCTTTAATTACACAGATTATGATATAAATATCATTTAATTCATTAAAATTATTTACAAAAGATACAATTATCTCATTAGTACAGAAATATATTTAACTTTGTATTAAATTAGTATCGTTCAAGATTTAATTAAGCATAAATAATAATTTAAAAATATTTCTATTCGTAAGCAATTTTTCAAGCAATTAAATTTTATTTTTTGTCTTACTGCAGTCATGTTAGCTTTAAGCTCTAGTTTTCGCGATGGTTTTGTATTTCGAAATTAGACTTGGAGTAACTGGTAGATTAAGAATGGCGGCTTTGCCTTTTCTTCGATTATTAATTATAATGATCGAACATCAAATAATCGAAGCATCGAAAGAATGATAGGAAAGCTTTGCAGTTTTTAAGAAATCGTAACTTTGTGTATAAATTGATAAAGATTTATCAGGATCGTAGTATGTTTAATTCGATATTCGATTATATAACGTGTAGCAGAATTGCAAATGTCTTCAAACGATTGACATTAATAATTGCAGCACTTAATAATTAATATCTCGATTGAGAAGAACCGCATTAAAGATTCACATTTTGTGTCGAGCGCATTCCTGATTTCATTAATAGTTATGCAGATCGCTATTTAGATTAGTAACCACGATGACTCGTTCGGACCTTTTCCTCTTCGGACCTTTTCCTCTTCGGACCGGAAGCGCGACCGCGCCACACGCTCTAATAGCTTTGACGGTTTGCGCGGGACGAATTACGTAACATGACAGTCGCGAGAGACGAAGAGTTTCCATATTTTCTCTGCAGAGACGCGCCAACAAAAAAGACCGCTGTGGAAAGGCGACGATACATTGTGCGCGGACGGACGGAGCTGCGAATTTTTTCTAATGTGCTGGATGACTGCTGGCCTGTTGGACGGCAGCTGCGGCGGCATTATGTTCGCGTGTTGTCAGCGGAAAGACCCTAAAGCTCTCACTGATTATAACCTGATTGAGTCACCTAGAGATCAATCTCGGCCGCTTCCGCTGGATTTGTACACGGAGACCGACAGCGACGATCGTAAGTCCTTCCTTCGAAGAAGCATGCCCTCCATTGCACCGCACTTGTAAGCATGAGTTCTTCTTCCCTTGTCTCTTGACTCTTCTCTCTTTCTTCTTTCCCTGTTCCAGTTCTCTTTATCAGTCGTTGTTTCTCTTTTCAAGCTCGGTTATTTTGCAATTCACATTTTACGCACTTGCATGTACTCCGAGTATGTCATTTCCTTTGCCGCACCAGTTTTCTTTGTCGGATGTTTTCCACACATTTCTAAAATTTTAAGATTCTTTCTTCTCCCTTCAAGTTTCATAATTTTTTTTTCAGAATTTCATTTTAAAAAATGTGTGTATATATATATATATATATATATATATATATACATATTTTGTTTTTTTATTTTTCTTACCTTGCGAATATTATATATATTTCACAAGCATGTTAAAATAAATTTGCATAAATTTTTATCTTCCTATGCATGCTAGTTCAGATATAATTTTTAATTGATATCATAATATTGTGTTTTTGCACAATATCATTGAAATTCCCATAAACGCATGTTAATCATCGGGTTTCAAATGTCAGTTTCCTCAATCTCGATCCTTTTATATTTTTCGCCGCAACGTGAAAAAACAGCCGAATAAAATGTTCTTTTAAACACGAAGGAATATAAGAAAAGAAAATTTACTTTACATTAATTTGGGAGAAATTGTAAGTATTTATATAGGACTGGCATAGATTAAAACCGAAAGCACAACAATTGTACAGGTCAGTATCAATTGTCCTCGTCGATGGATTAATTTTCTTGATAAAACGCATTTCTCTACGTCGATATTTAAAACTTTGGCGATCTGCATTCTCCTGCATTTTCTTTTTCACGATCGATAGCGATGAAACGCTTCGTTGCATTCGCGACAACTCTGTTTTCTGCACACGAATGCTTTTCCAAAGCGATGCACTAATAAGCGCATGGATTTGTCAGCGACTAACTAAGGGACAAATCATTGTCTTTATCTCTGTATTGTATATTAATTTATTGCTTCTTCCTTCTCGCGATTATCTCATCAGCTGCTTCAATAGCTAATACGTGTATAAATAATTGCGAATAAATTCTATGATTTCTCGGACGATATTCGAAAAAGTGAGTTATCATTGAAATTATTGTGATTACACGCAATGCAGAAGCTGCGGTCCAACACGTTGAAAGACGCGCTAATAACTATAAGTCATTACTCCAAGTCCAATTTCGGTGATACAAGAACGGGAAAGGAACATTTTTATCGCTGTCGATTACTTCATACTTTCTTCAACTTTGCAGCGCAATTCGGCTCTAGAAGCTGATTGCAATAGAGCTGTGTTTAAGCGTCATTGCGCGTTATTATAATTACAGATTGCGGCATAGTTGGAATTGCCAGACGTTCTGCGTTCACACAGAATGATTTAGGATTTTTAGTTTTATAAAACACTTCTTGTAAGAGATATTTGAATAGCTTTTTCGCGCGACTATTATATAAGTATTATTATGATTATATTACTAAATATCTCTATAGGAATTTATGCTTAATTTTCATTTTTTTGAAGAGAAAAATCTGGTAACTCTAGCATAACTCGACAAATAATTAGACTTAACAGCGCTATGACTAAGATGTCACATCAATTATTCGCGATTCTCCAGGAAATTGCGTTTTGCAGGTTGCGGCATACCGGTAGTCTCGAAGCAAATCGCCCAGAGAAGGATCGTCGGCGGTGACGACGCCGGTTTCGGCAGTTTTCCATGGCAGGTCAGACAGGGCAATAATGCGAAACTTTTTCTCGGGTATTTTGAATCTATTTCATTGAAATCGCCTCTTGCTTTGACAGGCTTACATACGGATCGGATCCAGCAGATGCGGCGGCACCTTGGTTAATCGATTTCACGTTGTCACAGCTGGGCACTGCGTTGCCAAGTGAGTGAAAAATAATTTGTGCTTGTTATATATATGTGTATATCAATTATTAATTTGATTAATTGCAATCGCGTTCGTGATTCTTCTCAAAATCTAAGAAGAAATGTATACATTAATGTAATTTTATATATTAAATTTAATATTTAAAGTTTATTAATATAAAAGATGGCAAAACATTTCCATGCATTAATCAACATTATAATAATATCAAATAATTTCTTCAAATTCTTTAGAGCTTCAGCTAGGCAAGTTCAAGTAACTCTTGGTGATTACGTGGTCAATTCTGCGAGTGAGTCTCTTCCAGCTTATACTTTTGGAGTTCGGGAGATTAGAGTACATCCTTACTTCAAGTTCACGCCGCAAGCGGATAGGTACGTTCATGGTATTATTAATTTATTGGAAACTCATTAAAGAGATGTGATATACTTCGAGAATATTGTAATTTTTGAAAAGAATTAATTTTACCGACACATCTCCTCATCTTTCATGTTTAATTATTTATCAGATTCGATGTGGCGGTGCTTCGATTGGATCGACCAGTTCATTACATGCCCCATATAGCGCCTATATGCTTACCAGAGAAAAATGAAGATTTCTTAGGACAATATGGCTGGGCTGCTGGATGGGGCGCCTTGCAAGCAGGTAGTGTATCATTGAAGAAAAATTAAATTTTATATATCCATTTGGCAACATAATTTTAAAATCGTACACTTTTCTCTTTTGTCATATAGAAAAAAAATTAGAATCTTTTAACATCAGTCGGATTTTATTTTTTGAGAGAGAAAAAATAAAATATTATATATTATATTACATATTTAAGAGTGAATAATAATTAATTATAATAATTAAATTTCATTTATTTTCACGAATTATTTAATTTCAGGTTCCAGATTGCGACCCAAGACGCTGCAGGCAGTGGATGTGCCCGTAATCGACAATCGCCTCTGCGAGCGATGGCATCGATCCAATGGTATCAACGTCGTCATTTATGACGAGATGATGTGCGCCGGTTATCGCGGCGGCGGTAAAGACTCGTGTCAGGTAAGCAGTTTCGTCATCGTGGGCGCGTATTGTTTGATCAATGAATCTGTCCCATTGTTTCGTTCATCATTCTGTGACGCGTTTAACGCTTTTTCAGGGCGATAGCGGCGGCCCATTGATGTTGGAGAAAACTGGTCGATGGTATCTCATCGGCATCGTCTCCGCAGGTTATTCCTGCGCGCAGCCAGGTCAACCGGGAATCTATCATCGCGTGGCCAAGACCGTTGACTGGATCACATACGTCATAAATTCGTAGTTCTCTTCTGCCGTTTATCGCGGGAGAATTATCCTCAGGAAAGCCCCTGGGAATATCTTCGTTGAACCACGAACTTTGCATGACACAAGGTTCGAGTCGAGAAAGAATCTACGATCGCGCTTGAAAAATCGTGATGCGACAGAGGTTTTTAACGATAATTAAATAATTTAAATGACTTTCTCTTAAAGGCTATAGGCCTAATAAAATTATAGCCATTTTACTTTGCAAGAATGTAAAAGTTATTTAAATAAAATCTAACAGAGTTGCAGAGTTTAACGAGCGACACGCGGACGCGAATTTTTAATATATAATTCTGCAAAGCGCGAATAGAATCGACATTCTCTATGAAATGTCATACGCGATATTTTATACATAAGTATCTCTATTGACACAAAGCGGGTGGCGCAAATGTGTTGTAATTTTATCGATGTGAATGCATTGTAAATTAAGCGTGTATGATATACGTATGGATTTGCGCTTAATAAATACTCTGTTTTTGACTTTCAACTGATCAATTGATTATTTTTCTCTTTCAGTTTCTACCACAGCATTATAATTGCATTTTATTCTCAATTTTAATATATTTTAAACGCACTAATCGCGTAATTACATAATATTACAACGTGATAAATCAACGTTGTAAATCTATCATTTATATCTGTAGCCATATAAAGTAAATAGATTTGATTGACAGTGCTATCATTTCTAAAACAATTGAAATTTTAATAATGTATACTCCTGGACAAAATTAATGCATAATTTTTTTTCACTTTTTCTTTAAAATTTTTTAAATATCAACTTTCAAAGAAAAAGTCTAAAAAAATTATGTGTTAATTTTGTCGAAAAGTAAATATATATATATATATATAATATATATATATATATATATATATATATATATATATATATATTACGCAACAAGAGAAGAGTAACAATGAGAAAGAGAAAAAGAGAGAGAGCGAAATGAGAATAAACAGTATTTACATTAAAAACATATTTCATTTAACCGCTACTTTTCAACACAACAAATAGCGTTTAAGTATCTATGTTCCGTTGCACATATTTCATATAAGTACACATTTACTTTGACATAGTTAATTAACAATACGTATCGGCTCCAACGATCTAACTTATCAGTATCTCGCTTTGGCCTATTTTAACATCGCAAAATATTTAAGAGATAATTCTATCATCATTAAATCTAATATATAATACGTACTCTCCGGTAGCCTCTGATCTCCCTTCGCATCATTACATATCGTTTCTAGCTGCTAAAATAATTTAATAATAAAATTTTTCGTAGTGGAATGATTTTAGAAATGAATGTTCGGTAAATAGAAATCAGCAACAAATCTCTATCGTTATTCGCGATCATCATTCGTAATTGCCTGTCAAATCTCATCGTTCCGCAAAATGCAAGGGGCGCGTATACACGCGCTAAATAAATGATTATTAATCATGCTGCTTTGAATAAAAAACGCAAATAAAAATTTCAGGCTACGAAATGCATCGAGAAACATATCGAGATGCTCGGGAAGAATAGCGGCCCCAGACAGTTAATGCTAATTCTTCTAGCTAAACACAATAAGTAATGACGATTAAGTCACGAATTCGCTTAAGTATTCGCTCGAATATGATGTAAGTGAAAAAAGATCATCATTCGAGCTGCATTCGGAATTCTCGCTCTGCTTTAAAATCTTGTGAGAAACATTTGTATAATTGTCTACATATGTTCTTGAAATATAAATAGCTGCGTTCCGTCACGTGGAACGAATTGGTTCCTTCTTGTGCGGAACTAATGTATACAATATTTGTCGCTACAATTTTTTTTCTAATTGTAAAGATAAATAATAATAATACTTTCTCGAGAGTTGGCATCGCTCTCTCTCGAATACTAATGAAGAGAAGGACGAGGACAAAGGAGAGCTGGGTCAAAAGGGACCCTAGTTTGAGTCAATAAATATAAATAAGCCGAAGCTAGAATATTTAGGAAGTTAAAAAATGCTTATATATAATACATATATATATATATATAAATTACACATTAAGTATCAATTACTTCTAAAAGAACGACAGTGCTTTATAGAAGAGAGAGAATAATGAGATGAATCCAAATTAATCATCTAGAGATCGCTAGTAATGAGCAAACAGCTTTAATTCTATTCTAACGTTCGGCTTATTCGTATCACTCATGTGACTTAAGTAAACGTCGTTAGTTATCCTAGATAATCGTGGATACCGCGACAGACTAAATGCATTAATTCAAGATTCTCCTAATCAGCGAGCGCCATTCCTTCCGTAAACCATGTTCTGGATATTATACAAGGACCGGATAAAAAGAGAGCTTATAACAGGTAAGTTACAATATTATCCGGTGTTCAAACCTTAGAAAGTGCTGCTGCATCAGATTTCTTAAATTATGATTCTTCTCGATCACAATTATCAAGCTGTAACGCCCTAAATACGCCAATCGACAATGAAGATTGCGCTATACACCACGAGAATATGCTTCAAAATAATACTCTGCATTAATTAGTCGTTTTATCGATACTCAAGTACCTCTTGAACGGTCTTTCGAATGCTTCAGTCCTCAGGACGGCAGGATATCTAACTCGAGCACACTCTGAGTGTTGGGCGACACTCGATCGTTGCTCTGATGCACCAGGACGTCCTTGAAGTCTCTCAACTTCTGCGGCTGAAGGGTTGTGTTAGGATTCCTGGGAAGCGTGGCAATGGGATTGGTATTGTGATTCATGTAGGGCTTCTCGTAACGATTGATGCCGTTCTCCGATTCCGAGTTGTGCCGTCGTTTCGTAGCGGGTTCCGGGTTCGATTGCCTCGGCGATGAGTCTTTGTCCTCGAAGCACGGCACCGTTTGCATCGACACCGTATTCCGGCAGTCGTCGAAGAGAGATCGGGGATTGAGAGTGACTTCGCGAGCGGAACCGAAATGCTTGAAGTTGGCGCAGACCGGCGGCGAACTGTTCATAAAGCTGGTATCCGTGGGAAGACACGGTTCTGCGATCCGTTTTTCGATCTTGAGCTCGGTGACATTCTGTCGGATCAGTACATTCGGCGCAGCTTCCGGTAAAGGTTCCTGAGAGATCGGCGGCCACTTGAGATCGCGCGCCATATCGCGCTCAATCGCCAGGAATTTCCGCCGCGACTTATCTACATCGTGCCAACGATAGCGCAACTTGCCGAATACAAGGTACTCCACAAAGAGATACTCAACTAATATCGCGATCACAAAATTTATCCCGCCATAAACGACCAGAATCACGCGGAAGCTAAAATCGTTAGGCAGCACGAGCTCGAATATATCAATGAGCCACTCGAAGGGAAACATTGCGAGGTAAGCGGAAAAAAGAGTTAGGAAAACAAAGGAAACGAGTAGACCATAATTGGTGAAGAGAGACTTTCTGTACGGCGGTCCTTTGGAGAACGCCACGGCCAAAATGATATACTGCATGGAACTGACGATGAAGACTGTGTAATTCTCCAAACAGCCTACGTCGTCTTTATCCTCGTGTGCGGTCACGTTGAATGGCACGAACCAAGACATCTGTTGTAAATGCCAGAAACTGATGTACTGGAAGAACGCGACGATCAAGAGCTGGGTGATGAGACTGAGTATCGGTGACGTACTGATGAGACTGTTGAGCGGCGCCATTTTCACCAATGGACCTTCGTAGGCCTTGGTACGGCCGAAGAAGAAAGCGAATAACGAAATGATGAAGAGGTCGATGTACAAGAACTCGAAATCCGTCAGGTTGGACTCGATGCCGTAGAGGAGCATCACCGAGATGAACTGCGTGAGCGAATAGGCAGCCATGTACTTGAAGATGCCAAAGGATGTCACCAGCGCAGCGCGACCCTCGCGTATCACTGTCAGAACGCAGGAAATGTTGGTCTCACGGCTGGTAAAGGGCGAGGCGACGGAAGACTCCGTATCCGACAAGGAGATTCCGGTATGCGCCGCTTTTAACGCACCGCAATCATTAGCTCCGTCTCCGACCATGGCTGTATAAAAATTTTTTGTCAGATCGGCCAAGCATTTATCGCATTTATTTATCGCTTTAATAAAGGTATATTATACTTAAAAATAACATTACATGTTTACACTTACCAACGTAATAGCCTAAGGATTGTAATTCCTGAACCAGTTGTTGTTTCTGATCCGGCGACATTCTCGCGAATATGGCACCACGAGTGACCACCTTCGGTATCAATTCCGGATAGTACTGCCTTATCGAAGCCCATGTTTTGCCCGTCAATGCAAACACGTACTTACTTTTAGAATATTGTACTCTGCAATTAAAATATATAATAATATCCATGTATTTTATATTATCTATATATAATATATAATCTATGTATATTATTTTAATATAAAGAAATACGGCTCTCATGTAAGATATAATTTTGTATTTTTTTATATCTGCGCAAAATGATGATTTTTTTATTCTAATCAATCTAATCGCAATGCTCGGAAAAAGAGGTACTTACTCATCTGAAAGATAATTTATATCGTTTTCCAATTTAGTGTTGCCAAAAGAGCCGCTCTCGACGGTTTCCAAACTAACCACGCTGTTCAAATCAGTCATCTCGCTAAGATCGGCCTGGCCGTTTGGCGAAACCGGTGATGGTTGACTATCGCTCTTCGTAAAGTAAATTTGCGGCTTTAGCAGATTCTGCTGAATCGTCGAGACAGCAATCACCGGCATGCCTGGTTTCACTATATCGCAATCCCTAGCTACCGAGAGGGCCGTCAATATATTGTCGCCCGTCACCATTACCGTTTTGATACAGGCAGTATTCAGCTCGGCAATCACCGGCGAGGTCTCCGGCTTTAGTCGGTTCTCCATAATTATAAGCGCTAGGAAAGTCAAATCGACTTCAGCGGCCTCGCGATTTATACGTTGCACCTTAGCGTACGGAAGACGGTTTAAAGACTTGTGCGCGATGGCAATAACTCGATAACCTTCGGATGTGTATTCCTGCAATACGGCCGCAAAGTCCGGAGGAACTGAAAAAAGGAAACGAAAAATTTTGTCATTTATTGTAAGATATATAGAATCAAAAAAATAATTATAAAAACTCACTAGATTCTGCTTTCGAGAGACTAAGAATCATCTCCGGACTGCCCTTGCAATAAAGATCGTAATGATTAGCGCCCAGTGTCCTAGTAATTACGCTCATCCTTTGAAGACTCGATGTGAAGGGAAATTGCCGAACGATGCCCACTTCCAACCTCTGCTCGCCAAGTTCCGTCGTGGAATCACTAAATGCAGCATCGTGGAGATTGTTGAGGGATATAGCATCAATCACGTCGGAAGACATGGAGTTTTGTCGACTGTGCGTCCCGCCAAAATCGCTGGGCAATCTTTTGAGAAGCTTGGAGTCCTTTGCCGGCTTGACAATCGTCGGGAAGAGCATGGAGAATTTGGATGTGTCGGATACGTCGGGTTCCTCCAGCGTCCATCCGGTAGATTCGAACATTTTCAGATCAAGCGGATCACCTACCAGCTGATTATCGATTATAGTGATCCCATGGCACGTAACCATCCCGATAAGAACCTCGGACAATGGCAGACTAGCAATGTCCTTGACCGGCAACTGAAACTTTCTGTCCGAAACGGTCACTACGCCCCACATATCCAGACCATCCTCGGTCAGCGTTCCAGTTTTGTCGAAGCAAATGCAATCGATAGACCCGGACACGTTGATCGTTCTCGGACTCGTGCAGTATATCTTTTTACCTTCCAATCTACGTTGCGCTACAAGACGTCCCGCTGTCATGGCAGCTGGCAAGGCTGGCGGTACTACGATAGTGATGAGATCTAACGCTTCCAGAGCGATGTCGCTAGCATGAACGCCTCTCATAATTTTCGTTATGATAGTATAGATGACACCGATACTAGCTATGCATGCCAATAATATGACAAACTTGTACGAATCCTGCTCAAACTTGAAATCCACGGGCGGTGGATACATGATGGACCGTACCAGGCCGCCTTTGCTGGTGTTGAAACCTGTTCTGATAACCACCGCCAATACCTAACGTCACAAAACATACGCGATATTTAAGTAATTATAGAAATTTACAGAAAAGATATATTTTCAGTAAGCGTCGAAAAGCCAACGTACTTTTTCGCTGCCATAATATCTTGTCTGAATAATTTTGGTTCCGCAGAAGAGTGTATGTCTGGCGTGCTCTTTGGTATCGTATATCACATCATTGGAGGAAGGAACAGGCGTTTTTGTGACGGGCACGGATTCTCCTGTCAACATGGACTCGTTGAGAATACAATTGCCCGTCAGCAAAACGGCGTCACATGGCATTAGACATCCGTGAGACGGGATGATCAAAAGATCGCCAGGCACTAAACGTTCGGCCGGTACCACCGCTGTTTGGCCAGTCGTGCGGTCACGCATGACAGTAGCGACGTCAGACGAATGCACAGTCGATCGTAAATTTTGTTGATTCTGCGAAAAGTGAGTGAATTGGTTATTTTGATCATGATTAAATTGAAGTTGCAAACTTTAGCTTTTAAAATGATGAGCAAGAAACGGAAGAAGAATGACTCACTCGTCGTGTCTGGAAAACTGCCATCATGATGCCAGCGCTTGACATCGCGAGAATGACCATGGCATAGTAATAATAGTCGTCCGCGATCCACAGACAAAAGCTGAATAGTTGGAAGACGTAAAACGGATTAAGCACTTCGAGGCAAAGTAGCGTGAATATGCTCTTTACGGGAATCACGATCTCGTTATTACCGTAGACGTTACGCCTGCCAACATAAATCATTCAATTAATTGTACTACTTGCATGAGAATGACTGTAATTGGTCTGCACATTATGACGTAAACGTCTTGTTAAAAGATTGATTCGACTTTTACCTCATGTACTGTTCTTGGGAATCAAGACCTTGCGCTTGATGTAGAGTAGACGTCAGAACGTCAGTATCGAGACCACGCAGCTTCAAAAACTCGGATCTTTCCGGGTCCCACACATAAGTCAATTTTTTGCAATGGAAGGTAATGATGGATGGCACCTCTGAAAATATCTCCATGTTAATTATATTTGAAAGCTGCGGTCCTCTAATAGCCTCATTTCTAGTCTTTCAAGTTTAATTTAGTAATTGAAATTTGTATACTCGATATAATTAAATTTTTGCCTTCAAAGCTTTCTATTTTATAAATATAACTTTCAATAAATAAAAATTAATAAATATATATATATTTCGAAGAAAGATATGAATACAAAATAACGTTACGTACATCGATAACAAGATTTTTTAAATTGCATCTATTCTATTTATAAAGCAGCCAGAATCATAAAAAATTTAATCCATATATTATACTTTTTTTATTCTCTTTCTTTTAAATTATCGACATACTGATAATTCACTTACGTTTAAACTGACCACCACAAAGATGTACGGACAACGTCGGATAGGTTTCCTTCTCTTCCTTGATTGTTATTGTATTACCATCCCACGCTTCATCAATTAGAGATTCTTCATTGAAGGATTTATTTCTGCAGGGCAAAATGACGACTGTTAACATCACGATTCTGTTGGTATTGAATCTAATAAATATGAAGAATTTTACTAACATAACTTCCCGAGCGGTCAAGATTCTCAATTTCTTCACGTAATAACTCGTGTGCTTCCCTTGAAATCTTTCAATCAACAAAACAGTTTCCGCTTCCTCCAGAGGGCATTTGAAATGAGTGATCTGGAGCATCAGATGCGGTACCCAATGAAAAACCAGCCGCAAAAGGCCTCCGGTGATGATAATCAGAAACCAGACAATAATAGTCCATACGCGATTCCGTTTGTAGCTGATAATGGATGAGGAAATTAAACGAATTAGGCGCGATGAAGAAGATTTCACTTTTGATTACGCGACATAATGTACGAATAGCTCACCCATAAATTTCCATCTGGTCTTCCTCGCCGGGATTAACGTAATCCACGCCATTCTTTAAATGTAAAATACCATTGGCCCTGGTACCTGGAAATGACGCAAATAACATTACAAATGAGCCGTCATTCGCGCATCGATCGTTCTACGAACGTTCATCAATCATGGATTTTATTAAGCTATTACTTTCTCTTCACGTTTCGTAAGACGTTTTACTTGTTATCAAATACATGAAATACGGTACAGTAAGCGCATGCAAAACACGACATACTTTCGACGATGACGATGTTCGCCAAGTGGCTTTTATAATCCCGATCGTGTTACATTATGGAGAACATGAGGGGACAAGAAAATTGTACGGTTATCGCCAAGACTAGTGACATGATAAAACGAGATTAAATGGGCTAGTGTATTTATTTAATGTCAAGGGAATCAATGACTCGAACAAGTTACGTTCATCTTTGCTTCCTCGTTCCTTACCCTCCAACAATTCCGTTTTTTGTTCACGCTGATGCTCGTTCGCAATAGTCGCGTTGCGACTACCAAAGACGCTGTAAGCATTTCTGGCGAAGCTCAGGTTTAGCTTGCTCGGCGTAGGCGGCATACTCGCGATTGAGAGAATTGCGAATCAATCGAAACGTGATAAAAAGAAAATTGGACGCTCCAAGAGATGAAAATTCCTTTACGTTACTCTCGCACGTCTCTCTCTCTCTTTTCCTCCTCGTCCTTGATTGATGAGAATCGAAAATGCAGATTGCAAGGGATTTACGGACTTTCCCTCGACCTTCCTCCCACGCTTTCTGCTATCTTCACTATTTCATATTATTTTAAACACTAGCCTTAATGTCTAAAGGATATTATTGTCTATGTGACAACTCTTGAAAATTGCTTCGCTTATTACGCGACAGAGTTTCGTCACTTCTATGTGACCGAAAGTTCAGCCGGGACGTAGAGACACGAGGGGGAAGAAGAAGAGGGAGAATGGGATTGCCGAAGACGATCGGTGTGTTGCACGGTACGACGAGATGCGATGAGAATCGCTCCAACGTTTGTGTTCTTGGGGACGTTAACCCCGTCTGCTACCGACACCGATTGCCCGCCATTTCGGGGTCCCTCTTCAAGGTTCTCGTGGCGGGTCTCGGTGGCGCGTTCTCCGGCATCTGGCCGGCATCGAGCTGACACAAGCGACTCGACGACGATGACGATGGCGTAGGTATTATCCTACGGATATCGAGAGCGATTATGATCGTCGGAGGAGCGACAGGCGAACGAGGTTGCTGATGAGCGAGTGACGGTAGCTGATGCTATCGCTTCGAACCTGCCCTCGGTTTCCTGGATTCGTGTCAGTCGCCGGGATCGGTGAGCTTTCGCCAGCCGATTCGAGGCGTGATCGCCGCCCGTTCACCTTCGCTCATGCCGCGTTTCAGGCACACCAGATCCGAATCTGCACCCCTGCCTGCGGAGCCGCTTCGTAGCGGCCGCGGTTGCGGCTGCGGCTGCGGCTGCGGTGCTAATGCTAGATCGTGGTAACGGCACGCCGTTACTCTCCTCTTTATCCCGCCTTTGCTTCCCGAGGACAACGACGACCCGGGATCCGTGCGACCGCACGCGGCCGCTAAGCTAGCTCCTATCGCCTCTCTTGTGTGCTCGTGCCTCCCTTGTGCTGCTCGTTGGCGCGATCGCAAATACATTACGGGTTATAAAAGTATCCGGGGTTGCCGTCGGGATATCTCGATCGGCAGAAAGGTCAATGGTTTCTCACACGTGCACTATATGTCCAGCTTTTCCTCCTTGAAGAGTCTGAGAGTTTGTTCCTTCTCAGGATAAAATTATCGAGTTTCGATCGATCTAAATAAACGCAGCTTTTTTTCCCGATCTAATCGATCGATATGAGGAATAAGATTACGCGACGTTACGACAAAGAATGGTTTTTCAGACTCCACGAGTCACGAATCTATTAATATACTAACGATTACGTCAATAGTGACGTCTCAAAGATAAGGAATTCGCATAGAAACGAGAAGAGACTTCTCTATGCGAAAAACATAGACACGAATCTGACACTTTTGCGAACGCACGATCGTCCTCGCGGAAAAACGATGACGGGAAAACCGTTTCGTTGCGCAATTCTTTCAGATGATCCGTTTAAACTCTTCACCCTCCTCGGGACTTCTAAGTACAGAGAACATGCGATAGTTTGTGTCTAGCATTTTACTCATAGTGCCGGTACACGTTACCGCTGACGCGTGGTAGTATGCCCCGGTCCTGATCACCCGCAAATTAGGAAACGGAAAAGAAAAAGCCACTCTCCTGCGAAAAGTCACTTTGCGCGCTGATGTTTCTTCGGTGTGGTGCTCATCCGTGGTGCGGGATTGTCACCTAGCAGATGGAGATGCGGTGCTACGCAAAAAAACGTTTGTTCCTCGGCACCTGCCACGTTCCTCTGCTTATGAGCTGCGTGCAGATCCAATTCGCAAAAATGTGCTCACGCTAAGATGGCGGCGTTGCGCAGTCGTTTCGGAGCTCGGCTCCGAAAATGCTGATCCTCGACTGGCTGCGCGACAGATACTCCTCGCGAGACTACCCGACGATGTCGCTCGATCGATCAACGAGCAATTCCACCGAGAGGCTCCACCGAGAGAAGATTTTTCACCAACGAACACGCGATTGAAGAGCGCGAGTTGACAAACCCGGGTTTGGTTGCTCCGATTTGCGATCAGTCTCTGAACGAGAGTGAATCGAGTAAATCGCCTGGTACGGTCGAGAAAGGAAGACTTGCGCCCTGAGTCGTAGCAAACTCGATTGCAGGGACGTACCTAAATAGGGCGCTTTGCCAAAGCAAATCCATTAGTTAAGCGGGGTTCAACGCTCCAGCAGCGGTGACTATTGACTCTTCGCGCGCTACATTCTTTATCATCATGAATGACGCAGTGATTCACAGTTTATTAACAGAGCGCAAGATAAGTTTTTTATCTAAGATATATTCATTTCCGTAAAATTCCGCGCCGAATTCAGAGAGTTAAAATAACTGACGTTGTATATGGAATATATCGTATCATCGGTTGTGCAATACTTATTAATGATTCAATATTGCAGCATAGATATCGAGCAAATATCGATTATAAGATATATAGCTTACGTGACAAGTCTATCGCAATTTTATCGTCCGATATATTGTTGATCATTTAAAACATATTGTTTCATTCTCATGAAACATTTATCATGACATAAATTTTATGATATGTCATCCACTTATAGAATAAAATAGCTCCAGCTTAATGTGTTTTTTATTGTTATTCCGTATGTGATTAACTCTTAATTGGAGAATGACAAGAGAAAATTATCGTGTAAAGATTGCTTTCGATTCGAAATATTAATATAATTAATGCACATATTTGTGTTTACTCCAAAAAGACTGAAGTACATGTTATATTTTTTTGTATAGCCGCACCTGGAATTTCCCCTACCTAAACGAGCTGCTCAACTTATAACGATGACGAGCGTCAAACATTGCCGTTGATGTCGACCATGACTCATTTTTCGCAAGTGCCAACGCAATCGAGCGTTTCCTCGTCATCAATTCCTTTAATTACAATTCTGCTCTAGCATTCACTTTCCATCATAATTTGGCTTCCAGTTGCCATATACTATCTTTTTTATGTCCATATGTCGTTCTTGGCCCTGACCATATTGGCTATCTTCCTCGATTCAATTCCGTCTTCTCGTCTTGCACGCTATTGTTATTATCCCCCCGTTCCCCCGCGTCCCACAAGATCCCATCCTTGGATTATCGAACCAATCCTCGTGGGTTATACCTTGTTCTAGCTAACTCATCGTTATCTTGACGACACGTGCTCGAAATATCATGTGTTTGAAAAGCTGCACTCTTTAGCGAATCGCTATAAGTCGTTTCGGAATAACTCTTGCTGAAAGCCATTCAATGATGCGAATCTTGACAAAATGTTTCATTTATAAGTTTTTAAATTTTGAATTTTGATTTAACATTTTTACATTGTTAAATATTTCAATTTTTATTTTTATTTATATAAACATCTGAATATCAAGTTGTCAATAAATGATTAAAACGGCGTCGATCGTAGACATTACGAATAAATATTCAATAATTCTTCAACGAATATCATAAAATTGCTTTCATTTGCAAATGAATGGTTCTCTTTAGATAAACAGATAAGATTGTGTGAGCATTTATATTAGCAGAAACTAACACACTCTCGGCACGATAAAAATCGTAGGCAGTATTTCACCGCTTATCCATATGTAAGATCAACTTTGTTGCTAATTACGCTTTCACGGTAATTACGATCGTGATATTTTCGGAATCCTCGGTATAAACTCGTGATTTAAATGGTAATCAAATATATCAGATAAACTAGCGGTCTTTATCTGAAGCGATAAATTCATAAATTTCTGATAAAAACAAGAAAAGCAAAGAGATATTTTTGAAGAAAGAAATTTCGCAAAATGAATAAATTCTTCTGGATAAAGATAAAATGGTTAACGCAATACTTTAATAAAATGCTAAACAGGATTAAAAGATTGTCGACGATCAAACGCCGAGACAACGTTAGCAATTGAGCAACATTACTTTTGTCTAAATCGATCGCAATCCATAGGTCGAGGACAATGTCACTCGTTAAAATTATCGTACAATTGAACAATTCGATAGGAATATAAGCGCAATAGTTATTTTAAAAATTGCGAATGTATATAAACATATATAACATAAATTTTATTGACATACGCAATATCATCTAACTAGAGAGAATATTAAATTAGATTAATAAAATTAATATTATTTCTAATCAAATTAATATTTAATTAGGAAGATATATATATATATATATATATATATATATATATATTTTAAAAGATTCTGTCGAAACTATGCGAAACGCACACAATTTTGATTGGTTTGAGTTGGACTTAAATGATCAAGTAGCTTTTCACTCACTTAAGAGAAATTCCATACTTGGTTCTTGCGCCATAACTAAATCTGAAATGTCAAATAAAATCGCTGGATTACGTAAGATCAGAAGATACTTTTGAAGATGATGTATGCACATCGCGCGCAAATATCTTGGTCTACGATCATTATTTTAATTGCATCCTTTTTTGTTGTAAATGAAGAAAAATTGGCGGAAGAGAGTAAACGATTTATATAATCTGTTTCCATTTCTTAAATTTTATATTTTTTCTCTCCTTTTTAAGCATTATCATTATACAACATATTCTTATCTTATGTTTTATTATTATTATACAACATTATAATTATACGACATCATAAACACTATATGACTTGAAATATTATTTTGCGATAACAATTATATTTGAAATATATCATCCACATTGTCATCACTATAAAAATAATTCATATATATATATATATATAAATAATTCATATATATATATATATAAATAATTCATATATATATATATATATATATATATCACAACATAAAAATTATTTTGGAACTAAAATATTTGATGAAAATTCTTTAATACGATAATTAACATTTTTTAGTGATATTTAAAAAGTTTATCTTTTTCTGAGAAAATGAACTTTCTCTCTCTCTCTCTCTCCCTCTCTCTCTCTCTCTCTCTCTCTCTCTCTTTTTCTGCTGGCAAAGCTCATCAAATGTTCAATGGCAACGTGCTTACTCAAAAGAATTGTAAACTTAATTTCTAGAATTTATTGCATATAACTCCAATTAGCTAAGAATTATTATCTCTTTTCTCGTTGTTGATTATATTTTACAGCTATTTTTAAACATGATTGTTATAGTTTTAGATAAGTACTGTAGATAAGTTTCTTAAAAGCCTCTTAAAAGTCTGAATATGTAGAAAATGACAACTGACTGAAAAATAGATTACAGATACATTGCTATAACAATTTGCTGAACACACACACACGACACTTTGCAACGACTAGAATACTTTCTCTTTTAATTCATATATCATCGTCACTAGTTCGTTCTGATTACAACATTATTTATATGTTCAACACGTGTCTAGTAGTTTATCGGTCAAAACATGTAATGCGATAATGTGCCTTAAACATTTGCAAAGATTGCAACATTAAATTATGTCATCTCATGACTAATTAAACATGTTGTTGCTCGTAAATAGAAAAAATAAATATGAGTGAAAGTTAGTGTAAAAGGAGATTATAATCTTCGAAATCAAATAATTCGATTAAAATAATTTCTTAATATTTTGAAGCTATCAAGTTCTCTTTAAGACCGAAAAATTTTGCTTGCAAAACTGCAGAGATTCAGAAGCTGATATGCAATGACACATAACATTAACGATACATAAGAAATGCAATGATACATAACATTAACGATACATAGAAAACATACAGACAAAACAGAATAATCAGTCTTTTTAAAGCAATAATATTGATGTGTTAAAGATTCCAGTCATGAGGCCGAAAGACTAATCACCGGAGATCGACAAGCGAAGCAAATATTTGGTACGACAAAGAGTTATGAAACCAATGTTTGGTGCTATAAATCATGCTCCCGTCTCATGCTCGAATAAACGATCACAAGTCTTACCATTCGCTGTTGTACCCATTTTAGTGTTATATGAAGATGGACGGCAGATTGATGCGACTTCTCTCATCGTCCTTGAGGATGATCCGTTTCTTTGAGACATGCTCTTAGTCTTTAAAGTCGGATTGTAACTCTCACTATGTATTGTGTTTGCGAAATTATTTAGGCTTGTGGAATTTGGTGTGGAAGATAAAGAAGGAAGTTTAAAATTCAAGGGATCAGAAAGACTGAAAAGGAAGCACCTATTTTCTCAAAAACTAAAATTCACTCCTACATAAAGTCCAAGAGATATACACTTATTACTTCGTATTTCGAAACGTCAGTGTCAAATAAAGTTTAATTTCGAAGTAATGGAAGATTATAAGACTCCCGTGCGTCGAGTTAGACACCCTTAAAGCATCGAGGGGGGCGCGTGTCGCAACCGATCATCCCTCGCGCGCGACGCGATCGCGCGATCGGGAAAGCGACGACGGTTCGACGACGACACGCTAAACGACACTGCGCTCCGATTCATAGTACTTCACCGATCCGTTCTCTTTCCACCAGACGACGTATGTTTCCACCGCCACCGTCGGTTGAAAGTCGCCGCCTTTCTTATCGTTGAGATACTCGCGCCAACCGATCTAGATTCCGCCAAGACGAAAGCGCCAAGTCGATAGCGCTGAGACGAAAAAGATCATGATCAAAGGTCGTGAAGGTCTTTCATCATATGCGTGGTCAGTGTGCGAGGATCATTCGTTTATGGCAATTATCTAAAAAAATTTCGAAAATATTTAAAAAACATTTGTATATCTACGTCAAAATCGACGTCTTATCACTTGGATCGAACTTAATTGAATTAATTGTTATGAATATTAGTTTTATTAATATTATCGATATAAATTGGATAATTATATATATATATATATATATATATATATATATATATAGTTATATATCCAAATATCTTTATTTATCGAATTTACTAGAAAGGCTCCAAGCATGAATGTATTAGTGCTAAATATTTGTATTTATGCAAATAAAAAAATTCAAATGCAAAATGTTTTGTATCTATATAAATTCAGACAATGTCTTGTCGATAAGAAATTCGAAAATATCTTGTAATATATATATGTCACAACGAAGAATATTTGCTTTTAGGCATGATTTTATCTACAAAATATTTTTGTAATTAAATCACACCAGGAAAAAACCTGAAGCTCTACAAAATGTCTACTTTAAATACTACGAAAATATGTCTATATTTTCTGAGAAAACCAAATAAAAGTAAAAGATATAAAAATATGTCAAATAATGAAATTTTAAGTTATCAAATATAATGGAGCATAATATTATTAACAATAAAATAAAATTCCTGTAAGAAGAGTGAGAGAGAAAAAGAAAGAGATAAAGAGGGAAAGAAAGAGAAAGAAAGAGAGAGAGAAAATGGGAAAAAGGAAAATAAAGAGATTATTTTCAGAAATGAGAAGAAAATATTTACATTATATGGGAATTACCAAAAAGGCATAAGTGAAATAAACAATACATACCATCGATGGTCTTTATTCCCTAGGAGAATAATACAATGCCTACGTCGTAGTAGTCAACGTCATGTCAAGACTGATATACAGACTTGAAAATATTCACACACACATACGTTCATCGACCGAGATGTAGATCTCGACTGATACTGAAACATCACTCTACATGTTTAAACTTGAATTAAACACCCAATTTTGTTCTGCAACTATTTAAATAATTAATTAACATAATAACAATTATATAAATATATATTAAAATTTGCTCCAATATATCCCCAACCTTTCCACTTTCTCACTCACGCTCTTGCTATTTCTCTTTCTCATTCTCACTAACGAATCCAGTATAATTAATTTTAAAACATTATATCCATATTTATTTTTAATTCGCATGTGTTATTTTCTAATTTCGTATAAACTTTCCTATAATATCTAAGGATATCTTTCTTGAAAAAATAATTTTATCATAATCCATTATTTTATCATAATAAATATATCAACAATTAATATCTCATGATTCAATTAGTACTACGTAAATAAATATGTAGAATCAAGATTAGAGATACCATATTAGAGATTTTCAAATTCTCTTATCGAAATATCTACATTACAAAAATCTACATATTTTCTAAAGATCTCGATCCACTTCTGCATATTTTGTGAGCGTGACGAACGAAGATGACATTTGTCGATGACAAATTCTGCTTCGGCAAGCTTTTAAAAATCCTTCTTCTTCTTCTCCTTGCTTACCAAGATACTGTCGTGATAACTAATCTCTTGGCCGGCGACAGCAGGATGCAAATAATGCGGCTCCACGTCGATCTTCTCCTTCACGTCAGAATCCAGTACCAGAGAATGATGGGGTCCACGATGTAGATGCTGTTGCTGTTGCTGCTGATGTTGATGCTGATGCTGATGCTCATGCGGGTGTTGATGATGGTGCTCGTGGCCTTCTTCTTCATCTCCCTCGCTATACTTTTTGAACAGTTCCCGAAATTTCTCCAAATCGATGTCTTCCTCTTCAAACTTGGAGAATTCCTTCAGACCGGATTCGTCCAGTTTCTGTGATTCTTTCAATTTCTTAAAAAGTTGAAGGAATCGTTCGTTAGTTTGAGTTCCGTCTCTCGTCGTGTTCTTCGAGGCATTCAAATTCGGATCTAGCAGCAAATCTGGTGTTTCGTGCGCTACGTTCACGTTTTTGTCCAAGTTTTCCTCCGTCAAAGATTGCAGCAAAGTGTTGTAATCCGGTTTGATTTTCGAAGTTTCCATGCAAGAGCTGCAGGAACAATTTGTGATAATCTGCACCTTCTTCTGCATGGTTACTGGATTATTCTGCTCATCTTTGCAATCTAGCGTAACCTGAAAGAATAATATAATTCTGAATAAAATAAAAAAGTCACAATATAATCCTGAATAAAAAAATTAAACAAATATCAAGAACAAGTATCTTTTAAAACCTTGCTTATATTTTGTGTTTATATTTATGAGAATAAACTTGTTATAAAATTATATATATAGTTTGATAAGTAATTAATGATTGTGTTATCAATCGTATATATTTATAAAAGTACATTACGTGATAGAAAATGCAACTGCTACGACTAATTCACTACTTAAGAGTATTATTACAAATTACAAAGAAATGATAGCGTTAACATTTTTTTAATTAACATGATAATCTTTTTTAAATTTTTTTAATTAACATGATAATCTTTTTTAAATTACAAATTGTTTATTCTAAGAAACAAGCGAACACAATGCGACTTTTAAGAAACAAGCGAGTACAATGCGACTTTTAAGAAAGATAAAATTTTAATTATCAATCATGTTTTAATTCCTGTATTTATATACTCACAGTGTGCCAAACGCTGTCCAAAGGTTGACAAGAATCGCAGTAAGGTCTTATGAGATCACCGGGTGCGGAGGGCTCGCTGTGAGGAACCATGTACGAAAAACAAGCACCAACGCATACATTATTGTCCAATTCTTGCGAAGAGCACTGAGGCCATGCCACTACCTGCTTTATCGGTGTTGTCTTACACCAACTATGCTTATCTGGATACAGGACGATATTGTGAACCTAAAGATTATTATTAGATAAGATAGATTTATATACTTAACATATCTATTTATTTAAATTTGTACAAGAAAGATACATTATTATACATAGCATTTCCAAATTTATTAATAACAATTCCTTAAATTGTTTTCCTTGTGTATCTATTGATACAAAATCCAAAAAGGATCGAAATGTCTGATATATACTTGAATTTTATTTATTAATAATTATCTGCATACGTAATAATAATGGCGTATTAAGCTTCAATTGGACTCTTTCTTTCTCAATATTAAGAGAAAAATATTTCAAAAAGAATTAAATAATATATATATAAAATTTTTCTTTTGTAAAAATATGATTAAAACAAATTATTTAATTTTGTGAGATTTCATTAACAATCAAAAACGAACCTTGTGTTCACGATGAGCATCGAGCTGAGCAGAATGCATCATTAACAACAGCATCATCGTCGACAACCGTCGTATCGTCCCCATGATTCCTGAAAAAATACGAGGAAACAGAAATATCCGAGTCTCTCTCTAATCTAATCGGATAGAGCACGTAAAATAATTCAAATATTCGAAAGGTCGCATAATTTTTCTGCAAAAATGAGAGATTTGTGTGGCCATTGCGAAATTGTTTACATCGCCAAAGAATTATCATGCTGGGAATATAATGACGAAGAGAAGGGAAAGCTGGTCCCGAATGCATATTTTGATATTTTCTAGGAACTGATGAGACGATTGCAGTCTCCGATGTGCGTGTCAGGTGTCTTGGGAGATCGTGATTATCTCTTCGAGTGAATAATAGTCGTGCGACGTCGTTAGAAATCATTAAGATGCATGCTCTCGAGTCTTTGAGGTTCAACGACCAGTCGAAATTGCGTCACAGAGAGATGTGGAAAGGATACAGTCAGAGAAAGAGAAAGAGAAAGAGTCGCACTCCCTCATGTATCTATATAAACTTTATTCATCCATACATTCGCGATATATATTTGCTGGCGAAAAACAGATTTTAAATCCGTAATATTTAAATATCAATTTCTCTGAGCAATTGCGTAAAACGATAGAGAAAGATAATACCTGAATAAATTACTTTCACTACCAGGAAGTTAATTAAATGGTTCGCGCGCGACCTCCATCCGTAAAAGACACGTCGAAAGTTATGGTCCGCCCGTTTCGGCGCCAACGAAAGAACGGGTTCTCGTCGACGGCGCGACGATGGTTCATTCATAGATCGTTAGTTAAGGCCCGATTCCCCGATCTCGATGTGGCATGCTCGAGTTTAAGTTTCCGAGATCTCGAGATAAAAGAAGTTCTTGTATCCTCGAAGCTTGGCGGATAGGTGGGCATTCGTCGTAGACGTCCCCGCCATAAATAGCGGTGGATTTAAAGCAACAAACCTGAGATGCACTCCTTCCGGCGATGTAAATAATTTCAAAGCCACGGAATGCTTGGATGTGAGGCGCCCCGCGAAAGATAAAAGATCGAAGAACGTGCCCTCCATTTAAATACAACAAGCTAAAACCGTGATTAAGATTCTGCGAATAAAAAGAAACTTGCCGTAAAAAAGTAAAATAAAAAGTTTACGCAACATATAATATCTTTTAAGGTAATCTAAACATATATATCAATTAAAATAAAAAATATTAAATGTATATTAATAATTAAAATAAAATATAAAATAATATTAAATATATATAATATAGAAAGGTTTATACACACACACATACTCACATGCGCGCGAATATTAGTAACAATTTTAAAGAAACAAGCAAGAGCAAAAAAGGGAGCATTAATAAAATCTATAAAAAGATATACATATTTAAAGGAAATAATATTATATATACAGATATCTATATCAAGATGTCTATATAGCAAAATCTATAAAAAGATATTTAAAGGAAATAATATATATAGATGTCTATATCAAATACAAAAAGTTTCAGATTTTAAATATGCTTGTTATGAGCGTTTCGCGCTTATCGAAAATTAAATCTTCCGCGATATCCAACCGCAGCTACATCGATACGAGTGTCGAACCAGGAGAACGCGGTTCCAATTACATCGAATTCGTTGCTTTTTCGGCTGCTCCGAAAAAAAGGAACCGAAATCGTGAGATCCCGCGACGTTGCATAGGTACTCTCGTCCTTCGAAGGATTCACGTCCTCGTCGGGGCCACGTCGGACTCGCGAGCTGAATTCCTGACAACGGCAAGAATCTTGTCCCTCGCCGGACAATTGGTCGTCGGCATTTCCAGAGAGAGGAACGATTTTTCGTTCCTCCCCGTCGCCGTCATGCATTTCGATTCTCCGCTTTACCCCTCCGGCTCTCTCCGCGCGTCGTCACCTCATTTTCTCCTCGTCTTCCTTCGCGTCTCCTTTTCCTCCTATTTCACATCTCTTGTACTCCTCCAGTCGTTCCTATGAACGCAGAGTCGATTCGCAGGAAGATCTTTTTCCTCGCTTTTCAATGCAACCCTTCGTCTACCTTTCATTCTCACGCAAAATCTCTCCAATCTCCCGTCTCTTATTCCGAGTTCCGAGAATCACGATGCAATCAAGATTGCATCAATTTCGTGAATTTCGAAGAAGCTAATCGTCAGAAATGATTTAAAGGAAATTAACAATTTAAATTTATTATCTTAAATTTGAATTACAAAATCTACGTAGATATGATAATGAACGTCATTATCATCATATCCGATGAAATGATTGATTGTTCGATAATATCGTCGAATTTATCATATCACGAAAATAGAATCTTATTCTTGATTAGGTTCTTGTTTACGGTATGCAACTTGAGAAATTTGAAGAAACGTATCACGTTTCAAAAATTAGGCCTATCGAGTAATTCTTGTTGAATCACCCTGTATGGTTCGAGACCGCAAAGGTGTGGGGCAACACGATGCGGCCGCCCGTCTCATTTCTACGAGCGGAGATTTGAATGACCGAATAGGATGCAGCAGGGACGTACTCGAGCAAGGCTTAACGTATTTCAGTCGATTCGAGACTTTCGAAAGGCATTTAATGTCATCATCTCTGCATTTATATGATTATATCAATAAGGAAATAGAATCGAATAAAATAAATATATGTATAATATATGATAAAATTGATATGTATATATCATCAGTATCCTGATGTCGCCAATAAAAGATTTCATACTATTTTGTAAAATGCTTAACTTTATAATTCAATTATTGTCGCTTGGTAGTTTTAATCGATATTTTCCAAACATTTTTAAGATTCATAATCTTAACCGTGATCAATTAAATTGTTACTTTATATTCATACAAAATGAAATCTAGAAAAATTCAAATTATTAATCGATATCTAAAATTATTCTACATATAATTCAATGAAAAGTCATATTTCCCAGTTTTCTTAATTTTAGTTTCGAGATTTCACACTGGTCCTCATCATAATCTCAAAATACAAATATAGAATTTTTACATTTCGCTACAAAATAAAATGGCTACGGCCCTGTGACGGCCGTAGCCAGAAGTCCAAAGCTCTTTGTTGCTGCGCCACCTTCTCTTCTCGCCTCTGGGTCCGTGTCGGTGGCACGGAGGACCTACGGCCCACCTCCTTCTTCGCCTCCATTTCGGTCCCGTGCCTTCGATTTGCTCGTGTCCTCGAGATACCGAGAGAAGATAGAGAGAAAGAGAGAGAAATGAGGCGGGTGAAAGCAGGAGGGCAATAGGATTGAAGCGAGAGGAGATGAATGGAGCGAGAGAGAAAGAGAGAGGGTCCTGCACCCAGCCGCGAGATTAATTTGATTTTCAAGCAAATTTGACGCGCCCTCGAGCCTAGGCGGTGCTGGTACAAAGAGCGCCGCGCCTGTCCGCCCATGTGTGTGCCACGGTCGAAATCCCCGACGGTTTTCCATCGATTCTCTCTCCCGTTGATCCTTCTTCATCTATCCTTCGTCGACAGCGCAGCGTCCGATGCGTTCGTTATAAAAGCACGATACTTATCGCAGGCGTTTTAGCGTTGAGAGCGTTAAATATTAGATCGCGTAGCAAACTGAAATGTCAAGATAGTTAACTATATTTATCGATGACATCAGCAGCGAGGAAACCCATCGCGTTTCCATTGATCAGCCATTAAGTTTTTACGCGGTCAATAATTATAAAAAAATTTTAATTTCATCTAAATTATATATTACATTTATCTCTCTGTCTTCCTTATTTCAAATTACGCAAGAAATAAATTGAGAGAGAAGAATATAACACTTTTTTATTGCTATATTAAAGATATTTATCATTTGTTGCCTAGAGCTGCGTTTTACGTCATAGAGCCGAGATCAAGGTATATTGAGAAAAAAAGATGAAAAGAAACCGCAGTGGCCGACACATACACTTCGCGAATACTCGTAGCCTTTCATATGTCTTCGTAATCGAGCTTTTCGCTCTATTGTGTAGTCTCTTCTCTCTGTGTAACTCGATTGGTCTTCTCTCGTCGACAATCGTAAGCGATATATATGGTCTGGCATCAGGGTCACAGGTCGCGAGCGAGCAGCAGCGACGATTTGTTTCCTGATGAAGCTGTCCACGGCGAGAAAAAATATTATTCCTGCCTTTCCTCTAGTATATGTGTGCGTATGTGTTGGATTCATGCGTGCGCCAATCCATCCTGGGGTCCGTGTATAATACCTCGCCGGGGGAGAGAGATCCGGCCGTTACGGAGTTCAATCTCCCGAACTTAATGATCTGGTGCATGGCCGAGCGATTCGGAGATGACGGCGAGTGATATATCCATAATTAGGTGTCTCGGCCCTTAATCTCCCCCATTGATTTTAATGAAAATCTCCACCTCCCGTTTTGACATACCCTAATTTCACATTTTGCCGGGACGCCGGCGCGTCCGATATTTTTCTTTCTATTTCCTTCTGTTGCTCCTCTTCTTTTTCTTCGGGATATCGGGATACCCTGGGCGAACTAATAGATGGCCCGCGGATACAGAGTGAGCTTGAAAGATCGAGGAAGAGTAAGGAAATAAAAGAGGAGGCGACCGCGCGAGGGTGCGGATCGCGCGAGGATACCCGAAGGGAAGAGAGAAAGAAATGGCGAAGAGACGAGGTGGGGCTCGCGGGGTACGTAAGGGAGAACCAGGAACGGGCGGTCGCGCGAGGGAGACGGACGGCGCCGAAAAAAGGAGTTTGCCAACAGCACCGGGGGATGCCCGAAAACACGCTGGACGTGTGGCGCCATTTCGGCTCCTTTTTTTTCTCCTTCTTCGCCGTCGCCGTGCCCCTCCGTGCGTGCGCGGCTTTTTTTCTCGTGCTTTTGTTTCTTCGCCCATACTAATTCTTCGCGAGCTGCACGGCGTGTCCGGAACGCGTGTGGAGAACGAATCAACGGAGCCCGTGAGAAGGGGACGGGGAAGCGAGCCAGGCGGAAGAAAACTTTCGCGAGCTTTGCTCTAGTCCTTCGCAATAAAATAGTTTGCGTTGAGAAAGTGGTTCGGAATTTTTATTTTTGCTTTACTTTATCATTCGCCAAAAAATGCTATGTATCTTTTACACATATTTCTTCTATATCCATAAAAGTAATTTCAACTTGTATATTTGTTATTAAAAGTTATGCATATAGAATTTGGAAGGGAGGTGGAGGAAAATAGGCGACGAAAGTGGCCCCGCGTGCGCCCAGCACACGCGACTCGTGTGCGCGACGCTTTAAGGGCCCCCTTGGCGCGATGTGGTTGGCCCCCGTGAGCGCGCGGACCACATACCTGCAAACGAACGCTCTTAAAAGGGAGGGCACAGCCAAAGAACAGGTCGTTAAAATGTAATGACATTGTTGTTTTTAATGCTCGCCTCTTTAAAACGGGCCCTTTCGTCTTCCTCGAGCCTGCCCCCGCTACTTCTGGCGCTACTAAAACCCCCTTTCCCCTTTGATCCGCCCTTTCGCCCACGGCCGAGATCTCTTTAGCACTCTTCTCTTTCCCTCGTTCACGCGGAAAACAAGAAGGAACAAATTGCGAATTATTTGTCCTCTTTCGATTGCTTGAAAAAAATATCCAATTATACGCTTCGTCAATTCTTTTGAGAAGACATTTTTACAATATATCAAATATAAAAAAATATTGCGAAATAATTTGCAAGCAATTTCCAATAAAGTTTCATCATTTTTAAAAAAGTTTTAAATACGAGATATTTAAAAAATATTTCTAACAAATAAATAATGACATAATATTAAATTAATAAATAATAATATTCATTATAAAAATATGTCTGATTGAACATATACGCGAATGTTTTGTTAAAAAAATTGCGCATAACTCTTTTCCAATAGAGGAAGAAGAAGAAGAGGAAAATTATTGAGAATATATATTCTATCAAAAGATCAATAGTTCAATGATAAAGTTTTTTGTTCGATGATACATTTCCATACACGTGAGAAATATTGCGACGTTTGATCGGCGCGATTAACTCGGAATCGAAACTCCGATATTCTCACCTTGTCGGACACCTAGAAGATCGACCAATTAAGCTGGACAGTAGCTGCGAGCTATGGACCAATCGTGGACAATCTCCGTTAGAAAGGAACCGATTACGGGTTCGCTACCGCGCAACAGTTTAGTTTGGAACTTAACTGTTGCGTCTAAGAAGAGCTATCATTAAGTCTGGAATAGGGGTCTGAGGGCATTTAGGATTAGTGGCCGAAGCGTTTTGGATAGGATGCTTCTGTATCGCTCAAGTATTCGGACCTCTCATCCACACTTTGAAAGAGAACCGCGATCATCATAATTCGATCAGCTGGTGTTGAATTCCTCGTTTCTCGAAGCGAAAGATATCGGAGACATTAAAGATACTCGTACGATAAACTACATAAAGTACACCATTTCCGGTAATAGGAAAAATTTTCTCTTAACAGTGGAGTAATAGAAGATGGCTTGCGCTCTCTCACGACGCTCACTAGCTCGAAAGCGATGGCGTAAGCTTATGTTCTTAAAAGGAAGGGCACAGCCAAAGAACAGATCATTAAAGTAATGTTTAAGAAATTAAAAGAAATTTAAACTACACTATTTACATCATTATTTGAATCTGCCTATATATCTGATGATCCTTTTAAGTATTCAATATAAAATCTCGCGCTTCGAATGGACCGAAATTTTCGCAATTCTCCGATCAATTTATTCAGAATTCCGAAGCAATGAGAGTACGTCGATCGCGCCATATATACGTACACGGACGACGCGTGCACATGTTCGCCGATGCGTGTGTGTATATACGCGCAGGAAACGCACGCATTCAATTCACGAATGCACATGCACACAAATATACGCGAGCACAAATGCGTTTCGAATTTCGCAAGAGACAGACGATCTCTTGCTGAATGCAGACTCTTTCCGACGAGTCAGCGATTTTCGCGAGCCGCTCGTCGACAGCTGGATCAGAATCGAGTCGCAACAACCGATGAAAAGAGCTGTTACCATCTTAAAATGAATAACGATGCTGGCGTCTCAAGTCTACCACCGATCTGAGAAGCCTTGGTTTTTCTCGGAGGGACTGTCACTCACCTCGGTTTGCACGTCACCGTTGTTGTCTCGCGAACTGCGCACCAACGCGTCGCCGGTTTTCTTGCGAGAACACCTAGAGCAACAGGTATTCCGGTCACCGCTGGGGCGACTGGGAATCTTGCCTCTCTCGCAAGCGGACCGAGAAAGACAATCCCCGGGTCTTCTCTGTTTCCGGTCAGGTGGATCTGATGGTTCGAAAGAGTGTGTACGAAAACCTCCACCTTTCGAGTACTTGGAAGCTTCCGATATCACAAGGCTGAGAGCCTAACCGAGCTAAGCTGAGCACGAAACTGTGCTGCCGATCTCTCGTGTTCCGTTCTCCTCTACTACCTCCCGCCCGCCCGCCGCCTCCTCCTTCTCTTCTTCTTCCTCTACCTCCACCATCGGGTTCCCCTTCAGCTTCTCCTTCTACTCGCGGTGCGCGCGTTCGGTTCCCGTTCCGCGCCGCGCGTTCCCGTTCCGTTCTCCCTCTTTGTCGATCTCGCGCCTCCAGATCAACATTCTCTGCAGGTGCGACAGAGTTGAGAGAAAGGACAAGGGGCAGCAACGAGGCGAATACGAGAAGGGGGAGAGAGATCAAACGTATGTGAGCAAGAAAGATCTGCTGACTACCACCTCTTCTCCACAGAAAACGCGTCGCGCGTATTGTAAAAAAGCATATCGCCCGAGGCGTTACATCGCGAACCAGTAAAACATGTCGTACGCCTAGCATACGCGCGCTCATTGTCCTCGTCGTGAGATTGCGCGCAATCGTCTGTTTCAAGGCAGAGCGCGAAGGTGACGAGGAGGAGGATTCGAGGATGATGAGTCGCGCGCCTCCGTCGACGTTAACGAGATTACTAGGACTGCCGCCGGTCCACAAGAATTCGGAGCCCGGAACAGTTGAAACTTGGCGACTTGATCGCCTGCTCCCCTCTCTTGCTCTCATAGTTTCTCTCTCTCTCTCTGAAATTTAGTTTGTGATTTACGATATTCATCTATGATTCCTCGAAATTTATAGTTTCTTTGAGAGATTGGAATTTTGTTTAATTTGTAAATAATTATATTTGTTAAATCTATAAATTATATCTAAAAATGTTTGAAAACATAAATATGTCAGATCTTATTAGGAACTGCGAAGCTAAAATTTGAATTAATGATTATATATAAATAAAACCGCCATTTGTACTGTTAGTTGAACATGCGCAATCGTCACTTCTAAATCAATAAATTCATTATTGCTGCTTGATTCGCTTTATGGCCGGCCCTAAGACATCTTTCACATATTGCTGCAGATTCTTGCACTTCTCCTCCGTGTTTGTATCTTCGGAGCTGCCCCAAATGATCATACCGTTGGCACCGAGGCTGGCAATCGTGTTGATCGTGTTCTCCGTATCTTCCTGCGCAAATAAATTATTGGAATTACTATTGACGTTCTCGAGGCATCTCGAGAAGTTCGAAAGAACTCACCTTACTAAGAAAGATATCTCTATGATCTTGATACTTGAACCAATAATACGGAAGAACTTGTCGTTTGCTCTTCTCCGTCATTCGCAATGCCTCCGACACTCTGCCCTTCACAAAACCCATCCGATCCATCTCCCTGATCTCTTGTCTTAAGTACAAGGAAGGCATGAGCACGTCCTCGAGTGTGAAAAGCCAAGACATTCTACGAAAATTATTATCCGTCATTAGCCGACCTTCTAAGATGCCGACCGTTTCTTTATCGTTCTCCGCGATTAGATAACATAACGGGTATGTGAAACTGCAAGTTCTCGCTCCGGTTTTTAGTTATATTTATACTATCGCGATCTTGACCTATTTAATCACATAAATATTATAATCTCGATACATAATCTCAATCCATGATTGGCCTACATCTGGGATAATATCATAAACCAACCGGTGAAATAAACAATACATTTTATCAGGCGATGAGGCGACAAATTAATGCCGACTTGAATGTTAAACCGTGAGTACCGCGAGATAATCTACGAGAGATCCGTAAACACTCCGCATAAGCATAATGACACACTTACACATGTGTACTATTAAATTATACACGCTATCAGATGTGAATTATCGATTCGCCGGATATACTCACTCGTCGTTTTCTACCATAGTCTGATGACTGCAATGCGCGGTACGTTGGCCAGGAGTATAATTGAAGCAATGCGGATAACCGTAGTAACCCCAGGTGGCTTTAGGCCGAAGTTTCTTAGCTATCTTCAGGGTTTCCTCCATAAATATTCTGCCATATTTCTCGAAACGACGCTTCGCTTCCTTCTTAATGGCCGCGTCGCTCCAAATAGGATGCTTCTCACGTTCTAATTTTATGGATAGAGTCTTGTAAGGTTCGAGGGAGGCCCAGTTTTGTCGGAAGATCGGTCGCCAGCTCTCAAAGTCTATCACACCGATGCCGTTGAATGACTCGTCAGGAATTTGCTTGATCAAATGCTTCCGGAATATCTCGAGATGCTCCTTCAAATCACCTTCTTGAGGAACGCCACCGTTTCTTTTCGTTACAGTTCCTGAAAATACGAGAACTGATTAGAATGACAACATAAGAGAATGTTTAATCTTTTGTAGATCCGCAATTTTATTTGATGAAAAAACTACTTTCGATTTACCATTTTTATCGGATAATAGTGCCGGAAACATTCCAGGATCATAAAGAATCACGATCTCTTCACCGCGAAACTCATCATTCGCATTTTGATGAATTCCAAAATTCTTGAGATTCTCAAATTTCACGCCATATTTGTGACATATGAAACTGGGCACGTTCCAGTAAACATCAAATTGTTGCGGGTTGCCTGCTTCGGGGGTCGTTGCGCCTAGACTGGATAGAAACACGAGGTAACTCATGGACAATGACACCGGTTAGATAAGATATTTTCGGGCCGCCGGAGATTCGTATGTTTCGCATTTATGAAATTTTTAAGGATTAATAATCCTCGCATCAAATTCAACAACATATTAAATCTCCAGTGAAATGACAAGTAATTAAAAAATGATATAATTTTCTTGTGATTACATTTACAACAGATATTCATAAATAGAAAATACAAAACTTAAATAAAAAAATGTATATTTGTGTATATGATAAACAACGTAGAAAAGAAGGAATTTATTTAACAAATAAAATTAAAATATTTCATTCTATATCTAACAGCTATATTAACATATGATATATTGTATACAAACATATTGATGACGGACACAAGATACTTAAATATGAACCTAAATAAAACTAAACCTTTTTTTCAAATAAACTTCGCGATTCTAGAAGGATTGAAAATTATAATATTTTTCAAGCAAAAAATACCCAAAAAAAGTGGCGGCCGCGATGGTCACGAATGTAGAGATGAATAAATATTGACTCAGTAGAATCGTGGCTTGCTTGAGCTCCATAACAAAATTTTGCAGTAGATCTGTGTGAGTTCGATGGCAAATTACAAACTGATGATCGAGAGTCCTGCGGTGTCGAGGTGCTACTAATTAATCAATTGACAAGGTGATGCCAAACGATGAAGTGACCAAGGACCTCCACAATGGTCAGACTAGAGTTAACGTCGTTAGTACACTAAGCGTGCGACTGAATTCCGCTCGATTTCAGGGCAGTATTTATTCTGCACATCGTGTCTGTCTCGTGTCTTCCCCACCTATTTACTCGTCCACGCCTCGTAGTGTTATCTGGCTCCGGGTATTGTTTGATGATTCGACGTTTCCGCCTTTTGCACATATTCCCCTTGAGTTTCTTTTTTTTGCCTTTTGTTTATTACTATGCTGCAGCACAAGAAGTACGTGGGCGCTAGCAAGTCATTCATAGCTCTTGGTGGGCGCCTATTAAACGACGCGAGATCGATGCGAATGTCTCGTTAGGAACTTCCTGCATGATAAAACATGATGAATTTTTTACGAAATAGCCTTCCTTCCTTTTTCTATAATAAAAAATTTCCCATTATTTTAAAGCGATCAAAGTTGACAAGTAATAAGTATCGTCATCAAATGGTTACTCGCCATTTAAGAAATTTTATGAGTTTCTTGCAATTGCAAGAAATATTTTATTGTAAAGATATTAGCAATGATGAATATGTCCCTTTGGCATGTAATGCAGGTGTTAAACAATGTATTTTGTAACTATGCACTTGTAATATAAAAAGCTCATAAAAGTATCGTGTCTATGTTGGCATATGATGAAAATAATTGCTAGAAATGATTTATGCAAAATATTCTAGTGAGAAATATATGATTCCTCGAACACATTAAAATGACGCTCCTTTCTAATTTTATAATGAAAATGTTTTTTCTTTTGTGTTTATGCTGCATTGTTTAAAAGAGTGATAAAAATTCGATGGGTTCCGATGGACACAAAAATTGCTTAAATTAAATTTATAAATGCTTATAAATGTGGATAATAATTGCCATACGCAAATATTAAGTTTTACTTAGTACATAAATATTTGATTACACACAAGCAATTAATATAATAAATTATCGACAAAAAAAGTTAATAGAATTTGATATTAAATCTCAATTGGATTATTTTTCCCACATAAAGAAAACACTTTATATTCATAGGTATTACATAGCAAGCTCCTACTTATTGTATCCCTGACTCTGTTTTCTTGATCACCATTTAGCATTAATTAAACAGGTCGACGTTTATCTATCGGTTTCATTAGAAATTTGAATAAGCTTAAATGTAAATTTTCGCACCTAGAAAAACAATTTTAAATAAACTGGAGAATAGATTCGTATCAATTATTGATCGTTAGTGATATCGTTAGATCGGCAGTTTATGTGTATACATTCATTTAAACAGAAATAGAATTCGCATATTCTGTCTGTTCCTGACAGTATTGATCGATCATTTATACGTATAACGAGTTTACAAACTTATCGAAGGTTGGTCGTTATTCGGATGTCGTCTTTCTATTTAAAACAAAATGTAAATTTTAACCGGTTATAATCGCTACGGGTTTTCTCTCTTATCTTGAGGCCTTGTCACGTCGGCCGCTCTAGGTTGCAATGTGACATTTGCTCGTAATAATCATGTTATGATAAAAAAGATATTGTTGTATGATTGTCTTACCTCGAGGCATGCATTTAAAACGAGGAAATTAATTTTTATCATTCTCTATCACTGCATAAATAGAAAATGTATTTGTGACACGATTATTCAGCGAATTGGCGTGAAAAACTTTGTGAAACATTAATACTTTGTTGTTCACTAAAGCTGCACGCCGTATTTTCTCAAAGAATACGTATAGATTTTCCATTCTTTTTATATTTTTTCCCTGATAGAAATATTAAATGAAGATATTTGATAATCATATTTTTTCTTCATATCTTGATTAAAAATTGATTTTCTTCGCAATGTGTTCTGTCAAAAATCTTATAATCAGAATTATAAATAAATTCTATTATATAATTCTGAGTTCTACAACTATATATATCACTATATATATGTTGCTAATAATTAACATAATAAAAAAATGCACAATAAAATACAACTTGTTTATTCATATAGATATGGATATTTGAAATGAATGAGGAAAAGGTAAGAAACTAGAAATAGAGCAAAAGAGAGAGCAGAAGCAGATCACTCTCGATAAATTACGTTTTATTTATAATTTGTCTGTCGCTCATATTCCGGCATATCTTGTATCATCTAATTAGCCGAGAAGATGTAAAGGAAAAATGGATAAAGAGTTATTTGGCGTCTAAGAGGCTTACATTATTGAAAATTTTCACTGGTGATTATGGGATGGCCTCCCATGTATAATTGTTATTAATCGCATACTTATCTACATTGCTCAAGTCACGCAGGTACGTATATACACGTGCGCTGTACAATGCACAATTTTTATAGTAGTCCCGCTTGCGTATAATCCAACCTAGAATCTTCAAATGCGCCAACGACGAAGACAAAAGTGATTTTCGAGTAATCGAGTTATTCATTTGATCGTCGATTCTAAGAAAATTCGTATTCTTTTCAATCACTGTATACATTTATATATTCTTGCCGGTAAGAAAAGTCGCATTTATCCTCGTCAAACACTGTCATTACTGCTTTTCTCTATTATATTGCTCTATGTGTCCACTGTCTGCTCATATTGAATCGCTATCTCTCTTGCAAAGTTGCAAAAGATTCTTTCTCTTCCTCCCTTTTTTTCTCTCCCTCTCTCTAGATAGCGACTAGTTGAACTAGAAGCTTATTGGAGCACGAGACCGATCTTGCCAGGCGTCATACTAGGGCAACGCCAGTTATATAGATAATATTGAAGATTGCCATCGCCAATTCCGAACTTAAGGGGTTCTAAGAATTCTTTGTTATCCATGAGATCCAACGCATTAAATACATCGAAACCCAACTGTGAGTAAAAACCGTGTGTTCGATAATCATTCAAAAAATTTTGCATGATGAAACACATGAAATAAAAGACTTACATCGCGTGCAGATATTAATGCGTCCATCATCAGTTCAAGCCATGGCGTCACAGTAGATACGTTGTAGAAACTGTATGCAGCTTTGAGAGTCTTGTGTGTCTGATGATGCATGATCGAGCTCGGCAAAGTATAATAACTTACCATATCGGTGATCTTTCCTTCCTTCTCCACTACAAAACTATTAATAATGCCGGTTCGTGGTAGGAACCAATGTTCGAATTCTTCAGCCGAGAATATTGGAGCAAGATCGAACTTCTCTAAATACTGGAAAAAAAAAATACATTGTGATGATGAAATATATTAAGTAATATATGAAATATATTAAAATCAACTTTGCTTTTATACTTACTTCCAGTAATATCTTACGCGCTTGTGGTATATCTGTATAAACCAACTTTCTGAAACCTGGTACCTTTGTATTCTCTGGCAGTTTATATAGCTTTAGAGTTCTTTGCATCGTCATATTGCGAGTAAGATGAGAGAATTTGATATCAATTAATTTCTTTGGATTCAGGGATCGATGCCAATACCTAGTAAAATGGATTAATAATGATTAATTTATTGATTAACCAAATAAAATAGATTTTAAATTCTTGTGTATATATTATAATTCTTTGTATATATTATATATAAACCTGCAAGTCGCAATAGGTTTTGGTAAAACGACACCGGCAGTATATACAGCCTGAAAGATGCCCTGCAAATTCACTCTCCTTGTGATTTCACGTATTAACACAGGCGCAACTCTCTTCGATCTTAGCTTTTTATGTACGCACAGAAAATTGATCTCCACCATTTTCTGAATACTAAAAACATTTTTAACATTACTTTGTGAAATCAAAGAAACATTTTTAACATTACATTGTTACAAGCATATTACAAGCATGCAACACTCACTGATTATAGACGCGTAGAGTAGCTGGAATAGCAGAGATGAAACCGACTAGACGTCCGCTCTTACTCACTCGCACACCACAATGCCATTCCTTGTACCAACCAGGAGGTTGCAATGCCCATTTCAAAAAATTGGGAGGATAATCAAATCTAAACATCGCATCATCATCTTCGACGTAATTCTCCGAAAGTAGGGTGTATAATTCTGATAAAACCAGAGGATCATCCAGATTCAAGGTATCCCATTGAAAGTCAGCAGGTAATGAATAAGGCTCCGCTCTGATAGATGTTTTATCAGGCTCAATTGGCTCGTTGCAAACAATTTTTTCATCTTAAAATCAATAACAAGAGAACTTTCTTTAGAAGAAAATATTATATAATAGAAATAAAATAATAAATCTTTAATTCATTATATATTCACCCATTTTTGGTACTGGTTGCGTGCTCCAAAATTGATAGGGCTTTTGCATCGCTTCCTCCTGAGTTTTGGCAGGTTTTTGTTGCATATTGAATACCTCCATCGCCATCTGGATCTCCTTAATAGAGATATTGCATGCAGTAGACATCTCTTTCTCTTTGTCTTCCTTATTATTGTTGTGATTTCCACTGGCTGCATGTGCCGATGCATGTTCTCTTCTTCTTCTTCGATCTTTCTTTTTCCAACTATGATAAAAATTTTATATTTTGTTTTTTCAATTTGTAATAAATACAATTTTTAATGTATGTATAACATTAAATGTAACAGGAAGACGCATGTTTAATAATAATTATAATATAATCAATTATACGATATATATGTATGTATATATATATATATATATATATATATATATATATATATATTTGCATATATACAACAAACAATTATGATAAAGTGCAATTTTATTAACATATGTATAAATGATTGGCGACAATTAAAAAGCAATTGCAATTCTCAGTTATATGTCACGATCAAATATATGCCAATGAAGTAAATCACATTAGGATGATGTGAAATCACGAATCACTATTAAAAATGAGTAATGTATGAAAATGTCTTCCTGAGATGGAATCCTAGTAATAATTATTATATTTAAGTAATTAATTCGAGGATGCCTATGTTTTACATTAAACCGCGATCGAATCTTGCCTTAGTGTTACGTCTACAAGAATCGTCAATAATTATGCGACTAATCGGCCTACGACGATCGTTTCTCAAGCGAATATAGGTTAAGACGAGGAATGTAAAGTGCCCGGCGATCTTTGCGATATCCCATCGAAAGCCATCGGATTACTGGATGAAACGAAAGGGCGTTTATTTCGTACCTTTTGTTCCGCTGGTCTGGAAGCTCGCCTGGTGGCAGCTCCTCCATTTTAATATAGATTTTTAATGCGCATACAACGTCCACAGTCACTTACAGTGACGCTGCTTGAAAGTATACGAACGCAGAGAGAAGACTGAGAGATGTCATGGCCTGCTTTTAGGTGATCCCTGAAAGCGATACTCCCTCTATGGACATTGAAAACGTCGACGTGAACTACAAAGCCAAAGTCCATGAATGTTCTCAGAGGGTAATATATAATGTGCACAATTTCTGGTTTTGTTCCGTGCTATGTGCACGAAATGCCGGTAGCACCAGTGCTGTATAACAAGATACTTATGTATGTAAATTGATTGTAAATAAATTATTCAATCGCGAAAGATACTGTAATATTCAAAGATGAAATAAATTTTTCTATATTTATTGTCATATTTATATCTTTTCTTATTTAGCAGTTTCGCCGGAGTAGTGTTGAGCTCTCACATACATAAAATTTCGTATTACATAAGTACAAAAAAATTCGTATTACTATAAAAATTATTGAGTGTTAACAATTTAATTTTCATCCTTATATAAATAAAATACCTATAAAAAAAAAACACTCAAAAAATATTGACCCCTTAAAAATTCTTAATACTAATAATATAATTATTGAAATATTTATCAATCTGTTTTCCCTAATATTATTTAAACCCATTTCCTAATTCTTTAAAAGATACATAATATATTAATTACCTAAATTAATCGCATAATAGTCCTAACAATCCTCTACTTCTTGAAAGGAAAATTAAAAAATCTTAATGATCATCTAATAGCCCTAACAATCCTATTTCTCGATTAAGTGAAATTATTCGAGGAAAGCCTATCTCTAATCACGTATATTTTAATTACGTGCCCTAATTACATTCTCTAACCGCGTGCCCTAACCGCGTGAATAAATGTCCGACATTACGTGCTATTATACGTAAATCTTTTCTTCAGATCAGTTGAATTTACCTTTCGTTGCGCGAAAGGGTACTTAGCTTCCCTTTCAGGCACCTTAAGATTTATCATAAATAGAAAAATTTAAGATAAATCTCAAGACACCATCCAAGTACTAAGCCCTCCCACCGCGACAAGGTGTACCCCATGGGAGGGCTATATTATATATAATTTTATATATAATATAATATATACAATTGCAACATTTATTTTGCAATATAGTATATAAATTTAAATTTGCATAACAAGACCGTAAAACAAAATCATTAGCGCGGTATTGTTTATGTCGGATATTATGTTATCGTTAATTCATTGTTGAAATTTTTAACATATTCACACTTTTCGCTTCCCAACGAAAAAGTTGGTTTGAATAGAATGTTAAATGTCACTCCGGGTTACTCAATTTTTGGCTGTCGAAACATATTGTTCTGTATGAATGTTTATTGGCTTCTTATTGTTTATTTATAGCGCTCTAACGATTGATTTTTCTTACTTTACATTTTGATTAAATTTATACTTATTTTTTCTGCGACATACGAATAATATTGGCAAATGAATACGGATCATTCTTATGTTGATTTTGTTATATATCATACTCTCTAAGGAAGACTAAGTAAAGTCGAAATGTTTTTGTGATTATTTAACAAACTTATAACTATTTGTTTTTATTTTGTTTAGACTTTAGTAATTAGCTCGTTTTATTGGCCCTAGAATTTTTATTATTAAAATATAATATAATTTGAAATGTAATACAAAATAATTTAACAATTCTTTTTTTTTTTTTTTTTTTTTTTTACGTGGGGAAAATGCTCGTTATGCACACCCCGACGGGACCTATTTAGCGGTCCCGTCGGGGTAGTGTTGGGCTCTCCCCGCCGCCATTTTAACGGCGGGGCCTACCAACTAAAAACCCCACGCGCCTTTCCTTAGTCTTCCAACGCTTGAGCTCCGTGTGCATAAGGAACATTATATGGGATAGCCCAAATAAACTACTATCCTACTTCTTAAAAGGAATATTAAAAAAATTTTAATGATTTATTTTATTTTACTTCTTTAATTTATACAGTTTAATAATAAAACATTATATTTTCATTATAAAAATAATATATAATACATATAATTAAATTTCTATTCATATATATATATATATATATATATATATATATATATATATGCAAAATATATTCACAAATATCTAAAAAAAATAAGTTTCTTAATATCTTCAATATTAAACTTTAATAATATAAGCTATTTAGATAAATTTATATAAATATAATTAATGAAATACAATTAATGAAATTACTCTTAAAATATATATAAATATATAAATTTTATATAAAAATTATTATTTAAATTAAAACCTTAAATATATAAATAAATAAATATATAAATTTACAAAAAATTATTTAAAAATATTATTTAAATTAAAATGTTTTGTAAATTTTAATAATAAATCCTTTTCTATAAATTCTATTCATTCTTTAATATCTATTCATTCTTAATTCTATTTTAAATCTTTCAATTTCTATATTTAAAAATAACTTAATATAAATTCATAAATATACGAAATTTGTTATTCATATTACTAAAAAATAGCTTAATATATAAATTTATATTTTAAATTTTTCATATAAAATTTCGTATTACATAAAAGTACATAAATTTCGTATTATTACATAAGTACATAAAATTTCGCAAAAGAATTCGTATTACTATACAAATTATTGAGTGTTAATAATTTAATTTTCATCCTTACATAAATAAAATACCTATAAAAAAACACTCAAAAAATATTGATCCCTTAAAAATTCTTAATATTAATAATATAATTATTGAAATATTTATTAATTTGTTTTCCCTAATATTATTTAAACCTACATTTCCTGATTCCTTAAAAGATACATAATATAAAATCAGCTAAATTAATCACATAATAGCACTAACAATCCTCTACTTTTTGAAAGGAAAATTGAAAGGAAAAAAGCCTAATGATGACCTAATAGCATGACATAATAGAAAGGAATACCTAATGATGACCTAATAGCATGACATAATAGAAAGGAATTTGAAAGGAAAAAAACCTAATGATCACCTAATAGCCCTAACAATCCTATTTCTCGATTAAGTGAAATTATTCGAGGAAAGCCTATCTCTAATCACGTCTATTTTAATTACGTGCCCTAATCATATTCTCTAACCGCATGCCCTAACCGCGTGAATAAATGTCCGACATTACGTACTATTGTACGTAAAGCTTTTCTTCAGGCCAGTGTTGAACTTACTTTTCGTTGATCCTGGCCACTTTCTCGCTCGATCTCTAATCAGAGATCGAAAAAGGAGATAAATACTCCTTCTTTTGCCGATTAATTATGCCGGCAAATGAGCGTAAATATTTCACGCTCATCGTAACGATCGCTCGATTTTACGATCGTTTGTTAAATAATTGAATATAACTTTATTTTAACTCAAATAAAGCCAAATTACTACAAATTTCTATATACTATATTTTCTAATAAAATATAAAATTCATGTGTGTGTATAACTTTTATGATATTACCAATTATTTAATTAATTAATCGTTTGGCTTTATTTTAAGTTAAAGTAAAATTTAAAAACAATATCTACAAACAAATTCTACAATGGATGAGCTATGATATAAGAAATTAGAATAAAATAAGTGCGCGTTATAAGAATAAAGTAGTATCAAAAATTGATAAAATTGTTAAAATTATTAATGCGTGCTCTTGATTTAATAAACTAATCAAGTCTTTACAAAAAAATTTTCTTTTCTTGATTCTCTTTTTTAAATTAATACTTCAATATATTTTCGCAATAGATGCAAAGCATTTCGAAAGAATTTATTAAAAGTTATTTAATTTAATCTATCCTAGCTCATCCATTTTAAGGCAACGGACTTACTACAATTCACACTCTACAATCTACAATCTACAATCTACAATCTACAATCTACAATCTACAATCTACATCTACAATCTCTACGAATCCGTTACCTGAAAGTTAAATAAAAGTTTTTCTCACTCACCGGCACTGATGCGCAACAGCGGAGTTGTTGTTATCGAAGCTAGTTGTCTGTAACATACAAATATAAAATTCATTTATATTAATGCTCACAAAATGCAATCAATATTTCAAAAAATTTTTATCGCGCGGAATTTTATATCCGATGTGTAAAATAATAAGCAGAGATAAACACGTGTGGAAAAATTTTATAAAATTTTAAAACTGTTTTTTAAGAAAGTTTTTTAAAAAGTTTTATATAACTTTTATAAAAATCTTTCTCTCTAATTTTCTCTTTAATTCATTTAAATAATAAGATCGAATTATTATGCGTACGATTTATAACAATTGATATACAAATAATAAATATTCACCATCAGGTTGCTCCGCCGATGCAAGATGCCTCTCCCAGGCCTCCTCCTCCTCTCATGTTGTTGACGCGCGATACTTTCAACGGCACTCCCGCACTCACGTGCGATATTTTTATATCGCTATTTTCGTTATTTTACGCGCGATACTAAACGGCACTCCCGCACTACTTCGGTATTCGGATTAAAAATTTGGTCGCGCGATGTATATATTTAATACATATATACTGTGTACGACACTCCCGGTTTCGGTACGAGCGAAAATCCCATTTCATTTCGCGAGAATCAAATTCGAGCCAACAGGTCGGGAATGCAACGTTACAACGAGCAAAGATTAGGCCCGAACCGGAAAGAAGACGAAACGATTGACGGAATAGAGGAAAATAAAGTTCACCAGCTCTTTTTCGCGCATAATTATCCTATCTCATATCGAACCTGGACCCGCTAAGCACGATTTCAAGTGACCCGCACGGATGCTATATCACTAGCGCAGTACACAAGGCTGATAGACGGTAAAAGAAGAGGATACCCACATTTTTTAAAAGCTAACATTCAGCAATTTAGAAAATGGGGAGGCAACCCCTTTTACCGAGCGAAAATCGTGCCTAAGGGAATCCACTCGACTCCTCGACAGGGTTAACACACGCTAGGCGTGTGGCTGTAAGGTAGACGAGCAAAGAGAAGGGACCCATTGACGACCATTTCGAACAATCGATCGAGTTCTAACCGATTCGGGCCAAATCAATTGACGAAGCAGAGCGTGTTCATCACTAAGCCGATCGAGCGCGAAGCATCGAACCCGCGCGCCC